AGGACATTGCTACTTTTACAACTGTGGATGTACCAGAAGAGTTCTTGACCAAACAAAGCACAGAGAAGACCATAGGAGAGAAAATGGCCAATTTTGATTGCATAAAATTGAAAGGATTCTTTAGAAACAAAATCAATATACTTAGAATCAGAAGGGAAAGTTAACTTGGGGATGGGCAGAGAGGAATCTTTGCAGCAAGTTTCTCAGATAAAGGTCTGACATGTAGGGACATAAGGGTAGTTAGGTGGTATAATGGATAAAGTGATGGGCCTGGAATCAGGAAGATCTGAGTTCAAATAAGGTCTTAGCCAGTAACTAGCTGTGCGACCTTGGGCAAGTATTTAACTTACTTCTCTTATCTCAGTATCCTTAACTGTAAAATGGGGATAATGATGGTACCTACCTTCCAGGGTTGTTGTGAGGATAAAATGAAATATTATTTATAAAGCACTTAGCACAATGCCTGGCAAATAACAGTTGCTATATAAATGCTAGCTATCATCATCATCATCATCATCATCATCATCATCATCATCATTATTATTATTATTAATTACAGGGAAGTGATTCAAATGTATAAGAACAAGAGCCATTCTCAATAGCTAAATGGTCAAAGGATATGAACAGACAATTCTCAAGGGAAGAAATCCAAGCTATCAGCAGCCATAGGGAAAAAAGCTACAAATCACTAATGATTGTGGGGAAAAAAAGCCAATTAAAACAACTCTGAGGTTCTACCTCATATCTATCAGACTGGTAAAGATGACCAAAAAAGGATGATGACAATTAATGGAAGGGATGTGGGAGGATAAGTATATATTAATGGACTACTAGTGAAGTAGGGAATTGGTCTAGCCATTTGGAACTATACCCAAAAAATATACCAAAAAGGGTCATTAAATTCTTTGAATCAACAGTAACACTGGCATGTTTCCCAAATGGATCAAAGAAAGAATGAATATGTACAAGAACATTTATAGTAACTCTTTTTGTGACGGCAAAGAACTGGCAATTTTAAAAGTGCTTTTCAATAAGGGAAAGCATAAGCAAATTTTGATTTATGAATGTAATGAAATATTATTGTGCTGTGAGAAATGATAAAAGGAATGGGAGCAGAGAAATATGGGAAGACTTGTATGAATCAATGCAGAATTGAATAGGAACAGAACCATTTATACAAATACAATACAGCAAAGAAAAACTATGATCAATTCAGTAACCAAGTATGGCTCTAGGGACTGATGATAAAAAATGCTACCCATTTTTGAAAGAGTGGTAATGAACTAGAGGTGCAGAATTAGACATACATTTTTGGGGGAGAAAAAGAAAATATCATTTAAACTTTATATAATAAACTCTCTTCTCTGTCAATGACAGGGTAAACAACAAATTTAATCTTTATCATTAGATTAAAAAAAGACACCGAGTGTAAGTTAAACTGCTTTGCAATTTTCAAAGCACCACACAAATGTTAGTTATTGTTATAATTAAATAAAATTTGTCATTTTGTAAAGCTTATATTGCCCCACCAATCTTCTAATTCTCTCTCCTCTATGGAATTCCTACTCATTAACCATATCTGTTAAGAAGGGAATATAAAGGGGCAGCTGAGGTGGCCCAGTGGATAGAACACCAGCTGTGGAGTCAGGAGGAACTGCATTCAAATGTGGCATCAGACACATAACGCTTACTAGCTGTGTGACTTTGGGCAAATTCCTTAAGTGTTTATCTGAGTCCAACATTGAATCTCATAGAAACAAACAAAAAAAAGGAAGAAAGTATATTAGGTTTTTTTGGCCAGTCATCATATTTTTATTAAATTTATGTCTGACTCAGATTGGTTTGGATGTAGTCTTGGTTCTTGGAAAGTGAGACAATGCTTATTTCTGATGCTGTTTCATAATGATCAAACTATATGATAACCTAAAACTTTGTGGTAAACTAGCTGAGGCAGAGTTGTTTTACACGAAGAGGAAGGAAATTACATTTATTTTTCAATAGGGAATTTTTAAAGACATTTAAAGCTCTAAACTGAGGGGGAGAGAGAGACAGAGAGGTATATGGGATAGGGAAGGTGACATTGCCTGAAAACAGAGGAAGAAGACATATTCAAGATAATCTTATCAGGGACAGAAAGAAAAACTGCCTTCACTGATAAATTATGAGAATGGAAAACAATTATTGAAGGGGAGACAACTGTAGTGAATGGGGCACTGGACTTGAAGTTAAGAAAGATTGGGGTTCAAACTTCACTTTAGACAGTATTAACATTTCTGCACCTTAGTTTATCTGTAAAATGAAGGGGCTGGACTCAATGACTTCTAGAGTCCCTTCTAGCTCTGAAACCACAACCTTATTGCAAGTAACTGCTATTGCATACTAGAGATAAGAGAAAAGACATCTCTCCTACTTGGTGATGCTGATTCATCTCTCCTGTCTCTAATCTATCCCCCACACACTCCTTTCATTAATTCTAAAGCACAGGTCCAACCATGTCACTTCTCTGCTCAAGAAGTTTCAATGGTTCCATTGCCTCCAGGATAAAATACAATTTCTCTGTTTGTGATTTAAAGCATTTTAAGACAAAACCCCCAAATGCAGGAACCAGATTAAAATGTAATTGGGAAGTGCTTAACAAAATAAATAAAAATACAACATACATATATTAATTTATAGTTTTCTAAGTCTATACAGCCAGCAGGGATCCCTTTCTATTTGAGTTTGATACTACTGTTCCATATTGGAGCCGAAGCAGCCTTTTTACTGTTGCCACTACACAGCATAACATTTCTCACCTCTGTACCTCTTTGCACAGGCTATTCCCTCTTCATGGCTAGATGTTCTCTCCCCTTTTAAGAGTCATTCAAGTGCCACTTCCTGAGGCCTTTCCTGATTCCTGTTTGTTACTGTTCAAGCACTGTCCCATGTCAACAGCTAACAGATATTACTCCTTATACAAGGTTCTTTTTACTATACCACCCTCCACAACATTCAGGCAACAAACTTCCACTCAACCAACAAATTCAGCAACTTTATATTTTATTTATCTGCGTACATGGTGTTTTACCCCAAGTATTACATAAGCTTCTTGAAGGCAGGGATGGTTTTGTATTTGTCTTTGTAACTTTAGCACCCAGCAGAGTGCCTGTAACACAGCAGGTGATTAATGTTTGTTGAACTGAATTATCAAGGATACATGTGTAACTAAAAAAGGGCATAAGCTGGTCATAAAATGAACAAGGGATAAATTGATGGCTGGGCCAAGAGTTGCACTGGCATCTATAAAATAGTAAAAGCAGTAGAAGGCCTTTACCTAGGTCATTGGATTGATTCTCTACTAAAGGTTTATGGAATCCTCCATGAACAAAAATTGTAGAGTATGAGAAGTTATGCCATCTACAAGGGTGGAGTAACTATATCTGGGAATCAAACATGTTTTAATTTCCTACTATATACAACGCACTATGCTAGGGGAAACAAAGGCAAAAACAGCCCCTGCCTCTCACGAGCCTACATTTAACTGGGGAGACTCAAACATATACAAGTTAACCAACATAAACTGTATACCAAGTAATTCCAAGGAGAAATCCATAAATCCATAGGATCAGGAAAGGCTTCAGAGTAAGTGATATCTGAGGAAAGCTAGAGATTCTATCAGGAGGGTTCTATTACTTGTATTTTAAAGGTACAGAAGGATTGAATGTCCTATATGGAGAAAATCTAGCAGGCCAGTTTGAATGGAATAAAGAGCACATGAAAGGGGAATATTATGAAATAAAACTAGGAAGTTGGAAAAAGGGGGAGGAATCCAGATTATAAATTAAGCTTGAAATGCCAGACTGGGGATCTTTTATTTCATCTTAGAGGAAAAAGGGAGCCATTGAAGATTTTTGAGGAAGCAGAGAGGCACATGACATGGTTATTGGGTCAGGACAGCTAAAGCAAGGTTATTCTGTGGGGGGGTTAATGGAAATTTATAGCTCTAGCTTCCCAGTTCTCAACTGGCATCCTGCTTTTACCTGGGGAAAACAAACAAACAAACAAAAAACAACTCCCTCACTACACCTAAATGTCATCAGCTTCAGCCACCCACTGAGATTGAAGAAACCAGTTCTGCTAGCTTTTCCACATGTGGCTCTGGTTTTGACAAACTACCCTTGAAGGTTTTCCAACATCAATGGTGAAATGGTCCCATAAGCAGCCACCTCAAAAATGAAAAATGACTCAAACTGTGTGTGGCTTATAATTTTGTGGTTTTTCTTTTTTCATTCATCTGTGACTGAAGGAGAGTAGATTTTGCTCTGAAGCAACTATCCAGGAGATAGATGACAGAAGAGGTGACCCAGGTACTTGGAGTAGGAACGTCATGGCTTGTTGCAGTGGGTTTATTCTTATGAGACAGAGGGGAAGTCCTGAGTTCTAGTCCTGTCTGGGGCAGATTACTTCCCCAGGCTTCCTGGTCTTCCTCTGCCTGGGCTGGATGGTGTCAAAGGTCCCTTCCAGCTGGAGTTCACTAGGCCTCGAAGGCTTTAGGCGAGCACCAGTGACCTTTTCCATCACTGCGCAAAGGGCGACACCCCAGTCCAGGCGGATGACTTAGGGCCTACGGAAGGGCCAAGGAGCTTGCCAGCTGACCGCCTGACCCTTGAGGGTCTGTCCTGGCAAGTGGAAACCTCCTGACTGCGCTGCCAGATCGAGGTGGGGCAAGTGAGGTGACTCAGATAACAGATAACCAGCCCTTTCAAAGCCCAACCCGACCTTTTCTTTCAAGAACCCCACAACCTCCTCCTCCTCCTCCTCCTCCTCCTCCTCCTCCTCCTCCTCCACCGAGGAAACAAAATGGTTTCAAGCCTCGAGGGGCTGCGGCAAAGGGCGGGCACGTGACCCCGCACTGCGGCAGCTTCAGCTTAGCCGCGTCCTATTGGCCAGCGGGAAGGAGCCATCCCGGCGGAGGCGAGGCGAGGGGCGGGGTCTGCTGTGGTGACGCACGCACGCCCACGCACGCACGCGGGAGGGGGGCCGGGCTGCCGAATCTGCTAGGTGATTCTGCGGTAGCTGCGGCAACGGTGGCGGCGGCTGCGGCTGTGGCTGCGGCGACTGGAGGGAAGCGGCCGCGGAGGACAGCGGTGGCTGCAGGTAAAATGGCGGTGGAAAGGCGGCCTCCGAGTGAGGCCGAGGGGGCCCCTCTTCTCGCAGCCTCGGCAGCTAGGGGGATGGGGCTGACAGGCCGTGGGGGGAGGGGTCGAGGAAGTGAAGGTTGATAACCCCTCCAACCCGCCCCAGGCCTGCGGGGTCTAGGGCTATAGCGAGAGAGCGGAAGGGGCTTGGAGACGCCGAGGGATAATGGTGGGGCGCCAGGCCCCTCGGCTTCGACTGAGGAGACCCTCCCCATCCTGCCACCCTCTCCCCACTACGTTTCCCATTCCTTTCTTTGCCTCTTTCTTTCCTTCCCCCACCCCCAACTTAAGGAAACTAAGATGGTTTCATAGGGAGAGTCGTTTTTGTTCCCAAGCAAATTAATTTCCGAACTGTATTCACACAAAAGCCCCATGTTCTCTTTCTTCCAACCCCCAAATAGCTAGGGGAAGGACCCAGAGAAACGATGCCCTGGTTGACAGGTGCATAATGGATTCCCAAAGAGACGCCTCTGTAGCCCCTCCCCCTCCCCGTCCAAGAGTCTTCTTCCAGTCTGGTTGACTCTCTGCATTGGGAAAGGGCCGATCTGAGTAACAAGTACTCCCATCTTGGATGGGGGAGGGGGAGGCTTCCGGACTCAAATTCCACAGGTAAACTCAGTCCCTTCTAGGTAGGTCCATCCTCCCTCAGGTAGGCCACAGCCAAGTGTGTTTAGAGGCAAAAAAATCCAAGACCCTTTAGAGTGTGTGGGGAGGGGAGGAGGTGCAGAGAGGAGACGAAATGACCAGCAACGAGCTATCCTTGGAGGGTTTGGGTGTTGACGTGCTGAGAAGCAAGGTATTGGACCTTGAGGTTATTAGGGAGCTTACATGGGAACAGTCAGACTAAAGTTACAGAAATGGGTGATGGAGTGACAGAGGTGAAGAACTTTCTGGAGAACTCTTGAAGAAATGTATGTCTGGGGTATTTCAGGCTGTCTCCAACATCAAAATGACAAAATACCTGGAAATATTTTTCTGAAAAGGTTTTCAGGTATGTTCTTCAAGGCTTCTCCAAGAGAATCTATCTCCCTTAAGTGCTGTTTTGCAATATAGAATGAAGAAGTAATCGTGAGATTTTAAAATATAGCATATTAGACTGAAGTACCCCACACCTTTTGGCTACGGTCATTGTTATGGGATTTAAAAAATAGCCATTTCAGGACCACTGATAGCTCCAGTTGTCTTTGATACCTCCTAATCAGAAAGCCTGCATAAAAATGAAACCTTCCTTGAACTGTAAGGTAGTTTGATAAATGGCAGAATATATTTTAGTTTGCAAAACAACTTTAGACTGCTTCATTGGGAGTGAGGGGAACTTGAACCATCTGGTCCAATAAAGATACATTTTCATTAATCAGTCTGCTCCCATTTGGGCTTTTCAAAGTGCTTCTCCCTAACCTTCAAGTTGGTCCTTTTTTGTAGTTAATGGTTTAAGCAAAAGGCCTCCTTTAAAAAAAAAAGTATACATCTGAGGGTGTGGATGATAATTTTCTTTTTTCTTAAGAGTTTATAAGATAGTACCTTTAACTTCTGCTTTAATACAACCATTGGTTTTGGAAGCATAAAGATCTCTTTTAATCAAAGTAGGCATTATTAGTAAAGTATAGGGGAAAAACTATCAATTCCTTTTGGTCAGTGGAATGAAGATGTTTTCCTGTTTTGGTTACAATCCAGTTGAAATGAGATTTAGATACTGTAACACAATTTGAGAGTGTAATATTTCTATTGGCATACTTAAAGAAGAGTTTGTAGAGGTAGTATTCAGTAGCTCTTAATTATAAGCATCCCTAAGCTAGATGCATCCCTCCAGTGTTTTCTTATATTAGTCACAAGCCTTTGCCGTTTGATCCTGATGTTGGCTACATAGGAAGTAACATTCATACAGCACAGGTTTCCATAACTGTCTCTGTTCCTTCTTCTTTTCTAGCTTTCAAGACAGGATATAAAAACAGATGTTGTAACAGACTGAGGAGGAGAAAAGGGAACAAAGCAATAATAATTGTGCTGGGCTAGTTTGTGCTCCTTGCCTTGGTAATTTACAGGACACTGTTCTCTTTTTTCTGTTTCAGGTCAACAAAACTCAGTTACTTAGTTGCTGAAACTTCCCTGCCAACATGGGGGAGCTTTTCCGCAGTGAAGAGATGACATTGGCACAGCTTTTCCTACAATCTGAAGCTGCTTATTGTTGTGTCAGTGAATTGGGGGAACTTGGGAAAGTTCAGTTCCGGGATGTAAGTACCTCTGGGCTTACTGTCTGTTTATTGAAGTCCTGTATTCACTGAATCAAATCTTAAAGCTAGACCTCAGGGATCACTTGGTCCAACCCTGTCATTTCACAGCCAGTCAACTGGCTGATTACTGTTGCATAGTGCTTATACAATGACTATAAGGTCTTTCAATCATTCAACACATTGTTATATTGAGTGCTTACTAGGTGCCAGTCACTGTGCTAAATGTTGAGATTACAAAGACAAAAAAATGAATAATCACTACTCTCAAGAAATACTGCTCCCTTCTTTTGAGGGAGATGTGTGTTTATATGCATATATGCATGCATGTACCTATATGTATATATGCAGAATAACTTATATACAGATTAAATACCAAATTAACAAAAGATAGGGAAGGAGAGCACTAGTACTTGGGATCAGGAAAGGCTTCATGAAAAATGAAATGCTTGAGCTGCATCTTGAAGGAAATGGATTCTGTGAGGCCTAGGTGAAGAGTGACTACATTTTAGGCAAGAGGGACAGCCAGGGCAAAGTTGTAGAAATGGATAATGGAGTGCCACAGATGAAGAACAGAGGAAGACCTTGACTGGACCCACCCTGGAATGTGGGAAGGAGAATCAAATATAATGAGACTGGAGAAATAGGTTGGGTTCAGGTTATGAAGGGCTTTAAATGTCAAACAGAGAGGCAAGAGCTCAGAAGAGAGACAGACTAGATATGTAGATCTTGGGCTGATCTGCTTAGGGATAATAATTAAACCCATAGGGAAGTAATGGAGTTACCAAACAAAAGGGTCCAGAACAGAAGCTAAGGGTACACCCACAGTTCGGGGACACAATATGGATGATGAGCAAAAGACTGACAAGGAGTGGTCAGATAGGAGGAAAATTGGGAGAGAGTCATGTCCTGAAGTCTCTGAGAGGAGTGAATGTCCATGTTAACAATGTCAAGTGCAGCTGTGAACTAATAGAAGAGTCACAAGCACTAGCAGTTGCAAAGAATTCTATTGCCAGCACCAATAAATGGGGGGGGGTCTGTCCTCAGTGAAGGCTGCATATAAATGACATGGAAAATAGGCTGTTTTTGTTGGCTTGCAGTTGCCTGTATCTGAAACATATTGGGCAGCCTTCCAAAACTTACCCAACTCATCAATTGCTTTTACTGTTTCATGTGGTATTAATATTGCAAGAATCTAAAGTATATCAGCACATAAGTCTTGAGTAGGAAATGGGAGCAAGTATGGTGGGAGTTTGTTAATTTCTTTCAATTGAGTGGAATTGTTTTTCTTTGGAAGAAAAAAAAGATTGTATGGGAAGTAAACAGCTGTCTACTTCTATAGCATTAAGGAATAAGATTTAGTGTTCTAGCTCATGACTTAGAATTCTAAAATTATGGCTTCCTGGCAAGAAAAGAAGTAGATATATTACTAAAACTGGGAGTAATATTTGGCAGAAGACTTACTGACTTTACCAAGAGGTTTTAAACTGAAATTTGAGAGGATGGGGGAAAAATACCCAGGTAAGACTATAAAAGTATATGCTGTGGAGGCAAAAGTCTCAGAGGTTTCCCCTAGATTTGGCAGATTAGAATTCACAAAAGAGTGAACAGCCTAGTATTAAGGTGGCATTTTGTGGTTATGGAATGAAACTGACTCATATAGGGTTGACCTTAGCTTCATTAAAACTAAGAATTAACTATTTCTGTACCCAACACAGACTCCAACAAGGTATCAAACCATAATTATTTTTCTTCTTCCATACAAGATGTTTTTTCGTTTCAATTTTGTGGCTGAGGCAACTAGTTATAGAGGACATATGATTGAGCACCTTCTATGTTAGGAGTATTGCAATAGGTTCCAGAAGAGAATATAAGAGAAATTAGATGACTCTGCCCTCAAGAGCAAGAAATCATGCCACCAAAAGTTTACAGCCTAGTGACAAAGAAAGGAAAATTCACACCTAAAATTAAGCAGGGTGAAACAGTACAGACTTAATAGCTAAGTACTGAGGCTACATTAGCATACAAAAGTTATCAAAGTGAAGTAAGGTTAATCATGATAGATTTCAAACTATGAGCAGTCTCCCATATTCTACCTGAGCCAAATAACCAATAAGTAATCTAGTAACTTTTTTTTATTCTTCATTCTTTTTGACCTGCCAACAGCATTTAATAAAATATTTCTTGACTTGTCAGTAGCATTTGAAAATTCTATTTGATTTTCACAACAAGAAGTTTTCTTTTGGGGCAGCTAGGTGGCACAGTGGATAGAGTGCCAGCCCTGAAGCCAGGAGGACCTGAGTTCAAATCTGCTCTCAGACCAAACACTTGACACTTACTAGCTGTGTGACCCTGGGCAAGTCGCTTAACCCCAATTGCCAAAAAAAAAGTTTTCTTTCCACCTGGCTGTTATTTCTCTATATCCATTGCTAACTCTTTTTTCTCCTTTCCCAAGCTAAATGAGGGCTTTTCCCAGGTTCTCTTATTTTCCTGTACATACTCTCAGTGATGTTATTGACTCCCATGGCTTCAGCTATCTCTTATTTATGGTTGACTCCCAGGTTCCATTCTTACATTTCTGTTTGATTGGCATTTCTGCTTGGATGCCCCAGTGCCATCTTACTTCACTGATACCCAGCCTATCTAAAATTAACTCATTATCTTCTTCTCAAACAAGTTTATCATCCTTACTTCCCTAATAGATGCTAACAGTGCCACCATTCTCCCAGTTACCTAGATTCAAAACTGCTGAGCCATTTTCAGCCCTACCCTCTCTGTGATTTCCATGTCTGTCATCATTCTTGGTCTTGTGGAGTTGTCTTTCATACTCTTTCCTAATCACAACTTCCTTTCCATTTTCACTATTAGCCCTCCTCTGAGTGATTATAGTAGCTTTTTAACTGCTCCAGTTAAGAGACCTCCAGTCTCTTCCCTTCCTAATTCATCCTTACTATTTCTACAGTACTACTTTGATCATGTATATAAATCTTGTGTATAAATCTTGAATGACTCCCCTTTGCTTACTAAAACAGGTCCTGGCATTCAAAATCTTTGACAATCTTAACTTCAGTCTACCTTTCTAGCCATTATTTTCAACTATACCCCTACATGTACCTTACTGTCCAAACAAATCAGATTATTTACTCTTCTCTATCTAAATCTTATTCTTTTCTTTCCCCCTCTACCAAGAACATTCTCATTCCTCTTCCCTCATCTTTTACCTGTCAAAATCCTACGTATCCTTAAAGGCCAAAATCAGCCTGCCAGTAACCTTTCACGTGAAGTCTTCCCTGATAACTATGACCAAAGGAAAAAAATCTCTTATTCTTCTACATTTAGCACTTCCTTTGTATCATTCCTTTTTTTTAAAAGAGAATTTTATTAATATCTTTTGCTTTTACATCAGATATCTCTTCTACACTCTCTTCTCCTCTGTCTCAGAGAGCCATCCTTTATCATAAAGATTAAAAAAAAAAAGAGGAAGAAGGGGAAAAAAAGTCAGGCAAAACTGATCCATGCATCAAAAAAAAATCTGAGGTCATACACAATGTTCCACATCCAAGAAATCCCTCCCATTCTGCAAAGGAGCAAGCTGAGATATCTTCTCATATCTCTTCCTGGGGCCCAAGCCTGTACTTTATACTTTCCCACGTATTTGTTTTGTAGTGGTTGTTCTTTCCATGTGTATTGTTGCAGTCATTGTGTATGTTATTTTCTAATTACTTCATTTTGCATCAGTTCATATAAGTCTTCCCATTCTTCTTTGTATTCATCATGTTTGTTGTTTCTTATAGTACAGTAACATTCCATTATGGTCATCTACCACAGTTTATTTAGTCATTCTCTAATTGACGGGCATCCACTTTGTTTTCAGTTCCTTGCTACCATGAAAAGTGCTGCTGTACATGTTTTGGTGTATGTGGAACCTTCTTTTTGTCATTGACCTCCTTGGGGTATATGACTGGCAGTGGAATATTTGGGTCAAAGGGTATGAATATTTTAATCACTTTATTTGTATAATTCTGAATTGCTTTCGGTATGGTTGTTCCAGTTTGCAGCTTTACCAGTAATGCATTAACATGCTTGTCTTTCCACAATCCCTCCATCTTTGATTATTCTTGTCTTTTGTCACTTTGACCAATTTCCTGGGTCTAAAGTAAAACCTTAGAGTTGTTTTGATTTGCATTTCTCTTATTAGTGATTTGGTATATTCTCTGTATCATTCTTATTGTGTACTTTTCCCCTTTTTATTGTAGTTATTTTTGTACAAGTCTTTTTTGTTTTTACTGTAGTAAACTCTAAGGAAGGCAGTGTTTTATTTATGTCTTCATATCTGATTATCTTACCATACACAGAGTATAGCCTGTATAATAGGTACTCAGTAAATGAAATGATATTTTTTTTAGTTCTCATTTGAATTCAGTAAGCAAATGTATTAAGTACTTACTATGTTAAAGTTACTTTGGATACAAATATGAAAAAGAAACAGTCCTTGCCTTTGAGAAGCTTACATTCTACCAGGGGACAACTTGTCAGTTTTTGCCTCTCTACAACATTTGACACTGTTGACCATGACCACATCTGGGATTCTTTCCTCCCTTGGCTATGATGTCGTATTCATAGTTTCTTCTACATCTCTAAGTACTCCTTTCTTTTCTAGTTTTTCATCTCACCCCTAACACATGGATGGTCTTCTAGGGTTCTGTCCTTAACTGTTTTTTGTGTTGGTTTTTTTTTTGTAGCACTCTTCTTTGGCTATATCATCTGCTTCCATAGCTCCAGTTACCACCCCTATGACTCCCAATTCTACAAATCCCAGACCTCCAAGTCCCATATCTTTAGCTTCCTTCAAGATGTCCAGCAAGTATCTTAAACTCAACCTGTCTAAAACTGAGCTCATCTTCCCTCCCAGAGCCTGCCCCCACCTCAGCTTCTTGAACCATTTCTACAGTGAGTTCCCAGTAACCATGTCTTGAAACTTCAAGGTCATTTTTTACTCTTCCTCTTCTATGTCCCTACCACCAATCAGTTGCCAGTCCTGTCTACGAGGTTCCAACATAACTGTCCTCACAATCTACATTATTACCCCTTTTCCTACAACCCATTTTGTAGCAAAACTAATTATCACCCTCTATTCTTAATACTCCTTTTCTTTCCCACTGATGCCTTTGTTCATGCTTGAAATTAACTCTCCACCCCACTAACCTAAGTTTTTGCCTGTTGAAATCCCTCCCTTTCTGTAAGGTGAACTTAGGTGCTGACTTTTCCATGAAACCTTCTCTGATTGTTTCCCATCCAGATTCTCCTCTCTTCTCATTACTTATAGTATACACCTATCCTCATAGATACACCTATCCTTTTCACTGACCACATTCTATTTTTTTTAGAGTTGTTTGAATACATGTCATATCTCTTCTTCATTCTTTTAGATTGTAAACTCCTTAAAGGTAGGAAGAAATATCCTTTTTTACATCTTTGTATCCCCAGTATGTAGTAATAAGGACTTACATGTTTGTTGAATTGAAATTTTCTAATACTTAAATGTCAGATGGGGGACAGCTAGGTGGTGCAGTGGATAGAGCACCGGCCCTGGATTCAGGAGGACCTGAGTTCAAATCTGGCCTCAGACACATAACACTTAATTAGCTGTGTGACCTTGGGCAAGTCACTTAACCCCATTGCCTAGTCAAAAAATTTTTTTAAAAAAGTCAGATGAAGTGACTTCTCCACTTGGAAGTTTACAGGACAATGGGCTTTTCAAGTCTGGTCTCCCACTGTTTAAAGTTTCATGCCCTGCCTAGCTGCCCTTTCCAGCACTGGCTGCACTTTTACTCACATCTCCTCTTCCCCATTGGTTGAGGTGGGGGAGTTAGAATAATCCTTGCTCCCTTTTGCCATTCCCAGGTTTTCCTACCACCATTACCCAGTAACTTTTCCTCTCCATAGCTATTGTATGTCAACCTCCAGGATGCTTCCCTTCTTTCCTCAATGAATTCAGTACCTGGCTCACAGTCTTTCTCTTCTCACCAACTTCTTCCCTCTTACTAAGAGTTTTCAACACATATACTGATATTTCCTCAAATAACTTAACTTCCCAATTCTTCAACCTACTCATTTCTTTCCACCCCACGTCAGCCACACACAAAAATGATCATGCCCTTGGTCTTGCCATCACCCACAAATGCACCACTTGCATGTTCATTAACTCTGAAATTCCCTTATATGATCACTGTCTATTGGCATGCCGCCTCTCCTTTTGCCTTCCAAAACCAAGGCCTGTTCTTTGTCCATACTATGACCTCTAATCCCTGTACCCCCCAGTTTTCTCCTGGGGCATTGCCCCTCTTTCCCCTCTTGACCCCTTGTTGAACCACTTCAATTCTATATTGTCCTCTTCTCTTTGTAAGTCCCTTGCCTCCTTCCAGTCTTAATCTCTTAAGCCTTAGTTTTGGATCACTCTCACCATCCCTCCACTACTTTCACTCCTACACACATTTAGCAGCAGTATGTAGGAGAGAGGAAAAAATCATGAAACTGCTGACAAGGTTCACTGCAAATTTGTTACATAACCTCACCTGGGATCTCACTGCTGCCAGGCAGTCCTCTGATACCTCTCTAATTAACTCACTCGCCCACTCACCACAGCAGTGCTTCCCAACCTTTTTACTCCTCCTTAAATCTCCCATGGGTACCTGCTTTCTTTCTGTTTTTTTTTTGCTAGCAAAATAAGTGAAAAGATATGAATATTTAAATGATTTTTCTGAAATAATTCCAAATCATTTTCCAGAGTAATTAGACCAGTTCACATCTCCACTAATAGTATGAGCATGTATGTCTTCCCATTGCACCTCCAACCCTGACTCCTCCTGCCTTTCATCATCTTTGCCAATTTAATAAGTGTGAAGTGAAACCTCATTTGCATTTCTCTTTATATTGATGGTTTCCTGTCACTGTTTCTGCATAAGGGAGAATGAAGGAAAGGAAAAGAAACCTAGTTTAAGTTAGTGGCCTACATTTTTATGGTCATTGTGACCTTTGAATTGGAAGATGGTAGGCTAGGTAAAACATTACATGCCATGAGGTTTTTTTTTATTTGTTTTTGGCCACATTGCTGCAGTGAGGAAAGATGATTTTTATCTTTAATTGTTATGGCTGACTCCAGTATTTCATGTTTTAGTAGAAGATTTTGATTTAACATGTGCAGTATTTGACTGTTTATTTCTCTTTTGTGTTCTTGTCTTTCAGTTAAATCCAGATGTGAATGTATTCCAACGAAAATTTGTCAATGAAGTTCGGAGATGTGAAGAAATGGATCGTAAACTCCGTATGTGTCATCTTGGCTTGTCTTAATAATTCTTTAAGTAAATTATTTTATCTTTAAAGAATAGTTTGGGGGCAGCTAGGTGGCACAATGAATAGAGCACCAGCCCTGGAGTCAGGAAGACCTGAGTTCTAATTTGGCCTCAGACACTTATTAGCAGTGTGACCCTAGGCAAGTCACTTAAACCCAATTGCCCCTCCCCCCCAAAAACCCCAGAATAGTCTGGTATAACAAAAGAAGATGTTAGCCCCTCTCCACCTCTGAAGAGAAATTCTCATCTGTTTTCTTGAGTATCATATTTAGAATATATTTGTGTTCTGTTATACATGACAAGTATATATATTCTTTAATAGATATCATGCTTCTGAGAGTATAACACTCAACTTAAATACTGCTAAGCTACTTTGTCATTGTGCAGAGGACAGTATAGAAGTCTCAGATAAGTCTAATATCTCCAGGAATTCTGTAAATCTGACTGCATATTATGCAGTCATTTAGTTGACAAAGTTAACCATGAATTTTAGGCGGTACAGTATCTTTTTAATATTAGTTTAATGTTAGGGTTTTTTTTTTAAGTGAGGCAATCGGGGTTAAGTGACTTGCCCAGGGTCACATAGCTGGTAAGTGTCATGTCTCTGAGACCGGATTTGAACTCAGGTCCTCCTGACTTCAGGGCTGGAGCTTTATCCACTGTGCCACCTAGCTGTCCCTTAATGTTAGTTTTAATATTAATGTATTGCTCTTCCTGTCTGTTACTCTGTCTGTTCATGCTCCATCCTTAAGTTTCAGTAGACTGGAAATTGAACAAACAGCTTTTATTTTGATTTTTTAATTGTTTTTTTTAACAGCCTTTTTTTTTCTTTTGGTCTGCTGTTTAAATGCATATAATTGACCAACTTAATTTTCAGATTGATTGATATTCTTTCTATAGGGATCTGTTTTACAGCCATATGTATTAAGGACTTTATTACAGTAAACATTTTTTCTCTGAATCTGATTCTCTGAACAATTTTGGTAAGCCAGACTAATCTTACGTTTAGGTGAGATTCACACAGGTCAATAATAGCTTACATTTACCACTTGATGGTTTAGAAAGTTCTTTCCTCACATCAGCCCTTAGAATTAGTTAATGCAAGTATTATTATTTTCATTTATAATGAAGAAACTGAAGTTCAGAAGCTTTGGCTTGCCCATTAGTGTCCGCGACTTGGCAATAGGTCTTCTGACACCATACTCAGTGTTCTTTTTATTCTACTTAAAAGTTTAGTCTTACTGATTCTTTTGATGGTTATGGTATTTTTGTATTTTATATGGGTTCTGTTCCACAAAAGGTAGATAGTGCATCTGAGGTAATAGGACGTGGACTGAATACCTGTTGTGGTTAAAGAGAATTGGCTGTGCTGCAGTGGAGCTTTTGTTGCAGGAGAAGAATGTGAAGAAGAAACTGATTTTCATTTCCCACTTCTGTTGAGTCAAAGCATCATTAGAAACTTCTTAAAGTCTTTTTGATTTGTGCTTAAATATTACCTGTGGCAGGCATATGCAGATGGGCCACAAATGTTCTGATTCTATCATTTTAGGGTTTGTTGAAAAGGAGATAAGGAAAGCTAATATCCCTATCATGGACACAGGTGAAAATCCAGAGGTGCCTTTCCCCCGGGACATGATTGACCTAGAGGTAAGCAGTCTTTTGGGAAGGTTAGTTAAGTTTCTTTTGGCTGTCCACAAATATTATTGGGGAAAGGAAATCTCGGTCTTTCCTTGTCTGTGTGGTATTTAAATAGTAAGCTCCTTGAGGCCAGGCCTGATGTTTAACTTGATCTGTGTGGTGTCTGATGCAGAATTCGTGTATAGCTAAATCAGTATCCATTGATTAATGGAAATAATGATGTATAAAATGCTCATTCCTGTTAAATAACTCTCACCTCCTGTGAACAAATAGCTAAAATATTATGTTAATGATTTACATGTGTAGTCTATTGAGCTTACTAAGTAGATACAGACAGTTCTTGCTTTATATAAATTCACATTATGCAAATCCAGCTCTCCAGCAGGAGCACAGTGGGAGTGGCAACAGTGCAGCCCCAGGCTGGAGGTCCTCTGCCCTGTGAGGAGGCAGGCAACCAGAGAGCTGCAGAGGGGGCAGGGTCATGTGGAGCTCCAACAGGGGATGGGAAGGTCTGTGGAAAGGTCCATTTATGTTTATTGAGAACTGCCTGTACTTGGTCTACAGGTCAAGTAAAAGGATTTTAAACATTAGTTTTCCCTTAGAGAGAATTATGTTAATTGAAATGTTAATAATTTGAGAGTAGATGCAGGACATCTTTGAAATCACAATGGAGACCGTTATTATGCAGGACTGAATCCCGTTGAACACATAGGGCAAACATACTGATTTTAGTGGTGAGTTAACATGCCCCTTTTCTTCCTAGGCAAACTTTGAAAAGATTGAAAATGAACTGAAGGAAATCAACACAAACCAGGAAGCTTTGAAGAGAAACTTCCTGGAACTGACGGAATTAAAATTTATACTTCGCAAAACTCAGCAGTTTTTTGATGAGGTCAGACTATTGTTTGTTTCTTTGAGCAGCTGATATTTTACCTGCCACAAGTGGGCCATATTTTATTCTAATGAGTATTTTCAGTTGCTGTCTTGAAAGCAGTGCCATTTTTTTACACCTCATTTTAGTTGGAAAAACCTCAAATTATGTTCCATTTTTCATGCAGTACACAGCCAACCATGTTTTTGGATTTTTTTTTTTTGCAGTTTTTCATATCAGATTGGGATGGGGATATTTAGAATAGTAGTGGGTGCTATTCCCTGAAAAATTCACATACATATTTTTAAAGGTAAGTATTCAGATAAGATTAGGTCTCAGAAAATAAGGAAAGGTTGGCTACAACATGTAGGTAAAACAGTGTAATTTTTCTTAATCCATAACTTTTTACCCTTTGCTTATCTCTTTTCCACCAAAACTTCAATTATTATATTCTGTTCTCCCTTCTCAACTTGGAAAGTTTACAGTTACTGCACTCATGTGTTGAATTTCACAAGTATTTTTCTTTAGGGTGTGTGAGAACTCAGAATATCTGGAAGTTTTGGAAAGGGTGTGTTTGTAGTTAGCATGACAACTTCAGTTGATGATTTTATGACTCCAGAATCTCCCAAAAACTTTATTATATTAACTTAGCAAGGAGGTGGGAAAAAAAAAAGTATGTTAAAAATGTAGGTAACTGGGTTACCAGGTGTCAGCTTAAGAATTGGAAAGAATTCAGAATAAGAATTTTTGAAAGTGTTCCTAGCCTCCTAATCTGCCCTTTGGGTAGTCTTCACATCCAGTATAGATAACTGTTTCTCTGGTAACCTGAAACATGGTAAATAACCTTGCCCTGCTGGTCTTCCTGACATCAGCTAAGGCAAAAATATTTCATAAACTAGTTTAGTCATCCTGTTTGTGTGTCTTACAAAAGAATTTTCCTTGAACGGTGTTTCATTTCTAGATCACCGGTGCCCCATAAGGAACTTGGCAAAGTATTTAAATTTAGAACTTTAATATCAGCAACTGTCATATTTTGAGTTCTGCTTTTCACTTCTGTCTTGGAGAGAGAAACAGGCTTTCCAGTTCTGTCTAGAGCACAGAAAGTTTGCTGTAGATGTAATACATTCCTCAGTGTAGCAGAGGGTTTTGGCTTAAGTTGGGCCTTCTTAATGTCATGGGAAAGACTCTGAAACTTAAGTGCTCTTGTTTCTGAAAGGCAGAGCCTGGTTTTATATTAATTAAGGTTTAGTTGTGATTATGCAGCTTGCTCATGGACTTGTGAACTTCTGAGGTGATGATAATGTCTCTCGCCAATCCCACAAATCATTGCATTTTTAAAAGGGTGAGGAACAGTGAGATAACCTCTCCTAATGTTTAAGTCCTTTTGCAACAGGTATGCTTAGTTCATTTAGTCTGACTTACCTAACGCCTGGCAAATAGTAAGCACTTAATACTTTATTCATTTACTTTTCCAGAGTATGGTCATTGCCTTAGCATTACTACAAAATAAAGGCAAAAACTTTGAAAGACTGCCAAAAAAAAGTCATTAAATCATTTTAATTAAGTGATTTAAGAGTCCTAAGCATTAAACATAGATCATGGGAGATAGGGAATTCTAAAGTCTTCTTAATACATTATCAAAAGTGACCCCTTTTTTTTTCTTAAACCACAAAAACAAACAAACAAAAAACTGTCCTTTGTGGGAAGTGTTATTTAGTATGTTGTCTTAGTTATGGTAAAAATTCCCCAAACACTTTCATAATCTCTCTTTGATTCTTAGTGTTTTCAGAGTAATAAAAGGCATCCTTTTGGTGAGAGCTACACTAATTGGGCAGATAGTACCTCACCTGTATTTGTCACCAACTCCATTGTGGCCCTCGACCTATAGCGGCTCAGTCAAAGCTTTCAGTAAAGTCCTTTGCCTACTGTTCTCTCACACTAATGAAAAACAAAGACCCACTAAAGAGAAGACCTTTTCTAATTCAGGGAGCATAATTTAAAGAATGCATTAGAAAAATGAGCTCTGTGGGTTCTTGAAAGGTTGATGGGCTTAGAGTGATCCTTGAGATTTCTTCCATACCTGAAAATGTAATATTTGCAAATGGGCTATAGCACTAGCAGATTGGTTTCCCAATTACTTGTGGTATAACAATATTTCACATTAATGAGCTAAAGAGAAATGGCTAAATCAGGAAATGATTATTCTGCTTTAGGTATTGGCTGCTATGGAAGAGGGAAAATGAACATATATTAAATATTCTATGGTTTATGGTGATTACAAATTTAATTTAGCCATTTCTTGTCCAGAACGTTTAAAGTAATCGGTTAATGATATATACTTTTCTCAGTCTTCTTGCTTATGAAGAAGAGTTAGAGCTGAAGAGATTTCTCTGAATCTTTTCCCATAAGCACCATAGCACATGAAAGCATAAAGAAGACTGGAAAAGTAATGGTTAATGGCATGCAGATCTCTGTCTTCCTTCTCCTCTAACTTTTCTTTCCATCTGCTTTCTTTATTTTTCTTTCCCATCCATCATCACATGGGGTGAATAAGTTAGATGATAAAATGTAATTCATTCCTTTTTCAATGTTGGTGGCAAAGGAAGCATATACTGTTGAAAATGGAAGGGATTTGAACTGAATGTGCTGCTTATATTGCGAAGTGCTGCCATCCCATCGCTGCTGGACTCTTGCCATTCTCAGGTGTATGTGCATTTTCTGGCTTTGAGGGTAGTGATAAATCAGGGGATTCAGCCTCTGAATATGAGTATGACATTAGAAATGTTGTAATTAAAGGAACCAGGTAGGCTCCAGATTAAAGATGCATGACATTGTCTTAGATGTAGATTTAAAGACCCAAAGTTAGTGGTATTGGTCAGCCAAATTTTCCACTAAACTTGGTGTTCTATTTTAACTTTTAAAAGCCAGTTTGGAGATTTGTGATTATTAAGTGAGAGGTAGTGAAAACAGTGACTAGAGCATAATCAGATTTATAGTTTGTACCAATTTAGATTCGTGATAGGTTGTTTTTATTCCTCAACCTACATAGTGTGTTGGATTAGTCCAGTTGCTGAGTGATGTTTTCTGTTTCTTCATTCATGTTCTATATTATTTTTCTTCACCAGAATGTCTTTGTATAGATTGAGATGGGTCCTCTCTGAAAGGAGTGGAGGAGGGGGGATAGTAGTGGTAGAAATAGTATGAGCAACATTCAGTTTTACTGGGTTTGACTAAGAGTTGTTGCTGAGAATCTTTTGCAAGGCAAGGTTACAATGTTGAACTTTTAAATTTAAAAAACAAGATACTTCTGCATAAATTTAAAAAAAGAAAGCGGTACCTACTAGTATTACAAGTCCCATAATTTTTTTTCCTTTTTCATTTTAACATTGATTTAAAGAAGAATTTCTGCTTTATGGCATTCATTTGATGAGAATTTAAAACGCAAAGTCCACAGATTTATCATTTCAATAAAAATGGCAAATTATATAACCATTATATTGCCCTAACTTCCCAAGTCTCAAGATGTTAATTCTGCCTACCAGTTAATTTTAACTGATGATAACTTTAGTTTCCTCATGTAGTTCTCAAAAGATTTCCTTTGCTTTTAGTCCATCTAATATTATTATCTCATGTACTCTTGATTTTTTTCCCTTTGGAATGTCAAATCCATTTACTGTGTTATAGTCATAAGATTTAAAAATTGAGGCTTCCATGCTACTTATTTAGTAAATTTGAGTGGAAATCAACAAACTTGGGATAAAGCTAATTGTAAAAGGAAAAACCAAATCTCTTAAAAAAAACAGCCCAAAATTATTCTGATTTCTTTAACTCATGTCCCCTTCTTCCTCCTCTCCTCTGCCAGCCTTTGGGTCAAACAGATTGAGTGGTTATGTGTATTGGTATTTGGTACTGCAGGCAGTCAAGACAGATATATAATTTTATTTTAAGGTCAATTTCTTTGTGATAGGAATGAAGAGCTATAGGATTGACTGTATGGAAAGAATGTCTAGATCTAGGAAGTCTTCATCTATCTTTCCATTTTGTTGTATAAATTGTAATAACAGAATTCATTTTGAGATTGATTGTACCAATCTATTAGGTGGATATTGTGGTTCCTTCTATATTACTCTTAATTTAACTTTCACATACTTGATTTGAATCAGTGGTCCTCTCTCAAGTTGTGTGCCTGAGGATGTTCAAAGCTACAAAACCTCCATGAGCATCTGAATGTATTGTGGTTTCAAAACTTGATACCTTAGTACAAGGTAGGAAACGTCATTATGAGTTTTTAGTTCTTATTTCTTTCATAGGGCAGATGTTATAACAGTAAAAGGGGATTACTGTGTTTTAGGACTGCCTTGCTGTTTTGTATTCCATATCTGTGTATGGAAGAAATATACTTTAAGAAGCATAAACACAGTATTCATTGGCTCTTCCCAAAGCTCTCCCTAACAAGTGCAGAGGACTTGATGGGTCCTGAAGCTCTTGGACTCTGTTTAGCTAACTGGTGATATTTCTTCTGTTAACGAAACAGTGTTTGAGAACAGTGCTTCTCTGTAACCCATGTTTGCCATAGGTGAAACTGTAGGCATGGGAACAGCAGGAAATACCTGTGCAGCTTGAGAGCATCCCCATATCACCCTTGAGCACTCCCCAAAAGTACCTTCTCTGTAAAGGTGTTCTCTGGTCCTTATTTGGTGGAAATAGAAAAAGAGGGAAAATGGCTTCTGCCAAATAAAATATTTATACGTCACCATCATGTGATATTTTTTCTTCTTTACTTATCTCTAAAATCATTTCCCCAAATGCCTTGTTGGGGCAGTTATGTATTACTTCTTATTTTTCCCTTTGTTCTCTTCCCTTCTTTTTTGTGTGTTATATTTATCTCTTTTTGTGTGTATCTTCTCTTTTTTTCATATTTCTTTTCGCAAACTCATCTCCTGGTTCCTCGTCCCCTGCATGCCACTAACTATTTTCATTAGATATTAATTGATTTGTGAATTCAGGCTGAATTGCATCATCAGCAGATGGCGGATCCAGACTTGTTGGAGGAGTCATCAAACCTCTTGGACCCAAGTGAGATTGGAAGAGGCACACCCTTACGGCTTGGGTAATTATCATTCTTACCTGCCTACTCTGCATTTAAGGTGTGTTCTTCCTCTTCTATCTTAGAAAACTTACATAGTAGGGAGTGTACTTGTTGCGAGAATGGTACTCCATTATGAATCTGTTGAAAATCATTCCCCCCCCAAAAAAAGAGAGAGAATCATTCCTGAATCAGTCCCTAGCCCATTTCATGTATTTGCTACATTGACAGCCCCTTCGTGGTTCCTGTAGTGGGTAAGAGCAGGAATCAGACCATGGCAGCTCTCATACCTATCTATAGCTAGTCTTCTCTTGTCCCAGCTGCTGAATCATCTAAAAGCTACTTGTCCTATAAAATGGAATTGTATCCTTAATTTGTTTGGGTTTTTTCACCCTCCTTTTGCAGCTTTGTGGCTGGTGTAATTAACCGGGAGCGCATCCCTACATTTGAGCGCATGCTATGGAGAGTGTGCCGGGGGAATGTATTCCTGCGTCAAGCTGAAATTGAAAACCCCCTGGAGGATCCTGTAACTGTAAGACAAGGAAATTGTGTCCTGTGGAGTAGTATTCTGTAAAGGGGGCCCAGAATGGTAACAGAACACTTGGACCATCTCAAAGAAGAGATCTTTATTTCTTTGTTTTCAATATGAGCTAGCAGACAGTCGATCTCCCTATAATTTCCATCACACATACAGTATTTATAAGCTTTGAGGTTTGGATATGGCAACAGAGGTGTTTTGATTGGAAATTTTCTAGTTATTTGAAACTTCAGATGTAGCTCCATACATCTTCTGTTACTGATCTGGGATCGGAAGCAATTTGCCTTTTTGTAAAATCAGCAAAATGCAAGAATTCTAATTTGGTAGTGTATTATACTCGAATTCAAATTACTTGATAATTGTGCTTCTGTTTCTACTGGGTTGATTTTTATAAGAAACTCCAAAAGAAAGCGAAGGGCACTATTATGACTCTAAACTGATAAAGTTAATGTTTAGAGCCCACATTTTTGTTCAGTTGATGAAGACTTCTTTTTTGTTTCTCACTTTGATAAATAAGTTGGTTGGGAAATTGAGTGATCTTCTTTCATGTATTTTGATGTAGTTTTCATCTTGCATTTGATGTAACAATAAGTTCAAAATACAAATCTCAGGATGGTCAGAATTGTGTGTTTCTGGTATCATAAGTGAAACAAGTTAAATGTGTAAGGAAAAAAAAATATCATTAATCAGAGATAGATGAATAGCCTAGAGTTGGCTACTACTTAAAACACCCATGACTCTGTACCTCACTGATGAAACTGTTACTTTTCTGCTCCTACTTAGTATAACATTTATTAAATCAGTGATCTTTGTTTTTCTGAAGAAGAAACGTTGAATCTAGTGAGATTTCAGGCTGTATCACTGTGCTGAAAATGACCCAGATGTTTATGCAACTTATTTTCTGTACCATGGTTATGGTTATGGTGACATAGATGGCCCACAAAGATGATTGCAGCCACACTGAAGGCAGATATTGAGTTTTGGAAACATTTCATGCTGAGTTTAAGGTCACACCTAGTATATAACTGTTCTCAGGAACATTAAGCCAAGTTTCCTCTGGCAGGGAAGAACAGTATTTTATCAACAAATACAGGAAGGGGGTCTGGATATCTGTACCAGAGCAGCTGTACAAAGAATGTACTCTCAGTGTCCCTGGAGAACTCAAAGATTTAAAACACTTCTGGGTTTTCCTCAGCGTCTGCTCACCTTATTTCCTGATTTTTCTTTAGTACTCATAATTGGAGTATAACCTAACTATTTAAGCTTTGTGCCTTATTTGTGAAGTCAAGTTTGAGTGATTTATGCTTATCCCTTTCAGCTCTTCAGTATCTCTTATCTGAGACTATTTAAACTCATGAGCAGAAATTAGCTCCTCTCCTTTTCTTTTTCGCAGTGCAGACAGGTAAAATCAATTGGTAAATGATCTGATTAGTAATTATCCTAGCCTCTGGGCTAGACTGCCCCAAGAACCTACACTCTTGCCCAATATGAAGATAAATAAAAAAGACTCAACTGAAATAAAAATGAAAGAGAATGATGTTTTTTCAGTGAAGTTGTTAAGGGTGCAAGAGATGATTAACAAACATGGTTGCTGCCCTTGTGCAATGTATGAAGGAACTAGAAAACTTACTGCTTCTTATCTACCAAAGAAACTCATTTATCTAGAAGTTTTCTATCAGCATTTAGAGCTACAAAATCTTGATTTTTTTCTGGGTTTAGGGAGACTACGTGCACAAGTCTGTATTTATCATTTTCTTCCAAGGTGATCAACTGAAAAACAGAGTCAAGAAAATTTGTGAAGGGTAAGAGAAATGTACTCACCTAGAGGAAGCTTTAAAACTTTTTTAGTGTTCGCTTGAAGATGAGTGAAATAGTAATTCTTTTGACCTGCCTGGACCTAGAGTATTCCTGTGGATAAGACTATGTAATGCCATAAGGATCTTTTAAATTGCTGTCAGTCTAACTGTTGGGTAAGTGATATAAGCTCATTTAGAAATGAACTTCAAGATCATAAGGTTCTTTTATTGAAGAAATGAAATCTTTCACCTCTAGTTCTTTATAAGTGATAAATTTATTGAAATGATAGAGTCTGTATACATGTACCAAAAAGTTATCTGTATGTATCGTTTCTTCATATTTTCTGAAATAACATTCTTGCTTCAGTCATCCAAATGACGCTTTACTTAATCATAACTTAGATTTTTGTAGTGCTTTAAAATGTATAACTTACTTTCTTCATAACAACCCTATGAAGTTAAATAAAACAAATACTATTTCAGTTTTACAAATAAGGAAATTGAGGCTAAGAAATGTTAAATGACTTGCCCAGGTTGATGCTAGTAAGTATTGGCATTGAGATTTGAACCCAGTTCTTTCTGACTCCGAGGCCAAGACTCCTTCCAATCTACCAAACTCTGTCATTTTTAAAACCATATTTTCGTTTACTTTTCTTTTTTAACCAAAAAAGAATTTTATAGCTGCAAAAGCATAATAGTGATGACAACTCAGGCAAAAATCTAGACTTTCTTCTTATAACTTTGCTACTATTAAATTCATTTTTGCTCACCAAATAAAAATAGAGACAGTGATAAATAGAGAAGGATTATGTTAGAATTGAAGAAGGCCTGCCTTAGAGTCAGAAAGACCTGGGTTTGAATCCCATGCCGTATTTATTACCTCTGTCTCTGACCCCAGACTAATTGAGCTGACTCTACCACTTGCATCTAAGCTGAGCCTTTTTTGGTTCTTTGGGTGGCTTACGTCATTTTCTCAGACGACTTGCCTTGTTTACATCGCTGTTATTCAGCTAGTTCCTGTTTATTCCAGGTTTCGAGCTTCACTCTATCCCTGCCCTGAGACACCACAGGAGAGGAAGGAAATGGCTTCTGGAGTTAACACCAGGATTGATGACCTCCAAATGGTATAACAATACAGACAGAGTTTGTAGTAGTCTATAACTATTCTCCCTCTTATAATACTAATAATTCATTGAACACCTTTGGCATTCAAAGTTCCCACAAGCAAATGTTACTGAGTGAACTGTCTGTTATGTTTATGGTTTCCCAGCTAGATAAATTTGGGAAAGGGTTTCAAGGATGGACCCCACCCCCCCAAAAAAAAATTAACCACTGTCAAAAGAGACAGCATTGTCTAGGCATCTGTGGGGTTTTGTTTGTTTTTGCCTAAAACTGTGTTCTCCAATGTGCATTAAGATGATTGGGGGGGAGAAAAGGGTCTAGGCCTCCAGCTTTGACACAGCTGGTTTCTGGCAGAGACCTCTTTATTCTGAGTGGCTGCAGTAGCAATGGCTTAGATATTAATTCCTTTCTTCCTACCTCCTTCCATCCTGCCACAGTTCATGACCATACTGGACTGTGCTAGTGACAGCATCAGGGACAGTTACAGCCCGAGTAAGAAGCCAGAGTATCCAGGTGGTAGTGAGGATTAATGCAGGCTGAGTGTGAGGTCTAGGGCAGCCAGAATGATAGTGACCAGATTAAGATGGGGACCTCTCATGTCAGGGACAGTAGGTAGCAGCTGCTGTAAGAAGTAGGGGTGATGGAGGTGGAGGTGACATAGGAGACCTGGGCCATGCAGCTCTGAGTTCTGAGGAGGCAGCTAAGCCCAGTGGTTTCTGTTTCTCTCCTTGCTTTCGGACTGTGCAGGGTTTGGTTGTGGTAGAGAGTGGTGTTCTGACCAGGCCAAGGATGGCAGCTGTGATGGCTATGAGAGTCAACAGTGGGGAAAGTAACAGTGAAGGAATAGATACCAGGGAGACCATAGCTGAGAACAAAGAGGCTCTAGCGATGTGATCAGTGGGCTAGTGGAAGGTAACAACATGCCTGGCCCTGGGGATAAAAGGACAAAAATGAAATAGGCCCTCCCATCAAGGAGTTTATAATCTGGATTAAGAGAGTCAATTTATGTTTACAAAAATATATACAAAGTACACGACAAATTTTAGAGAAAGGCACTAGCAAGTAGGAAAAAAATCAGGAAAGGCTTCATGTGGAAAATGGAGCCAATATTTCAACAAATGAAGGAAGGAAGGAAGGAAGGAAAGGAGGGAAGGAAGGAAGGAAAAATAAGTGTTAAGCCTTTACTGTGTACCAGGCACTGGGATGAACACTGGAGATACAAATACAAAAGTAAAAACAGTCCCTTCCTTCAAGGAGCTTTCACTCTGTTGGGAGGAAACATTACACATAGAGGAATGGTGGGTCAGGGAGAGGCATTTTGGTTCAGAACACTATAGAAATGTTAGTGAAGGAAAAGAGCAATTTTAGACCCAGAAATTTTTTTTACTGATAGTCATAAAAGTTTTGGGGACCACTGGCCTAGGGTTTTCAACTTCCTTCCATCACATGAATATGCTTAGTTTTTGTTACCCTATTAATTCACAATTAAAGAACAGCTGTTATAGGCAAATGGTCTTTGTGTTGAATTTTATAATATTTTATAGAACTAGTTTGAATACCATAGTTATTTCTGTATCCCAGAGAGGAATCATGATTACGTACATAGACAACAGGTGCAAAGAGTAAGCTTGTGGTGTACAGTGCTGAAAGGAGTTTGAATAGGCATTCTTTTTTTTCTTTTTTTTTTGGTGAGGCAATCAGGGTTAAGTGACTTGCCCAGGGTCATACAGCTAGTAAGTGTCAAATGTCTGAGGTCACATTTGAACTCAGGTCCTCCTGACTTCAGGGCCGGAGCTCAATCCACTGTGCCACCTCGCTGCCCCATTGAATAGGCATTCTTACCCTAGTGTCTGTGAACTTGTTTTTTAAATATTTTGATGACTGTGTTTCATCATAATTATCAGTTAAAACTTGATAATCCTATGTATTTTATGTATTGAAAAACATTATTCTGAGAGCAGGGTGTGTTTTTTGCCTTTGTATCTCTGTCACTTAACACTTTGCTTCACATGCTAGTCACTTAATACTTAGGCTTTACCAAACTGCCATGATAACAACTGAAGGTTAAGAACTCATGAGTTAATACTTTGTCTCCTTGGAGCCATTGTTAAATCAGAACCGTGTACTCAAAGATTATTCAGATTCCTAGCAGTGGTAAGAATTGCCAAAAGTACTTGTTCACTTTCATCTCAGATTCTCTCTTCTCTCTTTCTCCCCATTTCTTCTTTACCCTGTAATTTGGCTTCTCCTGTCAACTGAGTTCTATGACTATCTCCTACTTTGTTCAGCCGTGCAATTAAGGCCAGGGAAAATAAGATTTTTTTTTTGGTTGGTGATTAATTGGGTGAAACTTTTAGCTGCATTCATAGAGCAGAAAGTTGATATAGATATGCAGATGATAAAAATAAAACTTGAGAATAGAGATCAAATGCTTCTGTCATATTGGGGAAGGCAAAATTCAGTGTTTCCATTTAGTCTATTTAGCATTATTCCTGAAGCAATCTGAATAGTAATTGTGAACTAAGCAACAATCAGATGGTTATAGAATAATTTTGATCAAACTCCAGTTGGAGGGATCACAATTAACTCTTGAATTCTAAGGATTTTCTAAGCTTTAGTTTTCTCTAAAAGTTACCTATGCCAGTCCGGGACACTCTTTTTTTTAAAAAGTTTTTTAAAAATTTTGTATTAATATCTTTTATCTTCATATCACCTACATTTCCCAATATACCCCCCCAACTATCCCTTATAACAAAGATTTGAAAAATGAAAAACAGAAACATCTTAACAAAACTAATCACATCAGCCAAGTACAAATTCTTATGTAGTTCTTTTTTTGTTTGTTTGTTTTGTTAGTGAGGCAATTGGGGTTAAGTGACTTGCCCAGAGTCACATAGCTAGAAAGTATTATGTGTCTGAGGTCAGATTTGAACTCAGGTCCTCCTGACTCCAGGGCCGGTGCTCAAATGTAGTTTTTTAAACTTGTGTTGCCCTCCACTTCTGCGAAGAATGGGGTACGTTCTCTGTTGTTTTTCAGGCCCAGCATTCAGTTTCACGTATTTTGTTGTTGTTCTTTTCATTTATATTGCCATACTTACTATGTATATTATGTTTTTCTGGTTCTGCTTAATTCACTTTGCATTGGTTTGTATAAGTCTCTCCCTGCTTCTCTGTAGTCATTATATTAATTATTTCTTATAATATTCTGTTATATTTGTGTTCCACAGTTTGGTTAGCCATTCCCTAATCAAAAGCATCTTGCTGCCACAAAAAAATGTTGCTATAAATATTTGGGTATATATGGGACCTCACTTTTTCTTATGATTGGCTTCCTTGGGTTATATAATCTTTTAGGGAATAATTTTGCTTCTCTGAGCAGGGTTCTTGATCAGGGGGCAGGGAGCCTCCAAGCCTGTATCTCTCTATATAGCATTTTATGTCCTTCCCTCCTCCAAAAATACATGGAAATTCAAATTCTGCAGAAATGTGGTAACCATCCTCTTGTAGATCCAGAGATGTAAGAGAACTTAAAGGCCACCTAGTCCTTTAGGGTGGCCCAGGGAGGTTAAGCTACTGGCCCAAGATCATATAGGTGGTATTAGGGCTCTGATTTGAGATCTATTTGAGATCTTAAATATTTGGTGGTGAGCGGTGAAAGGTGGAATGGTAGCTACTGCCTCTTCCATCACACTTTTATCTTTATAATGGAATTCCTTAAAGGGAAAGCTGCACTGGCTCATAAATGTAAACAGTTGGAACTTTTTTCAAGGATATTGGACAAAAGGGCAAATACCTGACTATAAACACATGATTATAGTAGTGTGGGGCATTCCAGGCACACACCCCGTGGTCCCTCAGAGTATTACATATTACAGGTAGATCTTATAATGTAGAATAGTCACAATAGGCCTTCTTCCTACTGTATTCTGATAATGGTACTAGATAGGTAGGTTTTCCCATGGAATTCAATTCCCTACTCAGAAGTATGGTTTTGTCCATTCCTCAAGTCAGTGCCCCACTGTTATGGTACTTTTTATGGCACTTTGTAACCCTGAGTTACAAACCCTAGATGACAAATTAAAAATCCGTGTGAGTCAATCCCAGGAAATCAATGAACAGTTTATTCTATTTTCAATTTAATCACAGAGGAAAAATTCCATTAAATGAAAATCAACAAAGTGGCGCTTAATTGGGGAGTAATTCTCTGCCATTTTGGCTAAGGAAGACCATTTCAGCCAGAGGAAAAGAAAGATAGAAACTAAATTCAGAGCTGTGCTTCTCTGTCAGTTGCCTCTTGAGATATACAACAGCATCTTGTCTGCAAGGCTTACTTGTTCCTTCTTTTCATGTAAGGTTCTAAACCAAACAGAGGATCACCGACAGAGAGTCCTCCAGGCAGCTGCTAAAAACATCCGTGTCTGGTTCATCAAAGTGCGGAAGATGAAGGCCATCTACCATACCCTGAACCTGTGCAACATTGATGTGACCCAGAAGTGTCTGATTGCCGAGGTCTGGTGCCCTGTTGCTGACCTAGATTCCATCCAGTTTGCTCTGAGGAGAGGCACGGTGAGTATTGTGGGGCTGACATGCTCCCACAAACTCCACAAAGGCAGTGGTTCTGATTCTTTGCATTTACATGATGGTCTTCCCGAGTGTTTTAATATTTTTTTATTTTATCTTTACCCCCTAAATGCCCTTTAAAGATAAAGCTAGAATCATAAAATCTTAGAGTTGGAAGAGGCTTCAGAGGATGCCCTCTCTCCTGAGAGAGGAAATTCTGGTAATCTCTCCTGAAACATAAAGCCTCTGTACACACATCCCTGACAGGTGGCCATCCACCCTCTGCTTAAAGATGTCTGTCTGTAGGAAACCCCCTACCTCCGGAGAGGGAGAGCCTGGAGTGTGCCTGCTCTCATCTCAGCCTCTTGGAATTCCTAGCATGCTTCAAAGCACAGCTCATATGATAGCTGCCATAAGAAATCTGTCCTGATTTCTCTCTTCTCCCACCCCTCTGCCCCAAGTTCTTAGTTTTCTCTTCCTTGATTATCATATTTATATTTGACTAATTACATGTTGTAGCCCACCAGTAGAACATAAATTCCTTGAGAGAGGAATTTTCACTTTTGTCTTTGTATTTCCAGTGCATAGCACAGTACCATACATATGGTTATTTACTAAGTGTTTATTGGGTTGAATTGTTACCTCTGGCAAGGGCCCGTTCTAATTTTGGAACAGCACTGATTGTTAGGAAATTTTTTTTTCCTTATATTGAATATCTTTCACTGTAACTTCCATCTCATTCTGCCGTCTAGTTCTGCTCCTCTTTTATGTGATAACTTATCACATATTTGAAGACAGATGCTTTTTCTCACCCTCTCAATTCTTTTCCCATTTTTAACGCCCCCAATTCCTTTTACTAATGTTAGAGTTCTCTTAGCATCACAGGGCCCTCTTCTGGACCCTGTTTCAGTTTGCCTATATTTTTTCTAAAATATACTGTCAAGAACTCCAGATATGGGCCTGTCAAGGCAAAGTATGGTAAAACTGTCCTTCTCTTCATTATACTTCTGTTAATGGAATTCAGCCTATGATCAACTCCATTAAAATCTTATCTTCATGCCTCATTCTGAGGTGGAGAGGACCCATGGTTCTCAAAGATTACATTAGTGAAGTGTGTTATCTCTTGTATATTATATAAAACTTTAAAGTATTTAAATACCAACTGGCAATGCATTTTATGTGTGTGTTTGTATGTATGTATGTATGTATATGTCTTTTGTCTGAAGACCACCTGAGGTAAACTCATCAGAGTGTCTGTGGGGTGACAAATTGGGGATGGGAGGGGAGTGCACACATGAGGAGGGTAGTGATAATTAAACTAAAAAGACCTTCAGTGAATCATTAAAAAAGAAAGAGAATAAAACAGAAGCAAGTTCAGAAGGGGACACAGATTAGCAAGGTAGTTTTGAGATTACCATGTTAAATTTGAAATAGATTAAAAAACAGGCTGTACATAGTGGATACTCAGTTTCGTATACAGTCATCTTTTTTTCTGTTATGTATAGGAAATGTTCATCTGTGTTGATGTTAGTCAAGGTAATGATAATCTAAAGAAAAAAAATTTTAAAGCAAAAGCAAAAAAAAAAGGTGAAGTTTGGGGCTAGTCTAGCCTGGCTTGTTCTTAATGGACCCATGTTGGTTCCTTATTCTCTTTATAAGTGCTTACAAAGCAGTTTCATTTTTAAAAATAAATTTGTGTTGTTATATTTTGATTTTATATCACTTACATTTCCCAATGTGTACCTTCCCCCTCCCAGAGGGCTATCTCTTTTAATAAAGATATAAAAAGAGGGGGGGAAATTAACAAAACTAATTAACATATAAAAAAATCTGGCATCATATTCAGTGTTCAACATCCACAGTCCATCACCTCTATGAAGAAGTTTCGTTGCTGTTTTTTCCATTAACGTTGTAATATTCTATATATGGTCTTCCTGGTTCTCCTTATTTCACTTTGCTTCAGTCCATCTAACTTTTAAATCTTTGCTTCTTTTTATTCATCATAGTCATCCTTTGTTATAGCACAGTAAATTCCATTGTGTTCATGTACCACAGTTTGTTCAGCCATCCCACCATCAATGGACATCTACTTTCAAACCACCCTTTTAATATTTTATTCTAGTGTGTGTTTTAAGGAATCAAAGTCACCAACCTATGAAGAGTCCATCTTCTGGACTTTTAAAAAACATTTGGACATTTGTTCATCTCTAGTTCTATGGTATCTTTCTAAATTATCCAGAAGATCTCAGGGATCAGTGATGACAGATCAGTCACATCTTAGTTTATTTTTTCTAGGAGAAGGGTTAGCAAACTACATTTGCCTTAGATCTAAGAATGGTTTTTACATTTCTAAATAAAGTTTTGTTATGCTTAAGAAAATAAAAACCATTAAATTGTGGGGGTGCCTATCAGTTGGGGAATGGCTGAGCAAGTTGTGGTATATGAATGTAATGGAATACTATTATTCCATAAGAAATGGTGAGCAGGCAGACTTCAGAATAACCTGGAAAGACTTGCATGAACTAATGCAGAGTGAAATGAGCAGAACCAGGAGAACACTTTACATAGTAACAGCAACATTGTGTGATGACTGACTTTGTTAGACTTAGCTCTTCTGAGCAATGCAGTGATCTAAAACAATTCCAAAAGGCTCATGGTGGAAAATGCTATCCATATCCAGAGAAAGAACTATGGAGGCTTGAAAGCAGATTGAAGCATACTATTTTCTCTTTCTTTTGTTGTTTTTTCTTTCCCATGGTTTTTCCCTTTTATTCTGATTCCTTTTTCACAACATGACTAATGTCAAAATATATTTAATATCATACATGTATAACCTATATCAGATTGCATGCTGTCATGGGAGTGGGGGAGTGGAGGGGGGAGGATATTTTAGAACTCAAAATCTTACAGAGGTGAATGTTGAAAACTAAAAATAAATAAGAAAAAAAAGAAAGTAAAACCCATTTTTAGCTCTGCAGATGTACAAAAATAGGCAGTAGGTTGGATTTGGCCCTGGACCATAGTTTGTTGACCCCTGCTCTAGGATATTATTTACCCAGACCAGGCAGCCTGGACATACTGAGGATAGCTAGGCAGCTAGGTGCTTATAACATCTCATCATTTTTCTTAGGTTTCAACTTCCTTATAACAGTTTTTGTTCTCTCCTTTGTGAATTACTTCATTGGTAGAGAAGACAAAATGAATGGAGGTGTTAGGTAATATTCTGCCTCTGTCATCATCCTGTCCTTCCTTCCAGAAGCAATGATCCTATTCCACCGTTGCTCTTCTTCATGCCCTTAATGTAATTAAAAAAGCCTTTTGTGTTATATTCAGTTTATAACACAATCCTTAGTTCATATTGATCTTTAACCTTCCTGACACTATTCTAACATAACCTTGTTCCTCTTTTATGTATCCTCAGTTTTCTGTCCTTGCTTTCATCTCTTGTAAATGCTTTTAAAATCTGAACTTGTTGGTAAGCTCCCTGTTCAGCCACATGCTGCTTTTTCTTTTCATTGGAATCATCTTCAGAATTTCAATCTCAACAGCATCCGCATCCCTCTTCGACTGACTTCCCTTTTAGATTCTTTTGCCATTGGCTTCTAGCTTTTTTATCAGAATTCTTTAAAATAATTCCAAACCTCCTCCCTGGCCATACCCAATCTAAGATATACCTCAAACTAGGCCACAAATCTGCCACAAATTAAAAATAATTTAATTATTATATCCACAGCACTCAGCTTGATTCTCTGAGGAACACAGAGAGCGAACAAACATAGTACCTGTCCCCAGGGAGCTTACAATTTAGACACATATAAATAACACAGTGTAGTAAATGACAAATGCTATGAGTGTTCCAAGCTAACTGTTCTAGGCAAAGCTGGAAAGGAGGTAGCATTTGAGCAGGGTCTTGAAGGATGACAGGAGTCTGATAAGTGGCATGAACATTCCAGGCAGAGAATAGCATGAGCAAAGCCATGAAGGAAAAGTTTAATGGGTGTTGAGGGAATATCAGGTAATATAGAAGAACTGAGATCTAGGTATTGTGTAGAGGAATAGTGGAGGGTAAGGCTGGAAAAGTGGGTTCAGCCTAGATTATGGAGGGAGTTGAATGCTAAGCTAGAATTTTAGACTGTTGAGTAAGGAGTGGAGAGCTATTGCAAGTTATTAGTGTAATTGTTACAAGAGTAATTTTTCTTTCTTCTCTCAGTTTTTAATCAAGAGAGATAAGGGGAGAAGGAGATTTGCAATAGTGATGCAAAAAAAAAAAAAAGAAGGCCACTGAGACATTTTTTAAAGTGCACAGCTGAAAACAGAAGCAAATCCAGAAGGAAGCACAGACAAGAAAGGCGGTTTTGAAAGTAATGTGTGGAATTTGTTATATGCTTGTTTAAAAAGTCAGTGATATGGAATGGAAATACGGAATATGTAGTTTCATACAGAGTCCTTTTTTTACGTTTGACTATGTAGATGGAAATAGCCTTTTTTTTGGTGTTTGTGTAAGTTAAGAATAAAAAAATTTATTGAGCAGAAGGGGGTGCTTGAGAAAGATAATGTGATGATATTGTATATAGGGCAGGGCAGAGTGGAGGAGAAGAGATCTAAAGGCAAGGAGAGAACTGAAAGTAATTGGACTGCTGTCCAAGCATGAGGTAATAAAGTCCTGAATAACAGGATTGGAGGAATAACAGATTGAGAAAGAAAAATCAATTACTTGGGGACTGAATGTGGTTGATGAAGAAATCAAAGGCAGTTCTGAAAATTTGAGCCTGTGTGATTGGGAGAATGGAAGGTACAATTACTGGAAGCAAGGTTGTTAGGAGATGTGTTTGTAGGTATGTTTAAGGTGCTGGTGGTACAGTCGGAACTATCTTACTAATGATTGAAAATTCAGGACTCTTTTGATGTTTTGATTTTTGCTGGAGTATTTTCTTAAAATCTTATTTGTTATTATAGGAGATATCTGTGAGGGAAGGGGAGGAGACAGATATATTGGGAAATGTTGGTGAAATAAAAATGAAAGATATCAATAAAAATTTTCTTTAAAAACAATCTGAGGCTGGAATTGAATATATTATGTGTCAAAGGCTGGAGCAGACTATATTTATGTGTCAGCTGAAGTAAAAAAAAAGTAGGGGTAGCTTTCTTGATCTCAGACAAAGTAAAAGCAAAAATAGATCTAATTCAAAGAGATAAAGAAGGAAACTACATCTTGCTAAAGGGTACCATAGACAATGAAGTAATATCACTACTAAATATATATGCACCAAGTGGTATAGCATCCAGATTCTTAGAGGAGGAGTTAAGTGAGTTACAGGAAGAAATAGACAGCAAAACTATACTAGTGGGGGATCCTAAACTCCCCCTTTCAGAACTAGATAAATCTAACCACAAAATAAACAAGAAATTAAAGAGTTGAATAGAATTTTAGAAGTTAGATATGGTAGACCTCTGGAGAAAAGTGAAGGAGTATAGAAAGGAATATACCTTTTTCTCAGTGGTACATGGCACCTACACAAAAATTTACCATGTACTAGGGTATAAAAACCTCACAATCCAGTGCAGAAAGGCAGAAATATTGAATGCATCCTTTTCAGATCATGATGCAATAAAAATTACATGTAACAAAGGGCCATGGAAAGATAGTCTAAAAATTAATTGAAAACTAAATAGTCTAATCCTAAAGAATGAGTGGGTAAAACAACAAATCATAGAAACAACCAATAGCTTCATCCAAGAGAATGACAGTAATGAGCCACATACCAAAACTTATGGGATACAGCCAAAGTGGTTCTTAGGAGAAATTTTATATCTCTAAATGCTTGCATGAATAAAATGGAGAAAAAAGAGGCCAATGAGTTGGGCATGCAACTAAAAAAGCTATAAAAAGAACAAATTAAAAATCTCCAATTAAATACCAAATTAGAAATTCTGAAAATCAAAAGAGAGATTAATAAAATTAAAATTAGGAAACTATTGAAGTGAAAACTAAAACTAAGAGCTGGTTTTATGGGAAAAATAATAAAATAGATAAACCTTTGTTTAATTTGATTTAAAAAAAGAAAGAAGAAAACCAAATTACCAGTATCAAAAATGAAAAGGGTGAATTCACCACTAATGAAGAGGAAATTAAAATAATAATTAGGAGCTATTTTAACCAACTGTATGCCAATAAATCTGACAATCTAAGTAGAATGGATGAATAGTTACAAAAATATAAATTACCCACATTAACAGAAGAGGAAATAAAATTAATCCTAATTCAGAAAAAGATATTGAACGAGCCATTAGTGAACTCCCTAAGAAAAAATCTCCAGGGCCCAATGGATTCACAATGAATTCTACTAAACATTTAAAGAACAATTAATTCCAATCCTATATAAGCTATTTTTAAAAATAGGCAAAGAAGGAGTCCTACCAAATTCTTTTTATGATACAAATATAATGCTGATACCTAAACCAGGAAGAGCCAAAACAGAAAAAGAAAATTATAGACCAATTTCTCTAATAAATTATAGATACAAAAAATTTAAATAAAATATTAGCGAAGAGATTACAGCAACTTATCACAAGGATAGTACACTATGATCAAGTGGGATTTATACCAGGAATGCAGGGCTGGTTCAGTATTAGGAAAACTATCAACATAATTGACCATATCAATAACAAAATTAACAGAAGTCATGTGATTATCTCTGTCGATGCAGAAAAAGCTTTTGACAAAATAAAACATCCATTCCTATTAAAAACACCAGAGGGGCAACTAGGTGGTGCAGTGGATAGAGCACTGGCCCTGAAGTCATGAGTACCTGAGTTCAAATCCGGCCTCAGACCAAACACTTGACACTTATTAGCTGTGTGATCCTGGTCAAGTCATTTAACCCCAAATGCCTTTTAAAAAAAAACCACCAGAGAGCATAGGAATCAATGGAGTTTTCCTTTAAAAGTTAATAGCATCTATCTAAAACCATCAGTAAACATTATATGTAATGGGATGAGCTAGAATCATTTCCAGTAAGATCAGGGGTGAAATGAGGATATCCATTATCACCATTGTTATTCAATATTGTACTAGAAATATTAGCTTTATCTATAAGAGAAAAAGAAATTGAAGAAATTAGGATAGGCAGTTAAGAAACAAAACTATCACTATTTGCAGCTGATATGATGGTATACTCAGAGAACCCTAGAGAAATAAACTAAAAAACTTCTTGAAATAATTAACAACTTTAACAAAGTTTCAGGATACAAAATAAACCCATGTAAGTCATCTGCATTTCTGTATATTACTAACAAAGCCCAGCATCAAGAGATAGAAAGAGAAATTCCTTTTAAAGTAACTGTAGACAATATAAAATATTTGGGAGTCTACCTGCCAAGGCAAACCCAGGAACTATAGGAACACAATTACAAAACACTTTTCACACAAAAGTCAGAAAGAAATAGTTGGAAAAATATCAGTTGCTCATGGATAGGCTGAGCTAATATAATAAAAATGACAATTCTACCCAAATTAATTAATTTATTCAGTGTCATATCAATCAGACTACCAAAAATTATTTTATAGAGCTAGAAAAAATAATAACAGAATTCATCTGCAAGAACAAAAGGTCCAGAATATGAAGGAAATTAATGCGAAGAAATGCAAGGGAAGGTGGCCTAGCTATACCAGATCTAAAACTGTATTGTAAAACGGAAATCATCAAAACTACTTAGTACTGGCTAAGAAATAGAGGGATGGATCAGTGGAATAGGTTAGGTACACAAGACTCAGTAATCAATGACGTTAGTAATCTACCATTTGAAAAAATAATCTAGGGGCAGCTGAAGTCAGGAGTGCCCTCAGACACTTAGTAGTTGTGTGATTCTGAGCAAGTCACTTAACCCCAATTGCCTCCAAAAAAATAAAAATAAAAAACTAATCTGCAGGATGCTAAATCTCAGGAGAAGATATGATTTAGAGTTGTGTATTTGGGGCTCAATACCATAGAGGGCATAGTAGAAGCTGTGAGGGCAGAAGTCTCCTAGGGAAAACATATAGGAAAGGAAGAAGGTTGAGGGTAAAAACTTGGAGGAGACCTACATTTCACATGTCAAAAGTGGAAGAAAAACCATCCAGTGGGAAAGAAAAGGAGTGGTTACAGAGGTAGGAGAAGAACCAGGGTAGTATGGCTCCACAGAAGCCAATTGAAGGGTGCAGTCATTACTGTCAGAATCAGCAGAGAGGTCAAGGAACATGAATCAACAGAAAAGGGTTTGGTGATTAGTTAGCCATCTCTTTGACCTTTGAGAGGATATATATTTGCTGGATATAAGGAGAGAAGCAGGTTACAAAGCATTTTATGTTCTACCTGAGCAGTTTAAGGAGACAGTTGTTAAGTGGGAACAAGGTAAAAGACCTTGAGGCCATGTCATATGAAAATTGGTTGAAGGAAATGGATGGATATGTTTTACGTAGAGAAGAAGAGAAGATTTGGAGGGCAGGAGAGGAGAAAAGGATGTGATAGCTGTGTTCAAGGATTATATTTGTTTTGTTTGGCTCCAGAGACCTGGATGTTAGAGAGACAAATTGAGACTTGGTGTCAGGAAAAACTTCCTAACAATTAAATGTTATCTAAAAGTAAAATGGGCTGCCATGGCTGGTTGTAGGGTTACCCTTTCTTGGAAATCGTCAGAGACTGGATGATGACTTGTTAGGTGTGTGTGTATGTTTGTTTGTTTGCTTGTTTGTTTATTTAGAGTTATCAGCAATCACTTCCATAAGCTTTTGAGTTTTAAATTTTTCTCCTCCTCTTTCCCCACCTCCCTCACCAAGACAGCTCGAAATCAGATATAGGCTATACATATACATTCCTATTAAACACATTTTCACATTACTGATGTTGTAAGTAAGAATTAGAACCAATAGGAGGAACCACAAGAAAGAGAAAACAAAACAAAACAGAAGAAAAAATGCAAATAGTATGCTTCGATCTGCATTCAAACTCCATAGTTCTTTCTTTGGATGTGGATAGCATTTTCTATCATGAGACTTTTGGAGATGTCTTAGATCCTTGCATTGCTGATAAGGGCTAACTAAGTCTATCAAAGTTAGTCATCGCACAACATGGATGTTACTGTGTACAACATTCTTCTGGTTCTGCTCACTTCACTCAGCATCAGTCCATACAAGTATTTCCAGGTTTTTCTGAAGTCTGCCTGCTCGTCATTTCGTATATTGTCAGGTATATCATAGTGGGAATTTGTTTTGTTTATGTGTGAGACTAGTTGTCTACCAATATCCCTTCCAACTGTGAAATTCTGTGATTCTGATTTTAAAATTAGTGGTGGCGAAGAAGTAGAAACAGCAAATATAAATTATTTGTTTAAGAAATTTGATGGTGAAAGGAAAAATAAAGTGCAATAGCTCAAGTATATCCAAGGGTCAGGGGAGAGAAAGCAGAGAGGGAAGGAACCAGATGAAGAGGGAGAGACTGAAGATGCCATAGGGAGAGGGAATCATTAGTAGATTGAGGTCTTAAAAGAAATGAGCAGAAATGGGAGAAAAAGCAAAAGGGAAGATTTAATCTTGGAGAGGAAAAACACCTTTTGAGATGAAGGAAAGGAAGAGAAGATTCAGAGAAATTTTGAGGTGAGGGGGATCTGGTAACAAGTGGCGAGTGAAAAAGATAGTCAGACTTGAGTGTTTCCTAGGGAGATTGATTCCACAGCTTTCTTTAGTCGCCAGTACTAGAATTAAGTAACTTATTTTAAGGAAATTCTTTCTGATAACTAGTTTAAATCTTTCCTTGTGAGTTTTGCATTTAGTCCCATTTTCCCCCAAAGCCTTGGAAAAGTAGTCTAACATTGTATGCCTGCTATTTCACAGGAGCATAGTGGCTCTACAGTGCCTTCCATTCTGAACAGGATGCAGACAAACCAGACTCCCCCAACTTATAACAAAACCAACAAGTTTACATCTGGCTTTCAGAACTTGGTAGATGCTTATGGCATTGGAACATACCGGGAGATTAATCCAGGTAATATCCTAGACATTTTTCTGTGAGAGATACTGCTGGACAAAAAATCTCACTCATTGTTGAACAGCCAGGATAAACTGACAAAAGTCTTCTGATAATAGATAATATCCCTGTTGGCAATTGGACTGGTGCTGTTGTCCATTTTGGCTCACATGGAACTACTGTCAGTCCTAGATTTGCATATGAAACCTTAGACTTCATACAAATGACTGTTTGCATCTTATAAGGAAGTTAGAACAACTTATTGTATTAAACTGTTAACATGTTTCCTTATGGCTATAAAATACTTAGCCTTCTTTTGGCAAAGCACTAGCAGAAGCAGTTCCAAGTAAAATGTTGATTTCTGGTTATGACTATTCTATATTGTAAAGATAATCTTACTGGCTCTGCTTTTTTCAGGTATGGCAGCATATTTTAGTCAAATCAGATTGCAAAATATCAACTGATAATATCTTAGACAAGATATGGCTTACTGTTCAAATAACTTGATGTAGTTCTTGGAGAAAGAATTTCTCAAAGCCTCGTATTCTTACATCACAAGCTGAAAATAGAACTAGCCTTATCCTGGGTGTGGGACATCTTTCACTTCCTAGCAGAATCATTTATTGAAAAATAATAACTGTACCGTAGGGGGAAAAAACCAACAAACAAACCTATCTTAGGAATGGTGGTACTGAAGTCAGAGAAAGGGAATAGGAGGTTTAACTGAGCTATTATTTCATTTCCTTTTTCTTTCTTTTTTTTTTGTTCAGGCAGTTAGGGTTAAGTGACTTGCCCAGGGTCACACAGCTAGTGTCAAGTGTTTGGTCTGAGGCCGGATTTGAACTCAGGTCCTCCTGACTTCAGGGCCGGTGCTCTGTACACTACACCACCTAGCTGCCCCTTTCATTTCTTTTTTCACCTTCGTTTACAGTTAAAAGTCAAAGTTGCTTTGTGACTTTGTGATTGTAGACCCCACCAGGAAGATATTTCCCCAATAACCATCTGGTCTGACAATTGATCTCAGATTTCTTAGAGTAGAAGGTCCTTTTATGTTATTAACAAAATATAGAGAGGATTATGGTGGATTCAACAGATCAACATTATTACTGATTTCTACACTTAGTCTTTTTTCCCCCACTTTCTGTCTTTTGGTTCCTGTATAGCTCCCTATACCATCATCACTTTCCCTTTCCTGTTTGCTGTCATGTTTGGAGACTTTGGCCATGGGATTTTGATGACCCTCTTTGCTATCTGGATGGTGATGAGAGAGAGCCGAATCCTCTCCCAGAAGAATGAGAATGAGGTAAAGCTAAGTCACCCTTTCAAGAGCTGCACTGATATTTAAGGGGGGAGGGGGAAGCTTTTGCTTAAATTTTCATCAGTAATATAACCCTCTTGGTCACCTTATAGATTTTGTCAGGAAAATAAACAGGAAGAGAGAAATAGATTATTACTAGTCACTAATGACTAAAACACTAGTCACAGGCTGCTACCTGGGAAACTAAACATGTAGCTAGCATTGGTCTTTTCTTTGAGTTGCTTGACCCAAAATAAATCATGGAACACATGGGGGGATTGGGATGCTACATTCTTAGAGACATTTGTCAGCATTATGCCAAGACCAGATCCTGTAAATATGTACTTAGGCTCTGCTTTCTTTCCATATGCCAGATGTTTAGCACTGTGTTTAATGGTCGGTATATCATTCTGCTTATGGGTGTGTTCTCCATCTACACTGGACTTATCTACAATGACTGCTTTTCCAAGGCACTTAACATATTTGGGTCATCCTGGAGCGTCAGGCCAATGTTCACATCTAATTGGACGTAAGTTATTAGAGGAGCCAAAGATCAAAGCTATTTCTTTTCTTATGCTCAGCTTTGTTTTTCTAGACTGGTGGTGACCTAGAGCAGAGGTGTGCACTCCCAAGTGCAGCCTGAACCAGATCAAAATGTGATTGAGAAGTATTTAACAAAACAAAAATATAGTAGAACGTAGATAATGTTAACAGTTTTCTAAGGCAATATGCGGTCCACAAGAGATCCTAATATAGGGTTTAGTGACCCCTTTTTTCTTTGAGCTTGATACCACTGATTCAGAGTACCACAAAAAACCCAGAGCTAGTTTTTCTTTAGGGAATGGCTAAGTTAGCAAAAAGGTTTCCCTATTTCAAAAAGGATACAGTGTCCTTATATATAACAAACTGAATTATTTTGGTAGGATTCAAAAATATCAGGAAGCAGACCCATTGGCTTTTTTTATAAAGTAATAAAATATCAAAAAAAGAACCCTTAAATTTCTTCCTTTGGGATATGTTTGATTCATTATAGGTATATTTCCTCTTTTTTTTTTTCTGTCTCTCAGCTCACTTCAGCGGTTTGCTTCTTCCCTTTCTCACCCCAGCCATAACCATTCTCCCTCTTCTAACAAATAAGTTTCTGTTTTTTGTTGCAAGGCCATTTTCTAGCCCAAGGTCTTCTTTTCTTAGCCAAACCAGTAAATGTGATTTTTTTTTAACCTACCTCACTAGAGAAGACACACTTCGAGGAAATCCTGTTCTCCAGTTAGACCCTGCCATCAAAGGTGTGTTCGAGGGACCTTACCCTTTTGGCATTGATCCGGTGAGAGCTCTTTCTTCCTATATGTTTGTCCCTTTTTCTGTTTTACTTGAGCCCTGGTTAAAAGAAAGTAAAGACAGCTTAATTGTGGAATCTTTGAAGACCTGGACCTTTTCCAGGGAGGTTCAGTCGGTAGTGGTCAAAACCATAAGTGAATAGAAGAATGGGGCCTCAAATTTTCTTCCTAGGAGTATCCCTTCCACTCAGTGGAGGTGGTTCAGTGGTGAACTAGGGAAAACTGATATTGAAATCACAGCCTAAGTCTTAAAACTCATTTCTTAAGCCATGGCTAAGTTAGTTTTCTTTGAACTGATTTCCTAGTGAAAAGGTTACTAATCATGTTCTCTACTAAAAACCTTTTCAGTGGCCTCCCAGTGTGTGAATGATAAAGTACAAATACCATAGCCTGACTGACATTCAAGGCCTTTGTCAATCTGACTCCAAGCTACCTTTCCAGTCTTGGTTTACACCCCTCTCCTTCAGGCCTTCCATGTTCCAGGCAAATTGGGCTACTTGCTGTTGCCAGATCTTAGCCTACCCTTGCCTACCTCAGTGCATTCTTAATCTTTTGTCCTGTACCTGAAATGGATTTTTCCTATGACTTTGCCTGTTTGAAATTCTTCCCTTCCTTCAATTGCCACCTCCTCCACACAGCCCATTCCCAACTAGAATTGAATTTTCTCTCCCTGTTCTGTTGTCTTATTCTGATATCTTCTAGGCACTTTTATTTTAACTTACATTATTTATGTATGCATCTTACCCTTCTTACCATCCCACTGGATTTTTTGGCTTCTCAAGGGCAGAAATCATGCCATTTTTCATCTTTGTATGTCTAGTACCAAGTAGAGTGCCTTTGCAGAGAGATAATTTTTGTTTGTTTTAATTAATTCAGTAGATGTTTATTGGGTATCTACCTGTTTGTTGTTACTCTGTGGGTGAAAAAAAAAGATTTGCAAGTCATAGCCCTACCTACCTTCAAGGAGCTTATTAGAAAAAATATCTGTACCCAATACCTACAATTTTTAAAAAAATCTTAGTTCTATATGATATGACACTAAGTTCAGTATATGAGTTGAGGGGAGGAAGAGATCACTTCTGGATAAGGTGATTGGAGAGGCTTCATAAGGGAGGTGGTATTTTGATCTAGATCTTAGTGGATGGATAGAATTTAGCCACATACAGATGAGGGTAGATAGAAAGAATGTTTCAGATGAAGGAAATAGCATAAACAGTACAGAAAGGAGTCTCCTTAGGCTGTAGAATTCCGAGTGGACAGGTATAATAAAGCCAGATCATGAAGAGGCTTGCATTTGAGATAAAGTTTGAACTTAATTGGTATATCATAAAGAAACAATTGAAGGTTTTTAACAAGATAGTGACATGAATCAGGGCTTAAGGGGGGTGTGTGTGTGTGTGTGTGTGTGTGTGTGTGTGTGTGTGTAAAAGAGAGAGAGAGATCTGCAGTAATTTTGCTGATGAAACTTGTTGCATCTACCTAATGTCTCTGACTTTTCAAAAAAATTTTGTCTTATATGACAGATTTGGAACATTGCTACCAATAAATTGACCTTCCTCAACTCATTTAAGATGAAAATGTCTGTCATCCTTGGTATAATCCACATGATATTTGGTGTTACTCTCAGCCTTCTTAACCATACGTGAGTTACTCTTTCCAATATAGGGACATACTTGGTTAAAAAAATGTCAACATTTCAGGGAGTATTTAACTAGGCCTTTGTTCTTCAGATTTCCTATTACTTTAATTTTATTTTTCAGAATAAGGTTAGCCTACATTCATCTAAAATTTACAACTTTGTAGCATTTTTTGAATCTTTTTTTAAAAATTTGTCTTTCAGTTTGCATAATATGTGGATGTTATGTGTTTACACATAATTATTTTATACAACTTAGGGGTATACTCTCCAAAGTCCCTTTCTCATTTGTATGGTGTGAATGGGGGATTTGGGGAGAGGAGCATAATTTAGAATTCCTTTCATGATCCTTGAGATTGGGGCTAAAGTTTGATTCTGGAATGTTCTTATAATACCAAAGTTTTTTTCTGCTACTTCTTAATAGTAGTGAAGACAGAATTGGGGAAGAGCCAAGGGTTATAATAGCTCATGAAGGAGAGGGGTGTAAACCAAGACTGGAAAGGTAGCTTGGAGTCAGATTGACAAAGGCCTTGAATGTCAGTCAGGCTATGCTATTTGTACTTTATCATCCACACAGTTTTGTCCAAAGAAAGGTAACACTGCCTTAAGATAATCTGTTCAGCTTGATCCTTTGTCTCTCCTTCTGCAGCTATTTCAAGAAGCCTCTGAATATCTACCTTGAGTTTATTCCTGAAATTATCTTCATAACTTCATTGTTTGGCTACTTGGTTATCCTCATTTTTTATAAATGGACAGCCTATGATGCTCATTCTTCTAAGGATGCGCCAAGCCTTCTGATCCATTTTATAAACATGTTCCTTTTCTCCTACTCGGACTCCAGTAATAAGATGCTTTATTCTGGGCAGGTGGGTCATCCCAAGAATGCACCTAGGTCAGTCTGACATACTCAGTTATTCAGTAAGTAGAAGATCTGGTGTTTTAGACATAAGCATCTTTGCATTAGTTGTCATTCATTCAGAGCTTGGGAGCTAGGTGATACAATGGATGGAATACTAGGCCTGGAGTCAGAAATATCTGATTTCAAATCCCACTTCAGACACTTCCTGGTTATATGACCTTCACAAATCACTTAGCCTCTGTTTGCATCAGTTCCCTCAACTGAAAAATGGGGTTAATAACAGCACAGGGTTGAGATAATATTTGTAAATGAGATAATGTTAGTACAAGTGCTTAGCATATATTACGTGCTATATAAACACTTACTCTCTTCTCATCTCCTTCCCCCTTCTCCTCCTTCTTCCCCTTCCCTTCCTTTTCCCTCTTCCTATATCTTCCATTTAGAGACCATACCTTGTGCTCTGAAAAAATTAATTCTTTTGCTATGGAGAAGGACGCTGTTTCAAGTGAAAAATTGAAGTGTAGTGGAAGAAAACTATGTTGTAGCATCTCTGTCCACTGTAGTTGATTGTTTAAAAAAAAAGGGAATTAAGTTTTGGGGGCATTTCAGAGTAGCCCCTCAGAGCAGTTACCCTCCTAGGGTCTTAGCTATCTATTGAAGCTCAAATTGCTCCACAGGTTGAAAGTCTTCTGAACATTTCCTGGCTGATGGGCCTGACCTGTTAGGCCACTTGTGGAAGTCTGATGCTCCCAGAATTTCTGTGGTTTTGTTCCTGAACAGACGTGGGGTCCTTGACTGTTCTTAGTAATTGTTCTTGTTTATTCGTTTCAGTTGTGTTTGACCCTTTCTGACCCCACTTGGGGTTTTCTTGGCAAAGATGTTGGAGTGGTTTGCCATTTCCTTCTCCGGCTTGTTTTACAGATGAGGAGATTGAGGTAAACAGGGTTAAGTGACTTGCTCAGGATCACACAGCTAGGAAGTGTCTGAGGCCAGATTTGAACTCAGGAAGATGAGTCTTCATGACTTCAGGCCTGGCACTCTGTACACTATGGTGCCACCTGGCTGCTGCCCTCTCAGTGTTAGTGCCTCCTGTTTGGGCTTGGATTGTTCATTCAGGTCTAGATCCAGACATTCTGCTGAGTTTGTGAAGTGCTGGTAGCTCCAGATGCTGAAGAGCACAGGGCTTGTTTAAAGTTTTCCTAGGAAAGGGGCTGAATGCTAACTGAAAACACACTTCACATCTTCTAGTTGTTCCAAGAGATTGGACTATGTTGTCTATAGATCTATGAGAAAACATAGCATTTGTCTTGGAGAACATTTGAGCTGTGATTAGAAACTTTGTGTGTTTGACCTCATGGATTTACATGTAATATGTTTTGTTCCTCTTCCTTTCTCCTGCAGCAAGGAGTTCAGTGCTTTCTGGTGGTGGTTGCAATGCTGTGTGTTCCATGGATGCTGTTGTTTAAGCCACTGATCCTTCGCCATCAGTATTTAAGAAGGAAACATTTGGTGGGTGACTGATTTTAATGTACTTCTCAAAGCTACTAGGTTTTTGTTTTTAAGATCAGCAAATGAACAATTTAATTATATTCAAGGGTATTGCCCTGGAGTGCCTTCTATGTAACATGTCTTGATATGTCTGATGACTTTGTATAAAACAACAGCATATTTGTCTGCTTCTCAGAGCTCTATATTCAGCTTTAAATGGCTGGAATAGAGGAACCAAATCTTCCCTCCATTTCTCTCCCCCTGCCCCCCCCTCCACAAAGGAAAAAAAAGTATTTCTTTTATATTTACTCTTATCAGCCTGTAGCCAATGAAAACTAAAAGCATCAGCCAGAGTGGGGCTATAGGCATGGTGAATGGGTGAATTTAGTTGTGTGGTTTGCGTGGGAAACCACAAGGCTAATGCTGAGGCACCACTGTCTGTTAAAATGAGTCAGTAATACTTTCACTGACCAAAACATCTGGGAAAAAGATTTTATTTGAAGCAGAGCTGATTTTTTTTTCTTTTTAAAGCAGCATACATACCTTTGTATACTTACTGCTAATGTACATCTGATTGTTTTTCATGTCTGGCTATATAACAATGTTTAACTCAGGATGCGTGCCTGGGGAAACAAGAATGCTTTTATTGCATGACTCGCAAACAGCTTTTGGATTGTTTTGTTCTGTTGCAGAGCTGTGCAGTTACAAGACACTCCCTCTCCCTTCTCTGACCATCTTTCATCTTCCCATGTACCCTCCATTCGTCTCCCATCACTCCCTTCCTCACCACCACCAATCTATCTCTCTCTCCCCTCTTTTTTTTTTCTTTCCTCCTCCTTTCTCTTCCATTCACTATCAGGAAGGGCAGCCTGTGGAGGCCCCAGTCAGCCCAACCCAGAACGAGCAGGGACTAGAGGCAGCAGCGGCTGCAACAGTGAGTGGATTGGAAACCAACCAACAATCACTTTATGTATTTTTAAAGAGTTTCCTAGTAATGTACCACAATGCAGAATAACTATACTGAGGGCGTGGGGCATGTATGGCTCTTGGGAAGTATGTCCTGGTTGCTTATTGGGACCGTGGCAGAAGACATTTCTACTTCTTGAAAACAAATTCTGATGCCATCAGTATAATTATGACATGCTAAGTTCATATGTCAGAATGCAAGGAAAGTAACTTCTGTGGATCTGGTTGTACTCCAGATATAGCCCTGTCATCCTAAATCAAGATGACAGTAGTGCACTAATCCACTTTCATGTCCCTATATTTTATAATATGTTATATAATAGGGAATTTTCAGCCTCTAGGCAAGTTTATCTATATGACTTCTGAATTTACCTTTTCTGTACTTCATTGATGTTGAGTCATTCACTACTTCAAGTGATGATATAGCTTCTCCCCAGAGGAGGGTTTTACATGCTTCTTCTATGTTGTGAAAATTTGGGGAGCCCTTGTATCCTCAGCCTTTCCTATGGGATTTCCAGTATCACACGTGCCATTTTGTGTGTACTGTATATCTGCTAAAATAAATTAGTTTGCTGTCTGTCTTAATCCCTCCCACCCTCTACCACTGCCTAGCTATTCAGCAATAGTTATTTGAAATAAAAATGTTTAAGTATTTGTTCATAACAAATCTCTTAAAAGGATCATGTCCTGTGACAATTTCCAAATTAGCATGGTGTGTTCTAGGAAAACAATACACATACACATCTATATTTATAACATACGGAGCATCTCAGCAAAAATGACTCATAAACATACATCTGTACACCAGTAGTATCAGACACCCTTAAAAGAAAAGGAAATGTTATTTATATCCTTGATGTTATTTACATCAGGTGTTTCTGATAACATTAAACTAAGTTTCTCCTAAACATCCTAGCACTAGGCTAAAAAGTGCTGATTGTTTAACCCAGTGGTCATTTTAATGCTGATGCCACAGCAATACTGAACAGTGCCTGCCACATAGTAAGTGACGAATACTTGTTGATTGTGGCATATAGACTCTTTTCTTCCCTGTAAGTAGAAAATGTAAGGCCCATTGCCTTGATGTGGCTGTTCTTTCCATAAACTCTTCTTTCTACTTTTCTTAGTAAAGTTAAGATGAACTTGTGAGAATATCTTGATGCTTTTAGTCTGGCCTCCTCTTCTGTGACTTTCTACTATGTTGTTTTACCTCTGGGTCTGGGGGCCTGTTTACTGATTGGATTTTCTCTACAGAAGCTTTTGACAAAGCATCCATTCCAGGAGGAAAGCAAGAGGTCTTCAGGACTGTAATAGTTTTACACGTTAGAAACCCTAGATTAAGAAAACAGATGGGCTGCAGATCCAAACACTAACATGATTTTGTTATGTTTTATCTTTGTTATGTATTTTGTGTAACAAGTTATTTTGTATTTACCAGTTGTGTGTGTGTCCCCCATACCTCTCTCACAGTGTTTTTTCCCCTCTGTTCTAAAGAGGCCTGTCAGTGTCTGTTCTGGGATGTCCCATGTGTCTTGATTCTGCTTTATCTGCTGGTTTATGGAAACCTTCAGAATCTGAATTCTAGTTTAATGAGCCCCACCCTTCCCATGTGTTCCTCTCTTCTGTGCTGCCTCTATCCCATAACCTCCCCCCCCAGCCAGAAACTTAAGTTGTATGCCAGATGAAATCACATTTTCTCTCTTCACCGCTGTTCCACTGCCATCCTCTAGGATGTGTACCTTTTCGAGTCCTTAGGCACCACATTCAGTAGCACAACTTAGACCCTGAAACAGTTCCAGAGCTGCAGATTTCTCTAAATCCTGGTCAGTAGGCTATGCTCTGAGCTACATACTGAAAGGTGTAGCCCAGAGAGGGAATCTGAGGGGAAATAACCCAGCCTGCATGCATTATGGTTAGTGCAGTTGAGGTGACTGCTGAACAGAGGAGCAGTCCTTCTCTTATTTGGCCCTTCTGAACTATACTTTGTGTACAAGAGCTGGAAGGGTTTGCTGGAAGAACAGTTAAGTTCAGTCTCTTTAACTTTACAGCAGATTGAGGCTGAATGTTGGGGGCCTGTAGTTAGGCATAATTCTAATTCTACCCCTGCTTTGTTGTACTCAGGGGTCATCTCCTGCCTCTTTAAAGCTGAGGACGTTTTAATCGAATTGATGTAAGAATTGTTAGCCTAGAGAATTTCTGTGCTGTCGTTTTATGTGGAGGAGCTCGGGATCTGACCAAATGCCTATAAAAGGAGCTGTTCTAACACTCCAGAATCCTCCATTTAAGGAAGGGGGATTTTTTAATTATTTATTTTTAACTACTGTATATTCTCCTAGCAAAAGTTATATGGGGAATGAGTGTGTTTTCTGTCCTGATAGGGGCTAACCTTTTCTTTTTGCTCTAGAGTGTCCATTCAGAGAACAGTTATATATTTGTGAAAGAACAGTGGGCTTTAATATATGCCTGTCAGAAATTTATCAGACTGATACAATCACTTGTTGCTTAGCCCACCTCACTTGTATGAGATATCATCTTCAGTGCTACAAAAACTTGACTCCTTGAAGGCTAATTTGTGATTGTGATCTATTTATATTAAGTATTTCATTCAAACAGGTTTCTTGATGGGTACTGATTGTGATGAAGTTTGTTTTTTTTAGATGCAGCAGTCAGAATTACACATTTCTTCAAGAACAGAATGGAACTGTAAATTTAGGTTGGGTTGGAGATAGGGGGATGGAGTTTGTTGGATGTTCTTTATTTTCACTTTGCTTTTTAAAAAAAAGTGGGATTTTTTTGTGTGTGTGTTGTAAGAATGTGATGCTTTTCTGGGTTTGTATGAACTAACCATCACCCTCTCCCCACCCAATGAATGTCACATTAAAGTCCAGGCAATTCTACTCTTTCTGTTCATCTGTGTAGGGAACTCACAACTTTGGTGGGATCAGGGTGGGCAACGGACCGACTGAGGAGGATGCTGAGATTATTCAGCATGACCAACTCTCCACCCATTCAGAGGACGCAGATGAGGTAAGATCATGAATCTTGGCCTTTAGGACCAGCAAGACAGTGGTGTGAGATTTTTCTCCCTCCACTTTGGACACCTAAGACGCCTTGTTCTCTCTTGGTCTTCTCCTAAAAATTCAGCCTGCCTTCTGAACTCTTAGAGTTCCATAACATTTTCCAATGGGCTGCTGTACCCAGATACCAAGTGCTCCTTACAGAGCCTCTGGCAGTCTAGGTCCTAATGTTCAGCTTCTTGAGGCTACATGTTACTGGTACTCTATTCCATGCAAATACCATTGCTCTCTATGCTGAAGGCAGTGTGGCCCAGCTCCTAAACTCTTGATACTAGGAGCACATGCTGCTACTGGTCCAAGGACCATGCATTTCTTCCTGCCTCTGCCATCCCAAGGAGTGTCCAAATTATTTGGTATCAGTAAAATCAAAGCTATTACTCTGTTTTATGCTGTTCCAGTTGATTTTGATGATGCTGTTCCTTTTACATTTGGGGGGGGAAAACACCCACTCATAAAGTGGTGGTGTTCTTTTAGACTAGCCTCTGCAACCCCTAGTCATGGCGTCAGTATTCTTATTTCAGATACTCTGGCTGAAAGCTTTTGTGGAAGTGATTTTCATCCTTCCTGTAGGGAAACTGAAAAGTCATTTGGTCCAGCTAAGAAATACCTACATAGTCCTTGTCAGTCCACCACTCTCTAAACACCTGACAGTAAAATGTGTCAGAATTGTTAATGACAATGGTTCATCTATTTTCATTGTCCTTGTTAAAGTTGATAAGTGATGAGAGTCTAACCACCATCTGGCTGAATCTCAGGTTTTTAGCCTACCCAGCCACTTTTGCAATGTATCTGAGTGTTAGATTTTTTTAAAAGAAATATTTTGAAAGGGTCAAGACTCATTTTTTAAAAATCTCTTTGTTGTTTCAAAAATCTGCTGTTTATACATTCCCTGTATTCTGAGGAGAGGCCTCTAGTACATTAACAGCATTTAGCATTGTTTGTCTAACTGAGAGAAGATTCATTAACCATGTGCTCAGTACCTGTGATCATGTGTTTGGTATGGCCTCACACTAAGTGTAAATTTATGTTTTCAAGCCTACCGAGGATGAAGTGGTAAGACTAAAGCTGGCTTTGCATTCATGTTTATCTGGAGCTTCTCTTCCCATCCTTGTGATCATTTTGCTGACCTTGCCGCATACACATATCCTTGCAGCCTTCATCTCATGACCATGTCTAATACCTCATGAAATGTGTTCTCAACAGTTAGCTCATCTGCATTAACTGCATCTCACGTCATTCACCTCTTTCTTTCTGTTTCCTTTGACTTTGCTGATCAAATACCTCTACAGGTCAACTGAGAATGGCTTTTGAAAAAACTGCAAGTGATGTTTGTGTTGGCATTCTTGAGGTTATTGCACTGGGGGCTAAATCACATTGACTTCTGTCTTCCTCTCTTGTGATGTTGCAGTTCCTGTGCCACTAGGAATACCTGTGTTTTCTCCTTGCCACCAAGCGCTTATGAGCCATTTCTACCATTTCCCCCTGATCTTAGATACAGCCAGCCTTTTGCTGCTTTCATCAGCTTGGTAAAATCCCAATATGCTTGTAATTAATGTTCCTGAATTTCACTTAGCCTGGAGTTCAGCTTTGTCCTTTGTGATACAAGCTGAAGGAGCAAAACTTTTGACAGGAGACTTCTCCCCTTAGATTGTCTGACTTTACATCCCCTCTAACTATACTCTTCATGGAAGAAGGGCCCACCATTATAACAAACCACTCAGATTTTTGTGGTAGAGGGAAGAGAAAATTGTCAAAATTCTCAAGTAGCCTATGGATTAGAAAGGCAATATAGCTTAACAGTAATTCACTGTAATGATGAAGAAAAAGTGTATGTGAGTGTGTGTGTGTGTGTGTGTGTGTGTGTGTGTGTGTGTGTGAAGAACCTTAAAGTTCTTTCATTTGCCTTTTCCCCAGAAGTTCTCCTTAAAATAGCAAAATCCAAAACCTTTGTATTCCTTGTTTCCCCCACCTTCACTTCCCAGTTTTCCCTGTAGTGAAGTAGGAATAAGACCAGGAAGTATTTTCTCTTCCCGAAGACTGCATGGTCTTATTTCTAGCATTAAGCAGTCTTTGTGTCACGTCTTGGTCAATCTATGAATGTTTCCTAGCTAATCTATGTGGGAGTGTGTGTCTGTGTGTGTCTGTGTATGTATGTATGTATGTATGTATGTGTATGTATGTGGGGGGGTGTTGGCCACCCTCTCCCATGTAACACCAGCAACTTTGGTCCCATTTTCTGGGCTTCTTCCTAATTGGCCTGTAACTCACCTAGTCACTAAGAGCATAAAAATTCCGTGTATAGATTTCTTCATTTGTCTCTCTTACATTGGAATTTACCATCTCAGAAGGACCACCGGTTACATTTTACAAAATCTTTAACCTCCCAGCTTATATCCAGGGCCAGCTTCCTTGAGATGGTTTAATAGTTATAACATTTAATATGTATTAAGCACCCATGAATTAGGTTTCTACAACCAAATCTGGCCAAGTCAAGAAAAAAAATCTACTTCTGCCTGAATTTTCCCTATTTCACTTTGGTAAAAACCCTAAATATTTATGGCAGTTATGTGTCTTAGAAATAGGTGGGAACAATTGACTTGAAGAAATACTTGAAGTACCATGTTAGCACACTGTTCTCTCAGCCATAGGCATGGCCCATTTAATCTTCCATAGAGAAGCCAGTGTTAGTTACTTCCTCCTCCTTTTCCAGGGTGATTGTAAGTAATAGAAGAGGCAGTTCCTAAAGGGCCAAGGCAGAGGAATTAACCTTTATCAGTGAATCTATTTAAAAATATTGAACTCCACAGAGCTGGGACATGATTCCCTCCTCTTGTAGTTTTGGCGGAGCTAGAAAACTGTTTTGAGTTCTTCACTATTCATTGGAGCTGTTAGGGTTTTTTGTTTGTTTGTTTGTTTTTTCAGAGGTAGCTAAAAAGACTTAAGAAAGCTATCCTGGGGAAAGGCTCCAAAACACACGGAAATGATTATAGCCCAAGGCCAAAGTAAAGCATGCTTTCATTAGATGAACTTTGTCCTGGGATCTGGCAGGGCAGGGCCTGCCCCCCTCGGGACATAACAGGACTGCTTTTGTCTTCACAAAGTTAACTGACTGAGCTGGCCCCATGTTCATGGACAGGCCTCATGTGTCTTCCCACATGCATGTCTGGTGCTCCTTGGGGTGGGGGTCACATTCACATTGAAAGAAATAAACTGCAATAGAAAATAGGCTGCACTTTTCCCCAAACTCTTTTCTGAGGCTGTGACTTTGAGTAGGGGGCAGGGGAAATGGTAAGCGCTCTCTTGGAGGCCTATGTGGTCCTGCCTTGCCCAGTGGTGCTGATCTGTTTGTTGTGTTTGTGAAATTTTAACCTGTGAGTTATGGGAAGTTTTCTTTCCTAGTCTCTTAGTCTGGTGGGGGAGTGGTTGTTCTAGGAGGGTAGAGATCTAGGGCTCTGGTGGTTCTTTACAGGACTACTTTGTCACTCTACCTGTGTTAGTGGGAGGTAGTGATGAGCACTCTGGTCTTCTGGAGGCCATTATATGCTTTCACTCAGAGCTCCAGCCTTATGACCTCTCTGGGAGCACTCCAGAGTCAACTTTTGAGTCCTGACCCCCTCCCATTGTTTTGCAAATGACTCTGAGTGATTGCAAGGAAATTGACTGGGAAAAAAAGTGGAAGGGATAAACGGGAGTGTCATGTTTGGCCTAAACTGAGTACCCAGATAAAATTTTGCAAAATAAATTCTCTGTGTTCTTTCAAAGGTCACAAAGAAAGGAGAGGTTGCCTTCCCTAAAGTAGATGCAGGGCTGTCTCCAGCTAGGTTTTTTTCTTCTCTCCCCTGAGCAGAAGTAGCCTAGGATTAATCACCTAAGTATAGAAACAGTCAGCCTCCTGGTGGCATATCAAAGGTAAAGCAATAAATGTCGATACTTTAGACAAAGGTTTCCCTTCTCTGGAATCTCTGTGGCATGAAATGTCTGGGACAAAGGTGTCTGTCAGCAGGGTTTTGTTTATTGAGCATCCCCAGAGCAGAGCCCTGTGCTTGGAATAAAAACTCAAAGCCAATACAATTCTTGCCTTCAAGCTTATATTCTGTTAGGATGAAAAAATGCTCAATTGCTATAGTGCTGAAAGAATAAGACTCAGATTAAGTTAGAGAGAAACTAGATTAATCCAGGTAGCTTCTAGAGGAAACTGTAAGGGAAATTAAGAGCTAGATTTAACATCACATGCTCATATCTGCTCCAGAGGTGAGTGTCCAGCTATGAGAACTGCAGCCAACACTTAGTGACTTTGCTCAGGTCACATGGCCAAGGACTCCTCTAATGCCTACTGCTCCTTGCTGCAGTGTATGGTCTCATACACTCTCCCTGGTTCCTTTTCCCACAACAGTTCAACTTTGGTGACACCATGGTGCATCAAGCCATCCACACCATTGAATATTGCCTGGGCTGCATCTCTAACACAGCCTCCTACCTTCGGCTCTGGGCCCTCAGTCTTGCTCATGCTCGTGAGTATTGTTCTCCTACGAGGAGAAGTGCTACCTGATCCCTGGGCAGAGCCCTCAGTGGGGTGTTAGAAGCATAATTCCCTAATAGATTGGTTACATGAGCCTTAGGATTCCTGAAGCTTTGGGCAAAGAAAAAAAATGGATCTGGGGCAGGGAGAGGTCAGCAACTCCTGTTTTCAGCACAGTTTTGCAGTGTTGATGTGCCCCCAAGTCTATAGGGGAAAGCCTGTAAGAGTAAAATATGGGGCCCTAGGCAAGGGAACTAAGCCTTTACCTCTCAGTGAGCCCCTTGATGCACTGACAGTTCACTCTTTTCCTCCTCTTCCAGAGCTATCTGAGGTGCTCTGGACCATGGTGATCCATATTGGTCTGAAGGTGGAGAGTTTAGCAGGAGGTTTGGGCCTGTTCTTCATCTTTGCAGGATTTGCCACACTGACTGTTGCCATCCTCCTGGTGATGGAGGGCCTTTCTGCCTTCCTCCATGCACTAAGGCTGCACTGGTAAGACGCTGGGGAGGTTGTAGAGGAGGTGGGGAAAACCCCATTATTGTTGATATCACTTAGATGAAAATTCAAATCCCCTTGAGGAAGGAAAGCCTTCTGGCCTCCCAGATCACATACCTGTTCCCAATGGAAATTTCAAACACTTTTCTGCTTCCTTCAGGGTGGTATCTTGGTCTGTCCTGGGGAAACTGAATAATTTTCACCTCTTTACAGTGATTTAGAAATGCTTGCCAGTAAAACTGCTGAAAAAAAAATCCTGAGCCCCCTTTGGAAAAAGCATCTCAACCAGTGAAATTTCCTTGGTGGAGATTACCATGTTGTCCATTCTTGTTTTTGTGTTTTTCCAGTAGCCCAAAATTCTCATTTGAAAGAATTATGCCTGATTTTTGCTCAGTGTTTGCTGTTGTCATCCTAAGGAAATGCAAGCCATAGTATAAATGATTTTTTAGGTTTTTGACAAGTGATTGGCTCTCTAGGTTTCACCCTATAGACCAGCTCTTTTTTTTTCTGTTAATATATTCTTCTACAAATATAAGAAGTTGCTTTTGCAAAGAGCAGGAATTGAGAGGAAACATTGCAGAAATGGCTGTCAGAAAGTAGGCCCTCACTTAGTCTCTGCAGCTTGGCTTGGTATGTGTGCTTTAATGTGGTTTTAGGAAGAAAGGGGGTTTTGGCTTTTCTGTTATATTTTGTTTTGTTTTGTTTTTGTAAAATGGAGTTTGTAACATTCTGACTCTTGGTAGATCTGGCTAGCCTAGCCCTTCCTCCTTTATGTAGCAGAAAGAATACTGTTAGGTGGAATGGTCCAACTTCTGCCAGATCATGGGAGCTCCCATGTGTGCTACTTCAAAGGCAAGAATCAGATCCTAGTCTCATCTCTGCCACAGTCTGGGTGACCTTAGACCTGTCATTTCCCTTCCCTGGGCCACAGCTTTGTACTATATGAAATGAGATTGTGGGGCTTAATGGCCTATAAGGTCTCTTCTGATACTCACATTCCATGGGTCCCCAGATCTGGGATCTGACTCTCCCCAGAGAACTCTGGCTATTTCTGTACTTGAAGTAAAATTTAAAATCTTAACCTGAGATCTTTTCCCTTCTAGGTAGGTGTGTTATCCTCTTATCTTTGCCTTTAATCTGGTTTGGCTGTAGCTGAAGCTGTTGTGCTATATTCAGCTATTTATTTGTCTGCCCTGACAGTGAAGAGTGAAGTGTGAGATGTGCAGCTCACTCTGATTTGGTTTGCCAGCTCATTTCTTTAAGAAAGTTTGGTCTGCTGTCTCTACAACACTCCTACCCTTTTCTGCTTTGGCTTCATCTTTTCCTCTCTCCTCCCTCATTCTCCTATCCTTCCCCAGTCGACATCCCACCACTCTTCCATTTGGAATAAAACTACAGGATTCAAGAGTGGCAAATTATTTTTTAAAGGCACATCACCCTATTCTCAGCTTATCAGCTCTCTTCCCCGTCATACTTCCTTAGGCACTTGATGTAAAAGGAACATCTGAGTAACCAGCATGTGGTGACTCACAACAGTATGAGTCACATTTTCTCACCCTCCCTGGCTTCCTTCCCTTCCTATTCATTCCACTGTCTCTTTTACCTCCTGGACTCCAGGAACCACCTCCTCTCTTCATGTTCTATCTTAAATGTCTGGCTGCTCCCTTTGCTTCAGTCATCACAGGACCAGAAGAGAGAGGAGTTCCTTTGCCCACACTTAGTGGCTTTAATAGCATTATCATTCTTACTTTTGTTTTTGTATGATAGAACTGATTCCAGGTAAAGTGGAATTTTAGATGGTAGTTGACTCTCTTATCCAGAAGGATTGTGCCCATTCTGTGTCCATCCTGTGCCCAGCTGAGGGACTTGATTTCAAGTTTTCTCTTATGAACAAGCCTGAGAAAAGTTGCAAGCCCTGATAGATGGAATCAAGTATTTTCAATTCATTGAGAAAACAGATCCCATTAGTCAAAGACAGGACATGGTATTTTGTGACCTTCAGGCTCAGTGTGAAAATTCCACCCTCTATGTATTTCTGTTCCCTGGAAGTGTTACATTTTCATCAGGCCTCAGACCAAACACTTGACACTTACTAGCTGTGTGACCCTGGGCAAGTCACTTAACTCCCCAACTGCCTTAAAAAAAAAATTTTTTTTCAAGTGTTACATTTTCTCTATAACCAACATGGCTTGATTTATCACAACCTAAACCCCTACCTGATATGATGAGCAGAATTTTCTGACATTAAAGATGTACATTTATGCTATTTTTAATAATTCACAATTATGTAGCCTGTGATAATTTACCAGCCAGCTCTGAGAGAGAGAGATCATCAGAGTGAAATGACTTGCCCATGATCACAGAGCTAGTAAGAAAGTCAGGGCTCAAATCCAGGTTATAGGTTCCTAGATTAGAGCTGGGATGGGTCAGAAAGGTCATCTTCTCCAACGACCTCTTTTTACAGTTGAGGAATCTAAGACCTGGAGAGGTTCACGATTCTGCTCAGTGTTGAACAAGCTGAAATTTGAACTCAGGCCCTCAGAAGCACTCTTTCTTTGTTCTTTGTCTATGTGTTCTCTCCCCAAGAAACTATCTACTTTGCTTACTTATCCTAGTCCCTGCTGTGGTGTTAGAGCCTAGATTTTCCCTAAATGCCTTTCCAAAGTGCTAGCTAATACATAAGAGGAAGAGGAAAGCAAAACCAAAAACTTCCCTTTACAGCATTTCTTAAGAATCCAATTATTGGGAGCAGCGAGGTGGTGCAGTGGATAGAGCACTGGCCCAAGAGTCAGGAGGACCTGAGTTCAAATCTGGTCTCATACCAGACACTTGACACTTACTAGCTGTGTGACCCTGGGCAAGTCACTTAACCCCCATTGCCTCACCAAAAAAAAACAAAAACAAAAAAAGAATCCAATTATTTCCCTTTCTCTCATTTTGCCCAATTACTTAGTACCATATCCAAGAAATTTCCATGTCTGGGTTGGAGAATCCCCTTCTTATCCCTTCCACGAGAATAGGTGTTGTTGCATGCCCCCCACCCCCTTTCCTGCTCAGCTTGGATGTGTTTCAGCAACTTCATGGTATTCCTGGGATCTCCCAAGTTGAGACAGGGTTGCTGGAAGAATTCTGACCTGTGGTCATCTTGGAAGGGCCAAAGAACAGCTGCTTCTGCTGGGTACGGCAGTAGAGATATTCCTGCTATGTTTCCTGACGTCCTACAGGGTAGGGTTCGTACCACTTGCTGTTAAGATCTTGTGTCCTGGTTTTGGCTCACAGGAGTACCCTATTATACAATTTCTGGGCCTTTTCAGTGACAGCAGGAAAAGGATAACTTTTGATTCCCTGTCCTATGAAGTCTATGGTCTGAGATTATTTCTCGAGTGGGGGGGAGCAGGAGGGCCTGTGCTAGGCAATAGGAGCCAGCACTGGTATGGAACAGTATCTGAGATGCTCAGGGAACTGTTTCTGAGAGCCGTCTCTTCTAGTTCAGGAATACCCCTTTCCCTCGAACTACAGTTTGGATTTTTTCTTTTTCCTTTTCCTTCTCCTTGCTTCTCATGCCTGCTATCACATCTGTTAGCAGACATTTGGAATGATGTGACCTTGTTAACCAGAATTCAAAATAATTCTTTCCTGTGAAGATGGTGTTTTGTTAGAGAAAACTGAAATGTAATTCAGAAACCTGAGTACTGAGACTTAAACTGACATTTTTTTGCCCTGGAAAGGTCATTCTATATAGCCCTTTACATCTTGGGCATTTCTTTTGCCATCCTTTTCCCTTTCCAACTCCCTTATCCCCCCTCATTCCCCCCTCTCTGGTTGATGGGTAATAGGAATAGATTTGAGATTGATTTATTGTAAGTCAGTGATGGCCCTTAACCTCCAAGAGAGACTGTCGAACAGATGAGGAAACAGTTTCCCAACATGATGTTGGGGGGTGGAATAGGGCCAAAAAAAGGGAAATGATATTGAAGCTTAATCTGGGAAGGATATTTTCTGAACGTATGGGTCATGAACACAGAAAACCCATGTTCCACACCCAGAAAGAGTAGTACAGTACTGGTGCTTTGCTAGAACTAATACTTTCACCCACCCCACCTGGGGCCTCAGGTGGGCCCCACTTCTCTCCTGCTCAGGAACGTGCTACTTCCTGTGCTATTCCAGATATGACCTCTGAGTGTGAGCGACTCTTTCTGAGTCACATATACTGACAGAGGGCTGAAGCCTGGGAAGAATCTGTAGAGAGACACATTGAACTTCCTCAGGTCCTCTTGCAACTACATTCAGAATTCCTGGTCAAAGTGGGCCCCACAGAGCAATTTGTAGCACATCCCTGGCTGGTGGAAAAACTGACTAGGCAGCAAGCCATGGCCTTACTCCACCCAGTCCCAAAGGACTTTGTGTTTGTTCTTTCTCAGGAAGTGCACGTTTCCCTCACAGGAGAAGGAGAGAGCTTTCCAGCTTTGTGCTATGGGGCATGGGGTGGTGAAGCAGGGAGGTGAAGTTAGGCTGGCTCCAGGCCCCGGCTTCCCTTTAAGATTCTAATTATGATTTCTGGGCTAAGGGAAATATTCTCCCAGATTCCTGATGCCAGAATTAGGCCCTTGGTCTGGGGGCTTCTTTATTCCAGGCTGTGTAACCCCAGTGAGCCACTAATGCATAAATGTAAACTGAGTGTCCAGCCTACTTTTCTCCTGGCATTGGAAGGCAGTGCTGCAGACACCAAGATGCCCTTGGGCTGCTGCCCACCTTGTTTCTGGGCTGGAGCAGCTTGTGCTCAGGATGGGGGTTGGGGTTTGGGAAATGATTCTTCTGTCCCACCAGTAGGACTACTCGTCCATCATCTCACCACTGTGTATATATGAATACTTCATGTGTAGCCCAGGCCTTTTAGCTTCTGGCCCTTTCCCTCTTAAGTAGCAACCTCTAATTTATTATCCTTATCTTTGCTGACTCCAAAATGAAAGATATTACCCTGCTAAGTGGGTGAAACAACCCTTTGGAGGGTGGCATACAAAAGAGGTACCAGGATGGGGGGAAGGAAGACATCTTACAGCCAAGTCCTTGCTTCAGTCGTTTATTACAGGTTTAGAAGTATTTGTATTGATTAAGTCAAGAGTTCATGTTAGTTCACTGGGGATAGTAGCACCTCCTGAAGATCGATGTTTGCCTCCAAGGGCAGTGATATGATTAGTCCAATCAAGTGAAGAGGAGCTCAGTCCAAGCTGCTTATAGGAAAACTCTGCGACTTCCTGGGAGTATCAGGGACCCTGGCAGAGCCTTTGTGGAATGTGAGGGGAAGGCAACACACATTCTCTCACATGGACAATTCTCCTCTTTTACCCAGAAGCCTGGCCTAGGAGCTCAGCAACCCCAGCAGCCTCACAGGGTACGAAGAAAATACAACCAAGGAAAAACCTCCCTCCACCTCTTCACCCACCCCAGTTTTCTCATAGCTTTTCTGGGATTTCCATGGGAGAAGCCCTGGCTTAGGGTTGGAGGATGATGGAGCAAAGGAACCCCTGTGTTTGACAGGGTCTCAGATGAGACCCTCTTACAAAGGAACTCATCTCCTCACTGTTATTCCCCAACCCCAACCTATGGGTCCCTGAACCCCCCCTGGGGCTTGAATTCCCAGATGGAAAATATTCCTCAGAAGCTGCACATGCCTCTGTCTCTCTCTCTCTCTCTCTCTCTCTCTCTCTCTCTCTTCTCTCTCTCTCTCTCTCTCTCTCTCTCTCTCTCTCTCTCTTTTTCACTCTGAATCACAGATTTTTCTCACCATATTTGGATATTGTTTGGTGGCTGGGCAGTTGTCCAGGGTCATACTCTTAAGATAGAGTTTATAAGGAGCAGCAACAGCCAAACAACCTCCATATCACTCTGGTTACAGAAGAAAAGGACCTCCCTCTCCACTTCCCTTGGAGTTTCAAACTAGCCTCAGGGACCCTGCCATGAACGGAGAGGCCAAGCAGCTTGGGAAGGGGGTTGAGGTTCTGTTTTTCCCCTTAGTCCCCAAGAGAAGAATTCCTGCTCACAAGATGTTTTTGTGGTCTGAGAATGTTTTTGCCATTGCTTTAAGAATACTTCCCTTCCTCTCACCTCCCCCATTTCCTGGGAATAGTCACATTTCAATAGAAAATCTCCATTGTAGCTCTACCAAAAAAACCCACTGCTTCTCCAGTGGCATGTGTTGCATAGTGCTCCCCTGTGATGGCTCAGATGTGTTATTGTCAAGTCCCTGCCTTTATTCCAGAAGGCAGAGGCCTCCCTGTCTCCCTAAGCACCATTTGTCCCAGGAAGGGCTCTGTGAGGCTTCAGTGAGGCTTCATGGAGAAGCTCCTGGATCCTGCCTATAGGGTTAGGCTGTGGGTATAAATGAGTTATTTTAAGCCTAAATGAGGGAACTAAGGATACATGGACAGTGGTGCTGGGTGTGTCTGTGGGACCTTTAAAAAACCTCAGCAGAAACATTTCCCTTAAAAATAACATTTAATGAAGCATCTTTTACATGTGGAGCTGTACAAAAAGAATTGCGTGGACACAAATCCAGCCCTCAGGGAGTGTGTGGTCTAAACTGGGTGCACTGCTGCCTGGCAGAAAGGGAACTGGGAAGGTGTCTAGTCCAGTAGTATCAAACTCAAAGAGAAACTGATCCCTGAAGGCTGCATATTGACTTAGAAAACAACAATTTCTCATTATCTGTGTTGTTTTACTTTGTAAAACATTTCCTATTTGCATTTTCATCTGCTTCAGGATGCCCTGGAGTTTGACAACTAATCTAGCCCAATCCCCCTCCCCCAACCCCCCGTTTTATAGATAAGGAAACGAAGACCCAGAGTGGTTGACTCCAGTGGCAAGGCAAAAACACTCACCTATTTCAGGCTAGGGAGTAAAATATTAACCACAAATGTATGCTAGGGTATGTGGGATACAAACAAGTAACAGTGTGTCCTCGAGGAAGGTAAGAGAGGGAAGAAAAAGCAATGTAGTGTGGGACAAAAGAGCATTAGACAGGATACAAGTCATGGCTTTAACAGTAGCATGGCCTTGGACAAGTCACTTTCTTCCCTGTAGTCCTTAATTTCTTCCTCTGTGAAGTGAAGAGGCTCGACAAGAGCTCTGAGGGTCTTTCCAGCTCTCAGGACATTCTGTGGTTCTGGAAGTCCCGAGGCCGGGGAAATCAGATGTTAGCTGATTAAGCTGGGAAGGATTTTTTGGTGATAAGATTGTTAGACTGACCCCAAGAAACTGTTTCCTGGGGTGAGGTTAATCAGAATCTGAGTTGTAAAGGGGCCTTAGAGGCCCAACCTAACCCATAACTATAGCACCCTTGACAACTGCTTATATAGCCTCTGCCTGAAAACCTGCAGTGATGGGCTACACTACCTCCCAAGGCAAGCCATTTCTCCCAAACTGTGGAGTACTGTATAGTGATAAATTTTATTCTCTATTCTCCTTTCCCCAGGGTTGAGTTCCAGAATAAGTTCTACAGTGGGACTGGCTTCCAGTTCTTCCCCTTCTCCTTCGACCACATTCGTGAAGGAAAGTTTGAAGAGTGATCCAGTGGCCCAGGCCATCCCAGTACACCTCGTTCCCCTATTGCGATGATTAGCTCTTCTATCCAGTCTGTGTTTGTTGTGATCCCCGAGGCCTGGCTACCACTGGACCTCTCTAGACATCTGTGGAAGTCATGTAGACTGTGATTGCTCCCCTGTTCTGTCCCTGGTCCCCACAGCTTTGTGTTCCATGAAGAGCTTGAGCAGCACAGCCGTGATTCTGATGTAGCCACTGACTAGAGAGCCAACTTACCTTCCCAGCCTCCTGCCCATTAGACATTATAGAGTCCGGGGGAAGACCTCTCTCTCTCTCCAGTCTATGGTTCACTACCCTTCTCACATTCGTATCTAAGCAGCAGCAGGTGTTTGGGGGAGTTGACATTTTTTTTCTTCCCCTCTTGTTAGACAAGGGAAACGGTAGCTCCCCACTTGTGTGTGTCCCCTGAAACTCTAGCAGGAATTATTGGAGGAATTCCCAAATCTCTTACCTCAGGAAGGAGGAAATTCATTTAAATTCAATAACAGATCTTGGAAGGTGGAAATTTGTACCTCCTTCCCTGTGCCCTTCAGCCATGAACCTTTGTGAGTTTTGTTGCAATCTGGAGCTCAAATGGAGCACAAAGAGGGTGGAAGTGGCCTGGGCCTCAGACCAGGAACTTCTTCCTCTTTCCTCTTCAAAACCCACATGTTCTAAGGAGGTTTCTTTATTTGAGATTTCTAACTCCTCAATCCCTCCCATATATCCAAAGTGCAGAGGAGGAGTTATTTAGAGCAAGAGTCCTTGCTTTCTCCTTACCCCATTGGGATTTCCCTCTCCTAGCTGACATTTATCCTCCCCGCCCCAGGCCTTTCACAACTCCTTTGGCCCCCATCGCTTTGTTGTTTTGGGGTGGGGGGGTGAGGACAGCTGAACACTATTTTGCACTGAGACTTAACCTATTTGGAACAGAATAGGAGAGCCCCAAAGATCCTGACCCCTTCCCTCCTCCACAATCATGCTGTTTTGGTATGGACTATGACTACCCACATTCTCTTTGTGAGACTGGTGGACCTTCCTTGTTTTTCAGAGCTCTTGTGCCCTTTCCCACCCTCAAGCTTGCTTTTCAGAAATACCTATACTTGGGCATGGGAAGTGGTGCCAGGGAAAAGTAGCTTTACCTCCACCCAGGTTGCTGAATGTGATCAGTGAACTGTACTTCTGGAGGATACACTTCACCTTGACCCACAGCGGGCTGTCAGGTTTATGGCCCTTTAATCATGTGTTGGCACAATGGCCCCAGTAGCCATGACAGTGGTGGCTAAATTGGCATCTTCCCCACACATTCCCTAAATGGGCCAGCCATATCCTTACTATCATTCCTGGCCTTTACAAATGAATCAATATAGGCAGTTCCTCTGACCAGTGCCCTCTCTGTCAGGCAGTGAGAGGGTGTTTAAGTTTATCTGGGACATGTGAGCACAGCTCTGAAAGAAGATGGTTGGGGGAGAAAGGGAGGATGGTTCTACTTCCCCAGGGAAAAGAAATGCCTGAACCAAAGAGGGTGCCATTGGAGAATGAGATCAGGGGGAGCCTGGTTCCTTGTGTGTTGGTTGCTGTGACCTGCCTCATTTCCTTGTGCATGGTGCTCCCCTGCCCACCCTGGCCCTTGTTTACATGATCTTTGCTGTGTGTTTACAGTAGAGTTTGTTTAAAATGGAGTCGCCTAAGAGGAAGCCCTGTGCAAGGGCTCTCTGCAAACATGCCTCTGCTGAATAAAGTGTGTTTAGCTTCACTCAGAAAGCTGCTTCTGTCCTTATCCTCTTTCTTATCACCTTAGGTCAGATCACCTTGCTCCTTTTCCCCTGCTTCTGACCAGTTCTCCCCATTCCCCTATCATTGTTCTCATTCTGCCTGACCAAGTGCTGCAGCTGGAGTGACCCTGGCCAGAGCTATTAGTTTGTGAAATTCTCACCTTATCTCACATTTCCCTGGCACCTTCCCTTTCCAAGGAGCCAAGGACAGCATTGCAAACTCCACCCACAGGGGCCTAGCAAGGACAAACCCTCGTCTTCCACACACCCAAACAGTCATGGGAAGAGAAGTATCTTGTCTCTGGACTTGGTGCTAACCCTCCTTTCCCCCCTTCTCCAAGGCTCTGTTGCGCAGGGGCCAGGCAGCTGCGCTATTTTGGGCTCTTGCCCTAACCTCTATAATGGAGTAAAAGTTCAGCTCCATCTCTGAGGCAGTTAGGCAATATGTGAGACCCTCTGGTAGGCAGGCAGAAGGGAGGGATTTAGGGAGGTCATGTTTTTCCTCCAACTCCCTGCTGTTCTTGCCCTTGCATTTCTCTCTCCAAAAGTCAAAAGGATAACCAAGAGAAAGAATGCAGGGCTGAAGCAGCCTATACTCATGGAGTGGGGAAAAGAATAGGTCTTTCCTTTTCACCTGGTCCCTGACGACCACCCACAACTCCCCCAGAAGCTGACTAAGACGTCAGCTGTACACTTGTCTCGAAGAGGATCTGAAGTTCAACTTGTTTCCCTTTCCCAGCCTAACAGGAGGGGAGCTAGTCAAATTAAAAGGTTTGGCTTGTTTCTAAACTAAATCCAATGAGGGTGGAAACTCGGGGCTGGCTGGCTGCTGCCAAAGGGATTTTTCTAAAGCCTAGGCCTGACCCTGTCATGCCTCTCCTCAATGAGGTCCCTATTACTTCCAGGATCAACTATAAACTCCTCCACTTGACAGCTGAAGCTCTTCATAACATGGCATATTTTAGTCTTCCACTAGACTCCCCTCCATGCACTGCTCTTAGCTACACTGTCTTTACTTGATATTTCTCAAACACGATGCTGTCTCCACCTTGGTGCCTTTGCATGGCCTGTCCTCAATGTCTGCAATGAATCTCCTTCCTCACCTCCATCTCCTAAGTTCCCAGGCTTCCTTTAAGACACATCAAATCCCACTTTTCACAGTAGGAAGGCCTTTGCTGATCCTCCTAGTTTTAAGGCCTTCACTTCTTCGATGACCTCCTATCGACCCTATGTACAGTTTTATGTACTAATTATTTACAAGTCTCCATCATTAGACTGTGAGCTCCTTGAGGGCTGTTTTTGCCCCTCTTCCTTTGTTGGAGGGTCACACAACTAGTGTCAGGCTGGATTTGAACTCAGGTTCCCCTGCCTCCAAGGCCAGCGCTCTATTCACAGGGTGCTCTGTCCCCTGTTTTTGCCTTTATATCCCCAGAACTTAGCACAGTTCCTGGCACATAGCAGGTGCTTAACCAGTGTTTATGGACTGACTGGTTTCACACACCTGCAAAGTGTGCTGTACTCAGCACCACTCTAACCTGAGGTGGAGTCCAGTTCGTGCCCTATGCAATCTGGAAGAAGCCCCATGGGTCACTGTGAGAGATCAGGGTACACAGCTGTTGTTCAGCTGCAATACTATCTCTAGGACTCCTCAGCTCTTCCTTCTCCCCTCCCCACCCCTCAACACACACTTGCGGAGCTCCTACCAATTCTGGCTAGACAGGAGAGCTTTACTGGACCAAACTATGACAAAGCACCTCAGTCCCTGTGTCAGAGGAGGGATGAAGAACCCCAATGACTGTACTGTCACCTCTGTCTTTCAGGGTGGGACTGGACCAGGGGTGGGGAACCTGCAGCCTAAAGAGAACATGTGGCCTTCTAGGAGCTTGGTTGCGGTCTTTTGACTGAGTCCAAGTTTTACTGAACAAATCCTTTTATTAAGGGTATTCTGTAAAGTTTGGATTCAGTCAAAAGGCTGAACTGGAGGACCTAGAGGGCCACATGTGGCCTCACTGCCATAGTTTCCCCACCCCTGATGGACTTTCAGGGAGGAGCAATGGCTCCCTGAACCCTCCGGATTCTGCTAGTCCTGGTTAATTGAATCTATACGATAGGGTTGCACTGCTCTCTGCTGGCCAAACTAAGAAATGCTATTTCCCTCAAGAAAGATGGGTGGATGGGAGCTGAATTGGGACTTTTGAAATGGGAAGTGGAAGGAAAGCCCTATGAAAGGAGTGGGGAGGTGGAATCTGTTTTCAGAGGCCAGGGATGTGTGGGCAAGAGGGGTGTTTGTGTGATGAACAAAGCTTTAGACCTGCAATCAAAAGACCTCAGTTTGACAACCAATTTTACTTTTTAATAACAGTATGACAAGGGCTTCTCTGAACCTGTTTCCTCATCTGTAGAGTGGGATAATGCTTGCACACGTCAGCTTATAGAGCTTGGAGGGTCAAATGGGATAATGTACTGTTGTACCTTAAAGTATACTATGAGATGGTTCTAAAGTGCCCCCTCAGTGTCCCCAGGGGAATGCTAAGGACCCAGGAATTGGAGTGTGGGAAAGGAATCTGTGCAGACTCTTTGTTTACATCCACCACCACCACCACCACTTCTAAGCTCCTTTGTTTCTACTCTAGAGACCCTGAAGCCCCTGTTTTTCCACTCCAGTCTTGTGAATGGGGTTAATACAAAGGAAGGGCACTCGGGGCAGATGTGATAGAGGGCTATTGGCAGGTCAGAGTCCTATAAGAATACTGGATCATGGGATTTGGGAAACCTGGATCCAGGACTTGCCAAAATACTAGGACTTGCCTGGTTTACTCCAGTCATTCCAGAATTATGTTGTTTAGTAGGAGAAGCAAAGAATAGTAGACAGGAAATCACAGTAAAGTGATTTCCACCAAAGTCCTGGGTCCTTGACCTGCATGAGAGTCTCTTTTCTCATTACAGAGTAACCTCTGCACTGCTTTCCTGCCTGAGACCTCCAGTTTATTCCATTCCTGGCCAGGACATATTGGGAAAATCCATTTCTGACCTCACCTACCCACCAAAAAGACCCAGATTCCTTTCTTGATGAACCCATGTGAGTTGATGAGTCCAGAGTCAAGGAAAGTCAACAAGCATTTATTAAGCACCTACTATGAAGAAGGCATATTCTAGGCATTGGTGATATAAAGGAAGAGGAAAAACAGTCCCTGCCCTCAAGGAGCTTCCATTCTAAGAGGGGAGACAACATGCAAACAAATATGTATCAACAAGATATACCCAGGATAAATTGGAAATAATCTCAGAGGTCTTCAAAGCAGTACTGGATGACTGCTTATCATTAGAGATCCTTATCTCCAATACAGGTTGGACTAGATGGTGAGAGGAAACTTCCAACTCTGAGACTGTGTGTTTGTGTGTTTCCATTCTAGTTCTACTATTTACTCCATGCCTCACTTTGGGCAATATCTCAGGGCCTTAGTTTCTTCCTCTGTAAAATAGGGGGTTGGCCTACATGGTCTTTGAGCTCTTCCAGTTCTAAATTTTATTGTTAGTCCCAGTTTCAGAGGTGAGACCACTGAAGCTCGGAGAGGTTAAGGGTCTTATTCAAGGACACCAGCAAATCAATGACATGGCTGATCTCCCTACCTCATGTGAAGTTTTTCTCCCCTACTCAAAGCTGCTGCACAATCCCAAGCACGGCCCTCTAATAACATTTAACAAGCATTTGTTGAAGGCTTTCTTATGGGCAAGGCACAATCTTAGATGTTAAGGATAACAAAAACAAAATAAGTAGTCTCTATTCTGGTCTCGAAGCACTTCCAGGAGATAGGATGAGTACAGAGCTTTTTATGTCCTCATTTGGCAGTGACTGGCACACAGTGGATGTTTAAAGGATGTTTGAGGATTGACTGCTGATTATGGTCAGCCTTGCACCATTCCTACCATCTGTCAACTTTGCTCCCACACACACTGCTGAATGACGGTAGAAAGAAATCACACAACCGTTGTGATTGTGTCCACTACAAATTTGTGCAAAACAACCTCAACTGGACCCTCACTGCTGCTAGCCAATCCTATTATACCTCCCTTATCACCTCATTGTCCTACTCTCCATAGAAGTTTTTTCAAACCATTTCATCCCTCTTCAAACCTTCCATGGATCTCCCTTTTCCCATTGTTTCAGCTGAGAACTTTGTCTCATATTTTACAATAATTTTTTTTTAAAAAGGCACTTTGCCAAGAGCTCTGTCTTCATCTCCTATCACTCAGGTGCCTTCTGCCACTATCTCCTCCTCCACCTCTGTCTCACATAATGGAATAGTCTTACTCCTTACCAAGGTTAACCCCTTTAGCTGTTCAAGTGATCCTATTCCATCTCCTTCTTCAACAGATTGCTCCTCCTGTCGTCCCCACTCCACTTATTTTCAATCTTTCACTCTCTACTGTCTCATTTCCTACAGCCAACAAATATGTCTGAGCAGCTAGGATAGAGAGCCAAGCCTGGAGTCAGGAAGACCTAAGTTCAAATCCAGCCTCAGACACTTAACTAGCTTTGTGACCCTGAGCAAGTTACCGGTTTGCCTCACTTTCCTCATCTTTAAAACAAGTTGGAGAAGGAAATGGCAAACCACTCCAGTATCTTTACCAAGAAAACCCCAAATGGGGTCATGAAGAGTTGGACATGACTGAGATAACTGAACAACAAATATGCCCATGTCTCCTCCATCTTGAAAAAAAGTCCTCACTTGATCCTTCCATCCCTGCTAACTACTGTCCTCTCTCTTTTCTGCGCTTTGTAGCTAAACTCCTCAGAAAGACTGTTTGAAATAGGTGCCTCCACTTTCTCTCTACTCACTCTCTTTTTTTTGTGAGAATCAAATGAAATATTTATTTTTTAATTTTCATTAATTTTTTGTTTTCAACATTCACTTCCATAAGCTTTTGAGTTTAAAATTTTCTCCCCCTCCTTCCCCACCTCCCTTCCTAAGATAGTGAGCAATCTGATATAGGCTATACATATACATTCCTATTAAACATATTTTCACATTAGTCATGTTATAAAGAAGAATTAGAATCAATAGGAGGAACCACAAGAAAGAGAAAACAAAACAAAACAGAAGGAAAAAAAGAACAAATAGTATGCTTTGATCTACATTCAAACTCCATGGTTCTTTCTCTGGATGTGGATAGCATTTTCCATCATGAGACTTTTGGAGAAGTCTTAGATTCTTGCATTGCTGAGAAGAGGTAAGTCTATCAAAGTTAGTCATCGAACAACATGGCTGTTACTGTGTACAATGTTCTCCAGGTTACTCATTCTATTCTTAACCCCCTTAGCGATTCTGACTTTATTTATAAGGCTTCTGACCTTATTATCATTCCACCAAAACAGCTCTCTCCAAAGTTATTACTGATCTTGTTGGCAAATCTAACGGCTTTTTCTCAATCCTCATTCTCCCTGAACTCTGCGGCCTTTGACACTGTTGATCATTCTCTCCTCCTTGATACTCTCTTCCCTCTAGATTTTCAGGACACCATCTGTCCTGTCTATCTGACCATTTCTTCTCTGTCTCCTTTGCTGGATCCTCTTTCAAGATCACCCAGATTGCCCTCTAACCATAGGTCCCCTCAGGGTTATATCCTGGGCCCTCTCCCTCTGTATTACTTCATGTGGTGATCTCAGTAGCTTCCATAGATTTAATTACCATCTTTCTGTGGATAATTCTCAAATCTGTCCCAATCTCTCTGCTGACCTCCAATCTTTTTTTTTTCAGCCAAAGACAAGGTTTATTAGAACATCTGTCATATGGGACAGACTTTTAAAGAGTCTGAACATTAGTAAACTATTGGCTAGATTATAAAAATCTGAGCAGTGGCTAGATTTTGAGAATCTAAGCACCTTAATGGAGACAAGATGGACCTTATATACAGAAAGATTGTGGGAGGGATCTAGGAGTGGCCAAGTAGTTTGGGGTGACTGGAGGAGGGGGTCTAAGGAGATCTGGAGGAGAGTGGCCAGTAAGCTGAGTTGAACAGAACTCCTGGGACCTGGACCATGTGGCCAAGGGAGAATGGAGCCTAGGTAGGATTAAGGGTGGGGAATGGCTGGGGGCCATAGGGAGGTAAGACATTGGAGAGCTGGGCTAGATTAAGGGTAACAGAATTGAGAGATTGGGTGTAGTCACCATGAAAGGCCAGTTGATGGGATTATAGCCTCAGACAAATGCCGGAGATTTGGCCATGTGGGAAAGTCCAGGGTTTTTCCTTTTTGGGGTCCAGATCCCAACCCCATCATTCCCACCTCAAACAAATGGGACCCAAATTCTTTTGGGGTAAGGGTCAAAGGTCTTGGCTTCTGAAACTGCTTCCTGCTGGCAAGGGGCATAGAGCTGTCCCTGCCTCGAGGGGGTCCCAAAGAGAAGGTTGGCTGAAACTGAGCACAGGCTGCATCCAGGAAGCCATGGGGGGATATTGGCTAGTACCCACTGTTTGCCAGGTGAATGGCCTCTAGTACAAGTTTGGAGGCTAGCTTCATTACCTTGAGCAGGATGTGCTGAACCTGGGTGATGCTTCCAGGCAAAGGTTGTCCCAGGGCCCAACACCATTGCCAAGGGGGCCCATACTTCCAGTCTTGGCTAGAGAAAAACTTGGGGTTAGGCAGTTTCCCCGTATGGGCCACCAAAATGATGAGGTTTAGAGGTTCAGGGGTGCTGATGATGAAGATGGGATCTAGACCCCAAAAAGGAAAAACCCTGACTTTCCCACAGGGCCAAATCTCTGGCATTCCCCTAATGCTCTAATCCCATCAACTGGCTTCTCATTGTGGCTATGCCCAATCTGTTACCCTTAACCTAGCCTAGACCTCCCTATGTGCCCCCGGCCACTTCCCAGGAGCCCTAACCTCTAGACCTCCTCACTGGGACCCCAAAATCACAACATGCAGGTGCTGTCTGAAAGAATTCAACCCAAGCCTTCTTTCAGCCAAAGACAAGGATTATTAGAACATCCGTCATATTGGGCAGACTCTTAAAGAGTCTGAACATTAGTAAGCTATCGGCTAGATTATAAAAATCTGAGCAGTGGCTAGATTTTCAGAATCTAAGCCCTGACCTCCAATCTTGACCTCTACGTTCAGCAGACATCTTAAACTCAATATGCGTAAAAGAGAACTCATTATCTTTTTCTCCTAACCCCTCCTTCCTCCAACCCCTACCTTCCCTATTACTCTAGAGGGCAATACCACCCTCCCACCCCTCAGGTTGGAAACCTAGGAGTCATTCTGGACCCCTGCCTCCCCATATCCAAGCTGTTGCCAAGGCCTGTTGATTTCACCTTTGTAACACCTCTGGAATACAGCCGCCTTCTCTCCAGACACTGCCACCACTCTAGTGCAGGCCCCGTGGTTCTGCCTGTCTCAAGTCTCCCTACTCCAAACCATTCTCCATCAAGCCGCTAAAGTGATTTTCCTAAAACACAGCTCCATACCCCTCCTCCAATAAACTTCAGGGGTTCCAGGAACAAATACAAAATGCTGTTTGGCATTCAAAGTCCTTCCTACCTATCCAGTTCTTACGCTTTACCAGCACATCCTCAACCATCCAATGACAACTGTTCCAGGAACAAGACACTCTCTGCTCTTGACATTCTTTCTGCCTGTATAGTTCCTCTCCCTCCTCTGATCAGATTATGACCTACCTGACTTCCTTTAAGCCCCAACTAAAATCCTCCCTTCTACAGGAAGCCTTCCCCAACCCCCTTTTAATTCCAGTGGCTTCCTCTCTGTTGTTTCCTATTTATCCAGTATGTAGTTTGTTTGATGTTACCCCCCCAATAGATTGTGAGCTCCTTGAGGGCAGGGACTGTCTCATGCCTTTCTTTGCATCCCCTGTGCTTAGGCCAGTGCATGGCACCTAGTAGGTGCTTAATCAATTTTTATTGATTTGCTTGCTTCTGTTAGGATTTGACTTGACTAAATGCTCTTTGTTCTGTTGGCCATTTTGCTGCATTAACTAAGCCCAGGACCAGTTTCCACTGTACTGGTTTCCTCCAGAGTCTGCCTTCTGCCTCTAGTCCCTTTGCAATCGCCAGAGAGGCTTAGAGGAGTTTGATAGCTCAAGGGGGTCTTCCTTGTCTCTTTATCTTGCCTTTAAAGGAAGAAGAATCCCTTTTGACCTATTGGGAATGTCTAGAAAATAAGGATACATTTCTTCATTTGTAACTATATACTGATAAGTATCCTATTTTTCTGTGTCCCACTCAAGCATCTCCTCTTTCTTTATGTCATAATTGTTACCAACTGAATAATGACAGAACATATATCCATCGATTTCTGACAACGTGTCATTCTTGGCCAATAAACTTCAGTTTTTTCTCTGTTCATAGATGTCCGAGGTTACTGGAATTACCTAGTACCTCAGGCCAGTTTTGTCACCAAAGACTGAGGCTGATGAAGTGACTTGACCTGGGTTGCAAAGCTTAATAAAGCGCCTGAGGCAGTATTCAAACTCAGGTGTTTCTGACCCCAAATCCTCTGTTCCACGTACTCACTGTGCTCCGTCCTACGTACTCACTGTGCTCCGTCCTAGATCCACAAGGCGAAGCAAAACTGGCTAACTACAAAGGAGAACTGGTTCTCAGAGACTCCTGCAGCGATATTGAAGCAGCCTAAGACCCACTAGCTAGAGCCTCGTGCCTCACCAGCCTGTCCTTTAACACCCTGGAGGGCACGTGCACGGCCCGAGCCTGTCACCGAGACCACGCCCAACAGGTAACAGGCTGGGGGGCGAGGGCGGCGGGGGGAGGAGGGACTTCCCGGGGCCGAGGCTCATGTCCCCCTCCGTGCAGGTACCGCTATTACCAGAACGTCTGCACGCAGAGCTACTCCGTGTGGTGGGGCTGGGAGCGCTGGGAGCGAGAGATCGACTGGATGGCTCTGAACGGGATCAACCTGGCGCTGGCCGCCGTCGGGCAGGAGGCCGTCTGGCGGAGGGTGGGTCCGGCCTGGGCCGAGAGAAGGGCGCAGAGCTTCGGCCCGGCGCTGCCCTGGCCCTGCACCCCTCCTTCGCCCCCCCCATCCCTCCTAGCTCCCTTTTTCCATCCCCCTCTCCTCTCTTTCCTCTTCCCCTTCTTTACCCCTCTCTCCCTCCTTTTTCTTTCTCTCCCTCCTCCCTCGATATCTCCTTCTTTTCCTTCTCCCTCTCTCCCCCCTCATCTTCTTCCCTCCTTTTTCCTCACGTTCTTTCTCTTCCCTCTTTTCCTCCTCCATCTCCCCCTGTCCTTCTTTCCATTATTTCCTCTTTCTTCCTGTACCTCCTTCCCTCTCTCCTCTCTCCTCCTCTTTCTCTTCCCCTTTCCTTCCTCTCTCTCCCTCTCTTAATTCCTCTCCTATCTCTCTTTTTCCCTCCCTCCTTCTCCTGCTCACTCCTCTTTCCTTCTTCTCTACCATTTTCTTCCTTTTCCCTTCTTTCCCTCTCTCAACCCTCCCCTACATAAACTCTCTCTCCCTTTCCCTCCTCTCTCCCTGTTCTTTTCCTTCCCTCACTCGACTTCCTTTTCCTTCTGTTTTCTTCTCCTCCTTCCCTCTTCCTCTCTCTTTCTTCTCCCTTCCCTTTATCCCCTTTTCTTCCTCCTCTCTCAATTTGGAGGAAAACAAATTATTTCCCTTCCCTGGGCCTCAGTTTCTTTCTCTGTAAAAGGAAGGGTTGGACTAGAATGGTCCCTTCCAGACTTGTCATTCCTTGAGTCTAATTCTAGCTTGACCTGGTTGATGCCTTACTTACTTATCCAAATTTATGTTGGGAGGGGTCAAGTGAGAGGCATTCTGGTATATTTGGAAAAGTACTAGACTAGGAGTCAGATTTCCTACCAGACCCAGGCTGGTAGGAAAGAGAGGTAGATAAAGTGCTTTGCTAACCTTAAAAAGCTATAAAAATTTTGGCTTTTATCACCACCTCCTAGCAGTGTGACCTTGGATAAGCTGCCTTTAATCTTTTCTAGCCTCAGTTTCTTCATTGGTAAAATGGTGATGATAATACTTATCCTACCTATCTCCTGGGATTGCTATGGTGAAGAAAGTTTTTACAACTTAAATTGCTTTATCAGTTTTCTAGCCTCAGTTTCTTCATTGGTAAAATGGTGATGATAATACTTATCCTACCTATCTCCTGGGATTGCTATGGTGAAGAAAGTTTTTACAACTTAAATTGCTTTATCAGTTTTCTAGCCTCAGTTTCTTCATTGGTAAAATGGTGATGATAATACTTATCCTACCTATCTCCTGGGATTGCTATGGTGAAGAAAGTTTTTATAACTTAAATTGCTTTCTCAGTTTAATCAGGCAGCAAACACTTCTTAAGCATCTGCTCTGTGATAGATGATGGGATACAAAGTAGGAAAGAGAGATTCTGGAGAGAATGAGATCTTTTGGGATGAAGCCAGTGCTTCCTGCATTTGCTGGACATGTCCCTAAGGCCTTTACTAGGTGAGTTTACTGAGAACAAGGCAGGACCATAGATGGCAAATCTCTGTGTGATTCAAAGGTCCTATCTGGGAATGGCAGTAAAAAGAATGCTAGATCTGATGTCAGAGGACCTGGGTTTCAATCCTGTCCATCTGTATGACCTTGGGCAAATGCCTTAATCTTTCTACCCCTCATTTCCCCTTTCATACAATCAGAAGGTTAGAGTAGATGGCCTGTAAAGACCATCCCTTCCAGCGCTCAACTCCTGATCTTACAAACCCTGCTTCAGAGGACAAGACATTCCACTGTCTAGAAAAAGTGTAAGGTGATAGGAAAAAGAGGAAACTTAGGTTTGGTTCCCAGATCAAACACTTGTAAGTCACATTGGATAAGTCACAAGTCACTTCTTCTCTCTGAACATTCATTCTGTAATCTGTAAAATGGTAGAAAAGAAGACCTGTGTTCTCTGCAGCAATATTCATGATTTGGAACTGGAAGTGACTTCGGAGGTCACCTCTCCTGTTTGAGACCTTTTTTGGTCACCTCCATGCCATCTGGCCAGCTGCCAGTGCCTTTCCACCAAGGTGGCCTGGTGTCTGCCTTGTGTATCTGTACCTGACGGGCTTGGGTCTCCTCTGTTAGGATGTCAGCTCCTTGTAGGCAGGCGTGTTTCATTTGTCTTTGTATCCCATCATCTATCACAGAGCAGATGCTTAAGAAGTGTTTGCTGCCTGATTAAACTGAGAAAGCAATTTAAGTTATAAAAACTTTCTTCACCATAGCAATCCCAGGAGATAGGTAGGATAAGTATTATCATCACCATTTTACCAATGAAGAAACTGAGGCTAGAAAAGATTAAAGGCAGCTTATCCAAGGTCACACTGCTAGGAGGTGGTGATAAGAGCCAAAATTTTTTATAGCTTTTTAAGGTTAGCAAAGCACTTTACATGCATTATTTCACTGGATCCTCACAGCGTCCCTGCCAGGTTAAGTGCCACAGTTATTCTCATCACCATTTTACAGAGGAAACTGAGTCTGAGAAAGATTGTGACTGCCCAGGGTCACTTAGTAAGTGCCCAAAGCAGGATTTGGACCCTGACTCCAAGTCTTTCCCTTACATCCATGAACCCTCTCAAGAAACCCTTAAGAAGCCCTTGTTACAGAGGACACTCATGGGGTCACTTGCCTTGAGCCTCTCCCCAGCCTCCTTGCCTTTGCTCTTCCCTCTGTGAATTGGTGACCACATTAAAAAGTTATTTTATCAACATTGTTCCAAAGACTTACCTTACTTGGGGTTCTTAACAGAGGGTCCGTGAACTTGGGTGTTTTTTTTTTTAACATTTTGTTAGTTGTTTTTTCATAGAATTGGTTTCCTTTGTAACCCTATGTATTTTACTTTATGCATGTGCAAATATTATTCTGAGGATGGCTTTTTAGGCTATACCAGACTGCCAGAGGAGTCCATGTTACAAGAAGGTTATACACCCTTACTTTATTCTGATGGTTAATCCCTGAAGGAGGAGGTACTTTGACACAACAAGCAGCCAGTGTGTTGAGGTGTAGTGAAGGTGTGAAAGGGGACAACCCCTTCCCCCCCACACCCAACTTCTTTCCCAGGAGGATCACTTTGACCTCTGTGTGGGGGTGGGAGGTTCCCTGGTGACATTTTCTCTCCTTCATCAATATGATCCTGCCTCTCTGGTCTCTCCCACCACCTCTGTCCTCCATCATTCTCCCTCTACCATTGTCCCTTCTCTTCCAGGGTGTTCCCTCAGGCCAGTGTCACCAGTCTGGGCATGTGGGGCCACTTCAACTGCACCTACTCCTGCTCCTACCTCTTGGCCCCAGAAGACCCCTTGTTTGCAGTGGTTGGGAGCCTCTTCCTGAGGGAGCTGACTCAGGAGTTTGGCACTGACCACATCTATAGTGCTGATACCTTCAATGAAATGGAGCCCCCTTCCTCTGAGCCAGCCTACCTGGCTGCTGCCACAGCTGCAGTCTATGAGGCCATGATTGCAGGTGAGGAGGGCAGGGTGCTGAGGGTAGCTGAGAGAGACAAAGGCAGGACATTCCAGGAGGGCTGAGACAAAGAAGTGAGATGGGGAAGTGAGGGGAATGTCAGCCAGGGAAATGAGAGGTTTGGGGAAAGTATGGGGTGTCAGGAGAGTGGTGGTCAGTATAAGCCTGCTGTTGTGACTGTGAGCCAGTCTCACCTCAGATCCTTACTAGCTGAGTGACCCTGGGCCAACTGCTTAGATCTCTCTGAGCTTCAGTTTCTTTATCTGTAAAATGGGGATAATAATAGCACCTACTGCCCTGGGTCACTGTGAGGACCAGATGAAGTAATGTATGTCAATTGCTTTGCAAAGCTTAAAGCCCTCTACAGATGTGAACTCCTTATGTGTTCCCTGCTTAAACCCTAGCCCAGAGTTTACAGATTCATTACAAAATGTCAGAATCAGAATGTCCTTTGATTGCTTTTGCCTCCAACACTTACTGTTTGTGTGACCTTGGGCAGGTCACTTTAGCCTCTGAGAGGAGCCACAGTCTTCTCTTGTCACAAGTGCAGGAGTCAGACTCAGGGGCCTGTGACGTCCCCCCCAGCTCTGATTCCCTAGTCTCACCCTTCCATTTTTTAAAATATAAATTTATTTTATTTTTAGTTTTCAACATTTACTTCCACAAGATTTTGAATTCCATATTTCCACCCCATCTCACCCCTCCCCCACCCCAAGATGGCATGCATTCTGAATACCACTTCCCCTAGTCTGCCCTCCCTTCTGTCTCTCTCCCCCCCTTCTCTTATCCTCTTCCCCTTCTATTTTCCTGTAGGGCAGGATAGATTTCTGTACCTCATTTCCTATATTTCTTATTTCCCAGTTGCATGTAGAAACATTTTTTTAAACATGTGTTTTTAAAACTTTGGGTTCCAAATTTTCTTCCTGCCTCCCACCCCACCCACCCTCATTGAAAAGGCAAGCAAGTCAATACAGGCCATACATGTGCAGTTAAGCAAAACACTTCCATAGTAGACACGTGAAAAACTAACTATTTCACCCTTCCATTTTGTATATGGGGAGGTGACATCTGAGGTCCTACAGCTACCTAGTGACAAGGCTCAGGCTGGAGCTCAGGTCTCCTGACTCCCTCTGCCTTTCCCTTGGGACTGGAAGCCCCGTCATGTGGAGCCGCTTTGTTCCCTCCCAGACAATCCTTTTCTCTCCACCCTCCATCGTTCCTGTTCACTCAGGAAGCATCAGCCTCTCCAGCTTATGCCTGCTTTCCTGCTGCCTACAAACCATCCTGAGGAGCCCTTGATCCCCAGCCCCTGATAACTGTCCTCCCTCTCTTCTCTCTTTTGTGGCTAACCTCCCTGAGAAGCTGCCTGAAGGAAGAGCCTCTGCTCTCAGCATGTCCAAAGCTGAACTCCTCTTTTCTTCCCAAACCCTCCCATCTTCCTAACTTCCTTATTACTTTGAAGGGTATTACCTAGGCTTACAATTTTAGTGTAATCCTCAACTCCTCACTTTCAAATGTCAAAATCCTGTCACTTTGTACTTTGTAACATCTCCATATACAAGTCCTTCTCTCCTCTGACACTGCCACCACCCTGATCCAGGTCCTCTTCACTCCACACTTAGACTATTTCAATAGCCTGCTGGTGGTCAGCTGGCCTTAAGTGCCTTCCCCTCCTGCATTTAGCTGCCAGATTGATCTTTTTTTAAAAATTATTTTATTTTGATTTATCAACAATCACTTCCATAAGCTTTTGAGTTTTACATTTTCTCTCCCTCCCTTGCCACCTCCCTTGCCACCTCCCTCCCCAAGACGGTGTGCCATCTGATATAGGCTCGACATATACATTCCTTTTAAATATTTCCACATTACTCATGTTGTAAGGAAGGATTAGAACCAATAGAAGAACCATGAGAAAGAGGGAGAAAAAAAGAGCAAACAGTCTGCTTTGATCTGCATTCAGACTCCATGGTTCTTTCTCTGGATGTAGACAGCATTTTCCGTGATGAGACTTTTAGAGATGGCTTAGATCCTTGCATTGCTGAGAAGAGCTAAGTCTATCAAAGTTAGTGCAGATTGATCTTCTTAATGTCCAAGTCTGACCATGTTAACCTCTCATTTAGTCAATGCCAGTGGTGCTTATCACCTCCAGAATCAAATATGTTGGATATTGATACAACCACTCTCTTTGATTCGTATCTCCCCTCCACCCCCACCCCCAGGCAGCTCTCAAGCCTAATTACACCTCCCTCCATCCCATTTATTCTGTGATTCAGTGACACTGACCTTCCTGCTGCTTCTTGAACAAGACCCTCCCTCTGCAGACTCTGTGTGGTCCCTCCTGCCTGAAATTCTCTTCCTCGTCTCTGTCCCTTCCTGGCTTCCAGCTGATATCCCACCTCCTACAGAAAGCTCTCCTGAATTCCCTTCATCCCAGTGCCTTCCCTCCACTGATTATCTCCACTGTGTCCTGTCTGTATCCTGTTTGTACATAGTTATTTGTGTATTGTGTCCCCTGTTGGACCATGAACTCCTTGAGAACAAGGACGCTTTTTTCCCTTTATGTATATCTCCAGTACTTAGCACAGAGCCTTGCACATAGTAGGCACTTCACAAATGCTTGCTAACTGACTGATGAGGAACAGAGATCCCAAGATTCCCTAGAGGTAGAAGTAATGAGACAGATCAGTGAATAAAGCATTAGCACTGTAGTCAGGAGGACCTGAGTTCAAATGTGATCTCAGACACTTACTAGTTGTATGACCCTGGGCAAGTCAGTTAACTTTAAAAAAAAAAAAGGCACTTTGCAGGGGGAGCCAAGATGATGGAGTAAAAGAAGTGGGGCTGGGGTGTGTGTCGGTCCAGTGTAGGATGGGTTTTGAGGTTCTCACGGAGGTTAGCCACAAAAGAGAGAAGAGAGGGAGGAGAGTTTTTTAGGTTTGGGGTCCCCTTTGGGAGAGACCCACGTATTTTCTTTCTCTCACTAGCAATCCCTTCTACCACCCCTTATTTCTACAGTGGATGTTGATGCTGTGTGGCTTCTGCAGGGCTGGCTTTTTCAACACCAGCCAAACTTCTGGAAACCCCCCCCAGGTGAAGGCTGTGCTGATGGCTGTGCCCCCTGGCCGCCTTCTCATCCTGGACCTCTATGCTGAGTCCCAGCCTGTCTACTCCCGCACTGACTCCTTCTATGGTCAGCCATTCATCTGGTGCATGCTGCACAATTTTGGGGGAAACCATGGGCTTTTTGGGGCATTGGATGCCGTGAACAGGGGCCCTTCGAATGCCCGTCTCTTTCCCAATTCCACCTTTGTGGGTACAGGCATGGTCCCAGAAGGTATCAACCAGAATGAAGTAGTTTATGCCTTGATGGCTGAGCTGGGCTGGCGGAAGGACCCCTTGCCTGACCTAGGGGCTTGGGTAGCAGGCTTTGCAGCTCAGCGGTATGGGACTCCCCACTCCCATGCAGAAGCTGCCTGGAGGCTGCTGCTACAAAGTGTCTACAATTGTTCTGGTGATTTGTGCACTGGCCACAACCACAGCCCCCTGGTGAGACGACCATCCCTTCGCCTGGACTTCTCTGTCTGGTATAACCGGAGTGATGTGTTTGAGGCCTGGAGGTTGCTGCTGGAAGCAGCCCCAGAGCTGGCAGCCAGCCCTGCCTACCGTTATGACCTTCTGGATGTCACAAGGCAGGTGGCCCAGGAGTTGGTGAGCCTGTACTATGGGGAGCTCAGGACAGCCTTTGAGGCAGGAGCAATGCCGGCCGTGCTCATTGCTGGTGGCCTGCTGGTCTTTGACCTACTGCCCTCCCTGGATGAGCTGCTGGCCAGTGATGAGAGGTTCCTTCTAGGGGGCTGGCTGGAGCAGGCCCGGGAGATGGCAGTCAGTGAGGCTGAGGCCTGGCATTATGAGCGGAATGCCCTCTACCAGGTGACTCTGTGGGGGCCCACAGGGAACATCCTGACTATGCCAACAAGCAGCTGGCAGGATTGGTGGCTGGCTACTATGCTCCCCGATGGAAGCTCTTTGTGGAGATGCTGGTGAAGAGCCTGGCCGAGGGCACCCCTTTCCACCAGAGCCAGTTTGAGAATGAAGCCTTGCTGTTGGGCCAGAACTTTGTACTGGGGAGGGAGAAGTTCCCCACCCAACCTCAGGGTGACACTGTGGACTTAGCCAAGAAATTTTTCCTTAAGTATTACCCAAGGTATCAAGCAGGAGCTGTGTGACTCAGCCCCTCACCTGAACCACCTGGGACCTCCAGTAGTTCCTTGTACTTTTAAGCTCCCTCCTAGGATTCCAAGTCTTATCAGTGGCCTAACTTGGGACCCCTAGGAGGGCATAGGTATAGAACTATGCCCAGTTCTTGGAGATAGTCTCTCTCCCTTGCTTACAACTGGGCTGTGTCTGGTCCCTAGAGTCAGGAACTGGCCTGGGTTCACTGAAGAGACCCTTTTAGCTGTGGTGAAGGTCTGGGATGGAAAGTGGGTCCCATGAATTGAGAATAATGGAGCAGGCTATTCATGCCATTCTCTCATCTACTCCAGAACTGGAAATTAAATCATTGTTTTCTGTGTCAGTGAATCAATAAATCACTACTTTAGCATGTCTATCTAGGCCTGTCCTCAGAGAAGCCAAGCAGCAATGTGTATAGCTAGAATAATAAAGTGGATATGACTGGCAAAGTCCATCTACTCCCTTCCCTCCACCCAGCTTGGAAAGCAGCTAGATTCGGCTCCAAGCTTCTGTCCCTTGCCTCAGTTTCCCCCACCCAGCTTTCAGAGAAAGTAAGACTTTTCCCTGTGATGCCTGTCAGCAGATTAGGCTTGAGGAGAGAGGGGGGGAAGTTTGAAGAAAGGGGCAGTGAAGGCTCACTGGCCTTGAGATAATGAAGTAGACACAACAAAGGAGGCTGGGGGCTTGAGAAAAAGGAGGTGCCCTTGGAGCTCAAGGGCTGGGCCAGCCTCTGCATCCTAGCCCTTTGCCTCTGATTCCTTCCTTTGCCTGTCTCCCAAATCTGTCTCTTCCTGGTTTCTCTGTCCTGTCTCTTTCTATGGAGCAGAAGGTAGTTCTCATCACAGGCTGTTCCTCTGGAATCGGTCTGCATCTGGCACTGCGCCTGGCAGCTGATCCTTCAGGCAGCTTCAAAGGTGGGAAGAAAGCAGGGGCCAAAGACCCTGGAGGGGTGGAGGTGGGGGACGGGTGCCTGGTTTCAGATGAGGAGGGAAGGGAAGATTTGTATCCTAGAGGGAGCCCTAATTCCAGGCAATCCACACTCCACTCAGTGTATGCCACCCTACGGGACCTCAGGTCTCAGGGCCCGCTGTGGGACGGTGCACGGGCTCGAGGCTGCCCTCCGGGCTCCTTGGAGACTCTACAGCTTGATGTGACCGACTCCAGCTCAGTGGCAGCTGCCCGAGACCAAGTGACCGAGGGCCGAGTGGACATCCTGGGTGAGAGTACTGAGACTACTTGGGTCCCCTTCCCTACTTAGGCAGAGGAGGTGTAGGTTCCCCCTCCTAGGACCATTCCTTACCTTCTCTCCCAGACACTAAGAACTTGGAGGTGCCTGGGGATCTGGGGAAGCTTTGGAGCTTCCATTATCTTGTCTGATTTCAACTTTGTGCTGTTCTACCTCTAAACACTTAAAAAAGTGTTCTAAACATTGTTTGTTTTTTCTTTTTTTAAAATTTTATTAGTTTATTTTGATTTATCAAAAATCACTTCCATATGCTTTTGAGTTGAAAATTTTTCTCCCCCTGCCTACCCCCTCACCCTCCCCAAGAGGGCGCACAATCTGATATAGGCTTTACAATTTACATACCCATTAAACATTTTCACATTAGTGAAGTTGTAAGTAAAAATTAAAACCAACAGGAGGAACCATCAGAAAGATGAAACAAAACTCAACAGAAGGTAAAAATAAGTGATAGCGATTCGACTTCCATAGTTCTTTCTTTGGATGTGGACAGCATTTTCCACCCCGAGGCCTCTGGAGATATCTTAGATTCTTGTAATGCTGACAAGGGTTCAGTTTAACAATATTAGTGGTCACATAACGTTCCTGTTATTGTGTACAAAGTCCTCTTGGTTCTGCTCACTTCATAAACATTGTTGTTGAATAGTGTTTTCTGCCTGAATGAAACAGCTGGAACACTTTTAAATCTGAGGATGCCGAAACCTGGTTGGATTGGGGAGGTTTGACCCGGGATGTTCCTGGCCCAGCATAACACCGCTGGGGAGGAGGGTAAGCAGTAGGCTGGGAACGAGGCATGGGCTCCTCTCTTCAGTATGTAATGCTGGCCGTGGCCTGCTTGGCCCACTGGAGGCCCACGCGGTAGAAGCTGTGGGCTCCGTGCTGGACGTGAACGTGGCGGGGACAGTCCGTACGCTCCAGGCTTTCCTTCCGGACATGAAGCGACGCCGCGCGGGCCGGGTGCTTGTCACTGGGAGCGTTGGCGGGATGATGGGTGAGTTGGGGGAGGCCGGGTGTTGATGGTGGGAAGGGCACACGAGACGATTGTGGGCACTGATCGGGCATGGGGATTGGGGCATCCAGGTTTTAGCTCACTCTTCTGTCTTCTTGTGTCCTGGTCCCCAAAGGCTTGCCCTTTAACGCAGTTTACTGTGCTAGCAAGTTTGCGCTGGAGGGTCTATGTGAGAGTCTGGCTGTGCTGCTGCCACCCTTCGGCGTCCAGTGAGTAACCAGGATACCCAGGGGCACCCCAATTCCCTTCCCCTCAGGGACAGCCCCAGGAGTCCTGTCCCACTAGAAGCTCTCTTTAAGACTTCACACCTTCTCCCAATTCCTCTTGCTACAAGTGTAGAGTAGAAGTAACTCTGAATCCACCATCAGAGGCCTTGGACTCTGCCGCTTCCTAGCTATATAACAATTTCTTGGGGTTCAGTTTCTTCAAATGCAAAACAAAAAAGTTGCATCCGTTCCAGCACAAACGTTCTATTATTCACGTACGCACATCATTTACGTGCCTAGTCATCCCCTAATTCTGGAAGGGGAGGTTAAGGTGAGGGGAGGGTGCTGGGACCAGAGAGTGGAACCAGGATGACGCCTCCCTATCCTCAGCCGCTGTTTCTGAACTTCCCAGCGTCAGCCTCATAGAGTGCGGCCCTGTACGAACCGCTTTCCAGGAGAAGCTGGAGGGGGGTCCTGGCGGTGCACTGGGAAGCGCCGACCTAGAGACTCGGGCTCTCTTTTCCCGTTACCAGCGCCACTGTGAGCGGGTCTTCCGTGAGGAGGCACAGGACCCAGAGGACGTGGTGGAGGTGGGGTGTAGCAGGGACTCACTACTCTCCCGGAGATGGGGCAGAGGGAAGACCTGAGGAGGCCCAGAAACGTATCTGGGGCGTGGGGCGAAGGCGACAGGGGCTGGGGTCCTGTCCGCACTTCCGCCCCAGGTTCTCGTTTTCTTTTCCCACCTCAGGTGTTCGTCCGAGCGCTCAGTGCCCCTCACCCTGTCCTGCGCTATTTCAGCACTGAGCGCTTCCTGCCACTGGCCGGGCTCCGACTCTCGGATCCTGGAGGCTCTCAATACGTAGATGCCATGCACCGAACCGTCTTCTCCGAGCCCGAGGAAGGGGAGGCTGGGAGTGGGGCCGAAGGCCTCGAGAGCCCCTGAGTTAGAAGTGCCCTTCTTTTCACCCCAACACACACACTCTATAAAGTACCCTGCCCATATCGCCTAACCAGTGACTGGGTTACTTTGTTTTCGAAACAAGTTTTCCAAAGGGGGGCTCATAGGAGAGAGCTGTTTGCCTTCTTCAGATGGCAAAAAAAAAAACCAAAACCATTGGGAAATCGGAATTTGGGGGGGTGTTGGGAAAACAAACAAAAATTTTTGATTGTGTAACAGTTTAGATCAGGTCTTACTACTTGCTCACTTTGTCAGTGTGTGGCCTCAGGCAAGTTATTTCACTGTTTTTCCTATATAAAATTAATTCATTCATAAAACAAGCATTTTTGAAGCACCTATTGTGTCTAAGTCTGTGCAAAAATTAGGAAATTGGACTAAGTGGTATAGATCGACAGTGTCAAACACTTGGGGGGGGAGAGGAAGGTTGCACTGAGTTTGGCGTGAACCAGATTAAAATGTAATTTGGAAATATTTAATAAAATAAATAATAATACAGTACAACATAGGCAATGCTAGTTTTTGGTTTTCTAAGTCAATATGCGGCTGAAGGGATTCTTATGAACAGGTTAATGGCTCCATTTCTTTTTGAGTCTGACATCAGGTACAGATGATTCCTTCCAGCACTAACAGTACTTGGTTTTAAGTCACTTAAAAACATCAGCTTTGGTTATTGCACCTGTTTGAGCCCCAGTTTTCTCATGTGAAAAGTGGAGAAACCAGCCCTGCCTATCTCACTGGCTGTTGCGGCAAATCATTGAGATAATAGGTGTAAATGAGATTTTAAAAGTGTAGAGCCCCTGAAAATGTGAGCAATCATTACCAGGAAATAAGTGGGGACAAACACTGACTACAGCCAATCGATCCAGTTCTTTTTTTAAAAAATATACATTTATTTATTTTTAGTTTTCAACATTTACTTCCACAAGATTTTGAGTTCCAAATTTTCACCCCATCTCACCCCTCCCCCCACCCCAAGACGGCATGCATTCTGAATACCCCTTCCCCTAGTCTGCCCTTCCTTCTATCTCTCCCCCCCTTCTCTTATCCCCTTCCCCTTCTATCTTCCTGTAGGGCAGGATAGACTTCTGTACCCTATTTCCTGTATTTCTTATTTCCCAGTTGCATGTGAAAACATTTTTTTAATATGTGTTTTTAAAACTTTGGGTTCCCCATCTAGTTCTCATTCTCCACCCTCCCCGCCACTCCTTGCCCTGCTGCTGGAGAAGAAAGGCCTCTCTAATCCCCTACCACAGCTTTCTTCCCAGAAAAGCTGTTTGGGCAAGCTAGGGAGGGAAGCTATGTGTAACCCCAAGAAGACATCTATCTGGCTGACTGCCTATCTACTCTGTAGAACAAAGTCAAAGGGAAGGTCAGGTTTCCCTCAACAAATGCCCTTCCATTCAAGGCAGATGGCTGAATAGGGGAGGACTACTGACATAAGGTAATGGACTTTGACCCCTGGAACCAGAGCCCACATCTGAGGGGAGCTAGGAAAGGTTAAGTAGACACTGCCACATAAGGGACAAAAGAGAAAGGATAGGACCAGGGAAAGGATCACCAAAAGGGAGGAGGAGGCTGTGGTTTTTCTCCCACTGACAGAAAGCCAGTAGACATAATTAGCTCAAAGCAAAGGCATTCACTAAGATGGCATGGTAAGGACAGAAGCTATATAACAAACTCTTCAAATCCTAACACTACCCGGCAAACACACCTAACAGATTAACTTAAGAGTACAATGGTAGTAAGGCACACACATGAGGCAAAACTCAGACCTCTGATACCGAAGGACTTCAATGTTTATTAGGGAGGACTCAGAAACCTTACCCATGAGGATAGCAGCATCTGTTGGGGAGAGGAGATTGCTTAAATGGGCTTATGGGTCTTCTTCTCTCTGCAGAGGAACTTCTGCATCCATAGCTAGCTCTTTGCTGCCAAAGGTCTCGCTCCTTGAAGGTGCTTCCTCCCTCAAGTGACTGCTTGCTTCCCTTTGTACTCTCTGGAGAGCATCTCTGGTCCCAAAGGCTCCTTGAATTCTTTCAAAGTGACTCTCCAACTACTGAATGGGTTGTGCATCTCTTGGTTGGGTTACCAATACACCAACTGTGAGCTGTAGTCACTAGAATTGCATAACCTTTGGGGCGAAGCTACACAAAGACTCCATGACTTTATTTATAAAACTTCTGTAGTTAATTTTCAGCTCAACCAATGGCCAGTGGCTGCCCTTTGGTTTGAAAATGAGAAAGGTTTTCCAAAAGGGATTAACAGGGTGTTAACATCTTATTAACACCTCAACATCTGTCTTTGTCAGCCAGGGGGCAACAAAATATTCCATCCTTTACACGTGTGTACGTGTGTGTACGTGTGTGTGTGTGTGTGTGTGCGTGTGCGCACTGTCACAACGAGCAAACCACTTAACGGGCTTGGGCCTCAGTTTCCTCATTTGCAAAATGTCGGACTGGACAAGATGGCCTTAGAGGTCCCTTCCAGCTCTAGAGCTATGGCTCCTCGCTTCTCCTCTCAGAGGTTCTTTTGCCTTGGGTGTAAAATTACCGGATCCAATTAGTCGCCAAGACGCCCTAGGGTTCCGACAAAACGCCTGACTCCTACCGCCTCTGCCCCCTAGGCCCCTTCACCTCCCACGTGATCGCCCCCCCCATCTCGCGAGATTCTCACGCACGGGGCCCGGAATAGCCAGGATTTCTCGGAGCCCAGAACCGCGAGCTACCTGATCCGGGGCAGCAGCACTTCCGGGTGGACCCTGGGGAGCGGCAGTAGCTGTAGCGGCGTCGGGAGAGGGAGCGGCCTGAGGCTAGAGGCTCCGTGAGTACCGGGGAACTAAACCCGGGCCTGGAACCACTGACAAACCCGACCTGTCACTGCCAGCAGGTGGCCCCGCCCCTTGGAGACAAGTCCCGCCCCTTGGAGACAGCTCGCCTTTCCCACATTTCTCTTTCCTCTGGGAAACAAGGGGAGATGAGGGTCCCAACTCCTGGGTTTCCTGCGTCGCCGTTCGGCCCCAGAGCCAATCCCTTCTTGTCCATCTCTGCGACGTTATTTCTCCAAGACCTCCCCCTTCGCAATTAAACAAATCTGATCGCGCATGCGCGAGTGTCCCACTGGGGTCAGGAGTCTAGGTTGCTCGTCGGAAGAAGTTTACGCATGCGCAGGAAATCCTAAGGCGGTTGGGGAGGTCTAGCTGGGTTTTAGAGCTCTGCGTATGCACGGCAACACCACCTGGGGGCCATGCACTAATCAGTGCTATTCACCCCCAGCCCCATCCTGAGCCTCTCACATGTGGCCTCCCACAGGTGCCATCGAGGGGAACCGTCAGTGACTTAGGCAGTGGTAGTGACTTGTGGTCAGCATGTCTGCCTTCCGATCCGGCCTCTTGGTACTGACATCCCCGTTGGCAGCCCTGACCCCACGCCTGGCACCCATTCTGACATCTGCAGCTCGGCTGGTGGAACAGACCCTGTACGTCCACCTGCAGCCTGGCCTCAGCCTGGGTGGGCCAGCCCAGCCTCACTCTAGCCACGTTCAGGCCACTGTGGAGGTCATCAATCTCATCACTGGCCTCTATGCTCGTGCTGATGCCCATAGGCACTTGGACATCCGAATCCTGCTGACCAACATCCTTACCAAGAACCCAACCCCACCACCTTCACTTGGCTCTGTGCAGAACCTAGCCCACCCTCCTGAAGTGGTGTTGACAGACTTCCAGACCCTTGATGGGGGCCAGTTCAACCCAGTCAAGCAACAGCTAGAGCGGTATGCCACCAGCTGTTACAGCTGCTGCCCTCAGCTGGTCTCTGTGTTGCTGTACCCAGAGTATGATCCAGGAGATACTTCCACAGATCCATCAGTGGTACCCCATTCCTCTGCTCTTTGGTCAGCCTCCCCTATGCTACATCTCCCAAACACCTCCTACAGGGCTACAACCATGTGGTAGTAGGGGGAACATTTGACCATCTGCACAATGCCCACAAGTTGCTGCTTACGGTTGCCTGCCTCCTAGCCCATAAGAGGCTCGTGGTTGGAGTAGCAGACAAATACTTGTTGGAAAGTGAGTAGATGAGTTTGGGGGTTGACTTGGGGTGGGGAGGTTGGCCGAGCAGGGGAAGATAAATTCTAATGTTCAGGTTTTGGGAGTGACCTTTGGATATGTGCACTTTATTCTCTTGCTTCCCTTGGAATTGAAATGTGGGTGGTATGGTCCAAGGCCATGTTAAGCTGAGCTTCAAAGGCTATATCTGTGTCTTTCAAACTCTTCCAGGTCTCCTCCATAGTGATCTCCCCCTTCCTAATTGGCAGGTACCCTGGTCAGTGTAGCCTTCTCCATTAGTAATCACTGTTCCTTCCTCCACAGCCTGCTTGAATGTTACTTTTCTCAGTCAGCTCCAACAAAAACAGACATCTAAGTATCCTCTCTCCCTCTCTCCCAATTATAACCACCCTCTTTCCATTTTTAGTTCTCTCCAGTACTCCCTTCCCCATCAATGTACCTTCTTTTGCCTCCCTTCTTGCTCCATTTTCTCTCACTTCTTCCCTTAGATAAAGTGCTCCCGGAGTTAATCCAACCATATACAGATAGGGTGAAACATCTGAGTGAGTTCCTGGTGGACATGAAGCCATCCTTGGTCTTTGATATAGTCCGCCTCCTAGATTTCTACGGTCCAGCTGGCACAGATCCTTCCTTGGAGTGCTTGGTGGTTAGCGAGGAGACTTACCGTGGGGGGTTGGCTGTCAACTGCCGACGCCTTGAGAATGTAACTCCCATGGGAAAATGGGCAGGGGGAGTGGTTGGGAATAGGAGGGTGGGTGTATATGTGTTGTTTGAGTGGGCTCTCGAAAGACTTAGGGGAGGAGTGATGCTTTAGAAAGATACTGGGAGTGAAACAGAAAAGCTTACAACTCATATGCCAATTCCTGGGTTGGCTATGATTGGGTCCTTAATTTCACCCTCTGAGTGGTTTGTATAGCTTAAAAATGAGCCCTGGGGGTTCAAGGCAGGGCCATGTTGATTGTCTCCATTTTAAAATATCACCCCTTATTGCCTTTATCTCTTTCCACAGGGCCTGGAAGAGCTGGCTTTGTATCAGATTGTGTTGCTGAAGAACCCAGAACACAGTGAGAATGAAGAAGACAAAGTTAGCTCCTCCAGCTTCCGTCATCAAATGCTGGGAACTCTCCTTCAGCCACCCAATGTAAATACCTTCCACTTCTAGGGGTTAGAAGTGCTGGCTCCCCTTGAAATGGGGAATACTGGCTCTTAGTGGGAAAATACTCTTCTGTTACTCTGATAGGGGGAGCCTATATGCATACACAGGGACCCAAGTGGTTATCTTTGGTCTTAGTCTTCTAATCTCCCCATAGATGGCCCCCCCATCCTTGGCTTTTTTAACTTTTTCTCCTTTTGGCAGAAGAGACCAGACCTCCCCTCCAGTGTCTATGTAGTGGGGCTGACAGGGCCAAGTGGCTCAGGCAAGAGTTCAGTGGCTCGGTTACTGCAAGACCTGGGGGCAAAGGTCATTGATAGTGACCAGCTGGGACATCAGGCCTATGCACCAGATGGCCCTGCCTACCAAACTGTGATAGAGGCCTTTGGAACTGGTATGTCTTGTAGGGAAAGGTGAGGTGGTTTCGGGGACTGAGAGTATAGAAACACACTTTTCTCACTGAGGTTCTTATTTCTGGCCTCTTAGATATTCTCCATGAAGATGGCACCATCAACAGAAAGATTCTAAGCAGTCGAGTGTTTGGGAACAAGGTGAGTACACGAATCTCTAAAGGAGTCTGTGGCTCTCCAATTTCCCATGGAACATGCATCCTTGGCTCAAAGCCCCTTTCTTTTTCCCTTACCCCTGGAGTTTTCTTTTATTGGTAAGGGAAGTCTTTTAGTCATTTTCTTGTAGCTCCCCACCACTTCCTTGCAGCTTGTTGCTGCAAACCTAACAGCAGCTGGTTTGTTTTGTCACAGAGGTAGGACCAGGGAATCACATCTTCCCTGGTCCTCTCTGTGCTACTAGAAACAGCTGAAGAAACTCACAGACATTGTGTGGCCAGTCATTGCCAAGATGAGCCAAGAGGAGATCAACAAAGCTGCAGCTGAGGGTGAGTGTGAAGGACAAGAGCTTCAGAGGTCTGGTAGTAAAGTTCTTCCCTTGTCGCCTTCCCCTGCCTGCACCTCCAATCCAGGGCATCCTGCCCAACTGCCAGGCAAGCACATTCCAGGGAATCTCTGCTCCAGGGCCAGTGGCTGGGATGAGAGATCAGTAGAATGACTGGGGTCCACCTGCAGGGAACACCATATGCGTGATTGACGCGGCCTTGCTGCTGGAAGCCGGCTGGAACAACATGGTCCATGAAGTGTGGACAGTCATTGTCCCAGAGAAAGAGGTAATTGGACCCCTTCTGTCTCCCCTACCTCAGCCCCCACTCTGGACTGCTAAATGATTCCTGTGTCATGTTACCAGGACAGCTCAGAAGAATCCTGAATGACAGTTTTTGTGTCTTCCAGGCACTACGGCGAATCATGGAGCGTGACGGTCTGAGTGAAGCTGCTGCCCAGAGCCGCCTACAGAACCAAATGAGTAATCAGCAGTATGTGGACCAGAGTCATGTGGTGTTGAGTACACTCTGGGAGAAACATATTACCCGAAGACAGGTAACGGGATTGGATAGGAATCTGAGGGGAGGAATGAGCGGTCCTAGTGAGCCCTGTTTTACTAATATGTCTTCCCTCCCACAATTTTCCTCTGAAGGTGGAAAAAGCCTGGACTCTTCTGCAGGAGCGAATCAAGAGCCAGTAATTCACTCGTGGAGGCTGCTCGATCTGATCCCTGATTAATGATGATTGATGAATGATGAATGTGGTGTGGGAGAGCTGCCCAGGGCAGCTCCCACCCTCCGCTGGGGGAGGGCTCCTGGGGTATTCCTCGGGGACAGGGCCCAGACAGACGCAGTGCTGAGCGGTTCGGGCTGCGGTGCGATGGGGCAGACTGGAGTCCGGGTTGGAGGCACGGGCTGCCAGCAGATCCCCAGCACCCAGGGCCAGGCTGGAGGAGGGCTCTGGGGCCCCACGGCTGGCAGGGACCAAGGGTGTAGACACAGAACTAATTAAAGCCGAATTTTCCTGTAAGGCGCTGGCTTACTGTGCTCCTTGCTTCCTGGGAAGGTGGCTGTATGGGCCACACTTAGAGGTCCCAGCCTAAGGTGTGGCCGGGGTGAAGGGACTAGGAGGCTGCAGGACCCCGCTGCTGCCACCCTATGACCATAACCAGCCTGCATCCCGGCCGCTGAAACCAGGCCCGACTAAATCTGTGGGAATCTTGGGAATTGTAGTCCCTGAACAGCCAGGAGGGAACGTTTCCTCGTTTACGTTACGTAAAGCAAGTGCAAGAACAAATGACCACGCTAGAAAATCCCTCGCGCCTTCCCCCCTTTTTTTTTTTTAATTAACGTGGACTACTCGATCCTCGGAAAATCTTGACTTAGGGGAGTGAGTACCGTAAGATAAAGACAGAGAACGCTATTACAGCTTCACACTGGAATTTAAACTCTGGTCTAACACCCTTTTAAAATGCTGGGTCCGGTGCACCCTTCTCCCCTGCGCAGGCGCGGCGCGCCCTTCCTCTTATGCCTTGGGATTGGTGAGCTACAGGCCATATGGGCTCGGGCTCCGCCCCTAGGGGGAGCCTGCACGCGGCGTTTCCGGTTCGTTCGGGCTGACAATGACGGAGCGGGGCGCCTCTCCGGAGGACCCCTGGGTCAAGGCAAGCCCCGTGGGCGCGCACGCCGACAAGGGGAGGGCGGGTCGGGCACGTGCACGCAGGGGGAGTGGGAGAGCGGGGGTTTACCCCACTTCCCCCCAGTTCTCCCTGACTCGCCCTCAGGGGCTTGGGGCTGGGGGCTGCGGAGACAGCCCCGGCCCCCCTCGTGCCCAAGTGGGGAGCCGAGAAAGCGGACTGTGTGTGAGTGTCTGCGGCGCGGGGGGCGGGGGCAGGGGCGGGGGCTGCGCCCGCAGCCGGCTCCGGACGGGTCGGAACCTGAGCAACCTCCCTACCCCCACAGGTGGAGTACGCGTATGGGGACAGCAGCCTGGACCCTGGTGAGTGGCCCAGGTCTGGGTGACGCGGCCGCCGCCCCCGCCCTCTCGGGGTGTCGGGCGGGGGGCAGGGTGTGCCCCGGCCTCCAGGTATCGGACGGGGGTGGGGGAGGGAAGTAATGGGGTCGTGCAGTGTAAGTAGGAGCCTTAGGGGCTCGGAAGGCATTGAATGACTAGCCCAGGGGGGAGGGAAAGAATTGTCGGGGGGGGGAGGGTCTGGAGCCAACCTTGCTGTCTAGCTAGTGCCCAAGGGCCTGAGAACATAATTTTTTCTTGGGTGCCTCTCTCTTCCAGGGCTCTTTGTAGAAAGTAACCGAAAGGGGAGTGTAGTGTCCAGGGCCAATAGTATTGGCTCCACCAGTGCTTCCTCAGTCCCCAATACAGGTAAGCAGCAACCCCCTTATCCTCACTTCCACAGTCATCTTAGGCTCTTTCCCTACCAGAATTCCATTGTTTCCAGAGATCTGGGGTTTCAAGACAGCATCCAGAACTAATTTTCCCACTAACATATGAAGCATGAGGGTCTCCAAAGACTGATTTGGGTCTTTAGGATTACCTCACCTCGGAACTCCAGGCTTCTCCCTTCCAAGGCTAAGGTTTGTCCCACTTCTTTGTGCCACTCAGCTTATAGGTATCTTGCTACTTTCTGACCCAACAGATGATGAGGACAGTGATTACCAACAAGAGCCCTACAAGGAGTCGTATAAGGATAGGAGGCGCCGAGCCCACACACAAGCAGAACAGAAGAGGAGAGATGCCATCAAGGTGAGGGTGAACCCTGAACCCTTTGACCTTATTCACATCAACTCTGGCCTTCAATCCAAGGTTGAAGTGTCTGGCATATAGCCTGTATACCAAGCAAATGGCATTGGTGTGCTGTGCACCTCTTATATAGCTTCTCAGCCTCGACTGCCACTCCTTCATGAAGTGGTCGGCTGATTCCAGGTCATGGAGCCTAGTCTCCTGCTGGGCAATGTTTCCTGTGACAGCCTCACTTTACTGTCTTCTCTGTGGGTACTGATCTGATGTCTTAGTAGAAAAGCTTCCTGGTAAAAGGCATTAGTGTACCTTAGGTACTAGTATGATCCTCTTCTTTCTCCCCCCAGAGAGGCTATGATGACCTTCAGGCCATTGTCCCCACCTGTCAGCAACAGGATTTCTCCATTGGCTCCCAGAAGCTCAGCAAAGCCATTGTTCTTCAGAAGAGTATGGGACTGAGAGGGTGGGGAGCGGGAGGGGTGCAGGTACCAGGGGATATAAACTAGGAAGAGGAGAGCAAGACAGAAGGTGCCACTCTTCATGCTTAACTTGTCCTGTTTTCTCTCCAGCCATTGATTATATACAATTCTTGCATAAAGAGAAGAAGAAACAGGAGGAGGAAGTTTCTACACTACGAAAGGATGTCATGGCCCTGAAAATCATGAAAGTGTAAGTAAGTGGAGGACAGGTAAGGCTCAGATGGAGAAAGGACTGGGAAGAGCAGTAGAGAACCCTTAGGGACAGGTATTTTGGCCATCATTTTGGTATATAAGCAAGTGAGTCATTCAAGGTAACTAAATAGTTCACTGGGCCTGGAGTCAGGAAGATCAAGTTCAAATTTAGCCTCAGACATGTTAGCTTTGTGACCTTGGTCAAGTCACTTTACCTCTGCCTCCGTTTCCTTAACTGTAAAATGGGGATAATAACATCACCCGTCTCTCAGGGTGGTTGTGAGGATCAAATGAGATATTTGTTTAAGGCACTTAGCACTAGCACAGTGACTGGCACAGTATGCTTAATAAATGCTTGTATCTATCCTTCATTAATGAATGCAATAACTTCAAAATCATGTTAGATCAGACTCCTTCAGGGTAGAGACTGTGATTTTGAAAGACACAACATAACCCTGGAAAAGATGTCACAACTCATATTACAGAAGGGGACATAGGTCCAGAGAGGGGAATTGATGACTGTCCCACTATTGACATAGCTCTAGAGGCAGAGCTGAGGGAAGGGACAACCTCTTCTGATATTCACTACACTTTATCTTACTGTCCCGTTAAATATCTTGCACATCCATATCAGGTGTTTAATACTAGTTTGAGTAAGTACAGAGGAAGAACAAGGGCAGGGATAATCATAACTACTTTCTGCAACTGGGCCTAGGTAGTTAGTTGAAATTGTATGCACCTAGACAATCCTATAAGCTATTGCAACATCATTATTTTCTCATGGCCAGCTGGTATTAATGCATTCCTAACTCTGGTTTTAAAGACTGGCAGGGGCCTCTGAGGAGTGTTGGGGTGGTGGTGGTGGGAGGAAGGATGATATTGTCACATACCATCATGTCTTTTCTTGGTTTTAGGAACTATGAGCAGATTGTGAAGGCACACCAGGACAACCCTCATGAAGGGGAGGACCAGGTCTCTGACCAGGTCAAGTTCAATGTGTTCCAGGGCATTATGGACTCTCTGTTCCAGTCCTTCAATGCCTCCATTTCTGTGGCCAGCTTCCAGGAGCTGTCAGCCTGTGTCTTCAGCTGGATTGAGGAGCACTGTAAGCCCCAGGTGTGCTGGCTGAGATGACTGCAGGGCAGGGTGGGAGCAGTTTGGTTGACAGCAGCAGCCACTCAGCTGAAGCCCCTTCAGGCAGGGTGGTCTAAGTCACCCATTGTGGAAGGTGGCTTTTTCTTTCAGTAGATCTGTGATGATGCCAGGATAGGGAATTCTTTAGCAATGTGGATTGGCACCTGCTGTGCCACATAGTCATGGCTGGGGGCTGTGAAAGGTTAAGTGACTTGCCGGGAGCCACTACATCACAGGCGGTACTTGAACCCTGATTTCTATCCACCTCTAGTTTCCTTTTCCTCCTTTCTTTTATGCTTTCATTTTTTCCCCTGCAGTCTAACCTGGTTTGTGGTTTCAGTTTAAAGTCAACCTGTAGATATTAAGCACTAGCACGTCAAACACTGTGCTGGTCCTTTAGAAAATACCTCACTGTCTGTGTTGCCTTTGTGTCCCATCCCCCTTTTCTGAGAAAGGCAGACTACTACTTTTGGGTGTAGAGAAGATGTTGGAGGTATGATCTTGGCCTGGACTCATCCCTCTTCTCTTTTTTCTCCTATCCCTAGACCCTCCAGGAGATTGTTACTGGGGTGCTGCACCAACTGAAAAACCAGCTCTACTAACTGCTAGCCTTTCAGCCAATGCTCCTGGAAGTGTGGAATGGGGAGGCTTGTTGAGTTCTGGTTCTGACATCGCAAACAGAACATTTGCTTTGTTTGCTGGGTTTTGGACAGCTTCTGACTAATTTATTTTATCAGTACTAAGCAAACCCATCTCAAACCTGTGGGAGTTCTAGGGGCCATTGGATTTGTCCCCTAGAAATCACTTCTGGCAGGAAACTGGAGGAGGCAGAGAAAGTATTTATATAATCATGGGAGTGCCACCGGCACTCATCCCCAGTGGTGCTGCCACATCCGTCCATGGCACAGACAAAATTTTTAGCATGTTATATGGGGATTTTATCCCTAGGGAGTCTGCCATGGTGATCAGAAACCTTATGACAAATTTCTTAACTTTTATTTCAATGTAATCTTTTTAAGCTTACAATTGTATTAATTTTTTAAGTCAGGCAGGTCTTGTGGTACCTCAGGCTTACATGCCACCTCTTTTCACTTGAAGAGTTCATTAGGGATAGATGTCCATTCTCCTGACCACTTCCTACTTGCTGTAACAGTTTCTATCAGAAATGAGCCAGGGGACAGTGGAGAAACTTCTGTCTCAGATATATAGAAGCCTAGCCCCCTCTCCTTTTTTTCAGGCTTACCATCCAATACAAATTATTTTTATATCAAATTGTAATTGCAATAAATTTTACTAAATGCTTAAGCCCAAATTTGTCCTGAATTTATCAAGTCAAATCTGAGACTAAAGTGATGTGAGTAATATATATAAAACCATCTGCCTTCTTGGTACTAATTAGTCTAGTCACTTTGCCTTAGTTTAGACTCCTCCTGTAGACAAAAGACAGCTGGAAGTGCCAAAACAACACCAATACAACCAGTCCAGGAAGTTCCTTCTGACCCTTCTACATTGTTTGGAGAGAGGTTCCTCAGGGGTCTGGAAGAGCAACGTTATAATCTTCATCTGTCTCGATTCCAACTTCTTCCTGTAGGGCAAGGAGAAAAGTCAACTGAGACCTACCTCCAGTGTTAGGTATCTGGCCTGGAAACAAAGGGGAGGGAGGTTGGGAGACAACACTTACAAAAAACTGCTTCTTACTCTTGGGGTAACCCTCAAGAATTGCATCAAACAGTTCAGTTGCCTAACAAGGAAAAACACAGGGTAGTTCTTAAGATGTTTAGTGCTCTTTTCCAGCCCCTCCATGCCCCATCTCCAAAGAGCCTTCCCAGAATTTGTTCTGACACTTACCATCCTCTTCCGTTTCCTCCACTCTCTGTGATACTTCTGCCTCTCCTGATACACCTGGGCATGAACCCAAAAGATTCTTCTAACTCCTTAGGAATCACCCACTCAGCTTCAGTTGAGCCAAGCCTCCAAAAATCACTCCGAGGAATGATTCCCCTCCTCTATCCCCTTTACCTTTTCTTTTTCTTCTGGAGTCACATGATTGGTAGCTGCTTTGATTTTACTCAGCCTCTCTGTATAATTGGCACATTCTTTTTTTAACTCCTCAATCTCTTTACACATCTCTGGTGTAGTCAGGGAGCTACTCAGTTCTTTCAGCTCTGAAAAAAGCCAGACCAACTTTAATAATTATTCCTGAGGAACTTATATTCCTCATTAACCTGGCAGCTCAGGATAAAGGAAATAGAGAGAAAAGGAGATTTGGGAGTCCCTTATAATAGTGAGGTCACCAAAGGTGTAAAAAGAAAGGACTAAAAGAAGGTTGTATTTTTTCAACAGTTCTAAAATCCTATCTCATCATGTTTCTTAACTTGGTGAAATTCAAGTTAGTTTTAAATTTCTGTGCACAGTACCAGGGTTACTAAGAAAAATGAAACAGCCCCTAAAGAACCTATTATTGGGAGGGAGGGAGGAGAGAGAGAATTTTTACACAGAAAGTTAAACCAAGATAATTCAAAGAAAAAGAGTACTAGGGATTATTATAGACCTAGAATCTGAGCAGCTTTGAAGGAAGATTGATATTTGGAAAACGGGAGATTAGAAGAAAATGCATTCCAGGCAAGCAGGAGAACAAATGTCAAGTTTGGAAAACATCTAGTAATCCAGATTATATAGAAGGGAGCAAATGAGTTAGTACTGGACAGATAGATTGAAACCAGATTATTGTGGAAAGCCTTTAATCCCAGGCTAGGGAATGTGTTTTTCATCATAGAAAGTGAAGGTTTTTTGAACAAGGGACTGGTTTTCCCATTCTTAGATTATTTTGGTAGCTGAATGAAGGATGGAATAGTGAGAAGACTGGAAACAGGTTGGAGGTGATAAGGAAGTGTTCCTGTGAGTAGACAGAGATGCAAGAGTTGTTATGGAGGTAGAATCAACTTGGCAAGTGAGAACATGAAATGTACAGAAAAAGGAATTAAGGATGACTGACGTTACAAACTCGTGTGACTGGAAAGATGACAATGGCCTGAATAAAAATAGGGAAGTTTAGCAGAACAGACACCAAGAGAAAGTTTTATGTTCCCATTTTGGACATGTTGAGTTTGAGATGTAGATTAAGGCTGGATATATAGATCTGGGAATCATCTACATATAGTATACAATTAATTCCATGAAAGCTGATGACAGATCACTCAGGGGTAGAATTAAGAAGAAGGTGCAGGACAGACCTTTGAGAGACACCTATGCTTAAGGAACAAGGAAATAAACAATAAATGGGGAAGGGAGACTAAAAAGAACTAGTAAGATAACATAGGAGAGGAACTTGGAGAAAGTAGTGTCACAGAAGCCAAGAGAAGACTATTTGGGAAGAAGGGACTGTCAGCAGTCTGAAAAGCTGCACAGAAAAAAGAAGATGAGGATTGTTAAAAAAAAAAAAAGCCACTGGATTTAGCAGTTATGAGATTATTGGAAACCCTGGAAAGAGCAGTTTCAGGAGACTGGTACAGGTGAAAATCTGATTATAAGGGGCTGAGAAGGGAATGGGCATTAAGAATTAGAGGCAGCCACTAGACACTTCTCTCTTCATCTTGGCAGTAAAAAGGAGGAAAGAAAAAGGATCACAATTTAGGGGTGGCTGGCTGCCAAAGATAGCTGTTTAAGAATGAGTTAACACCTGGAGAAATTCACAGACAGCGGGGAAGGAACCAGTGCAATGGGAGAGACCGGGAAGAATTGATCACCAAAGGAGGGGTTAGAGAAGGGAGATCAATTAACCAACTAAGCACTGTGTGGCAAACACTGTACTAAACACTAGGGATGCAAGGAAAAAAGCAAGAACAGTCACTGCTTTCAAGGAGTTTATACTATAATGGGCAAGATAACATACACAAATCAGTGAATATAAGAATGTAGCCTTAGAGACAAGGCAGTAGCAGATGGTCTACACAAAGGTCTCCTGCTGGAGGCTGAACTAAGTCAAACTTAGCAAGAAAGGCCACCTCTAGGGCAGCTAGGTGGCGAAGTAGATAGAATACCCGCCCTGAAGTCAGGAGGACCTGAGTTCAAATTTGGCCTCAGACCAAACACTTGACACTTACTAGCTGTGTGACCCTGGGCAAGTCACTTAACCCCAGCTGCCTTTGGGAAAAAAAAAAAGGCCACCTCTTCTTCCTCAGAGACTAAAGGTAAAGATGGGTAGGAAAGGTAAGGGAGCTCATAAGAGAGGGCTTCAGTTTTCTCAGGAAAGTAGTGGGGATAGGTAAGGGGTAAGAAAGGCTTGGCTTAGGGGTGGGGAACCTGCAGCCTTGAGGCCACATGTGGCCTCCTAGGTCCTCAAATGTGGCCTTTTGACTGAGTCCCAGTTTTACAGAACAAATCCCTTTATTAAGGGGATTTGTTCTGTGAAGTTTGGATTCAGCCAAAGCACCGTACTTGAGAACCTTGAGGCCACAGGTTCCCTACCCCTGAGACTGAGAAAAAGGTTTGGATGAGCCCTTGAGAAGAGTGAGGTAAAGTCAATCAGGGAAAAATAAAAGTATTGCTGTGTAGCAAGGGAGAGCTCAGTTGAGATTAGAAATATGAATCTTTAGTGGTCACATTAAGTCTGAGCAAGAGTTAAGGGTTGGCATGTAATGCCTGAACCACAGTGAGTGGTAGGACAAAAAGGCAAGGTAGTAAAGAGGCCAGTTCATGGCAACGAGGAGATGGACATGGTGATGAAAATGGATGAAGAAGTTACTGACTGATGGCATCAGAGGGAGGGCAGGGTCTATAAATGACAACAGGGAACAAGGAACAGGATAGACAACTCCTATTGGGCCAATATATTAAAAGGCACTAGGGAAAGAACCAGCACTGGAGAGGGTGGTCAAGGATCCTTGTCTTTTGGAGAAAGAAAAGTTTCTGTGAGGACCGGAGATGGGAAAGGATATGGATGATGTATAGGATGAAGGGGACTACATTAACAACAAAGCAGAAAGATATGAACTGGCTAGACGGAAGTGTGGATAGGTAGATAAAGATGAGAATTTGCAAAAAGTAGCAGAGAGAAAGAATGCTGACCCCAAGAGAGAGCAATTCTAAATCAAAGCAGTGTAGGAGGTAAGAGTTTTCTAGTCACAGGATGGGGAAAGAACCAATTGATTAAGACTAACTGATGGTTTCTGTTGCATTTGTGCCACTTTGGGTGAAATATATATATATATATATGTATATATATGTATATATATGCATGTGTATATATGTATATATGTATATGTATATATATGTATATATGTATATATATATGTATATGTATATATATATATACATGAACTGAATATTGTAAACAACAAACCCAGAATTTAACAATTTCCCAACTCCTAGGTAAGCTCTGAGTTAGCTCTTTCTCTGCAGCCACCTGGCCACTTACCAGCTTCCATGTGACGGCAGCTCTGCTGGACACTTTGGACTTTGGAAGTGAGTGACAGAATTTCATCGTCAAGGTCTTTGAGATCTGTGTCACTCACAGTATCAAATTCATCCTGCCAGAGACAAGGAAACAAGAAAGGTACTCACCCTGAGCAGTGCTCAAGGCAAAGAACTCACACTACGTAAGGATATGTATAAAACCTAGTAATTCTGCCCTATCTCCCAAATCCTAATCCTATCCTTTAGAGCAGTGGCGTCAAACAGAAACAGGGACTATGGCACATAATGATCCTTGTAGGTCCCATATTGTCTTAGAAAACCACATGTTAACATTATATTCTATTGTATTTTGATTTTTGTTAAATATTCCCAATTACATTTTAATCTGATTCAGGCAGCATTCCTGAGTGTGTCATCTCTGTTCTAGATGAAAGGACTCTTGGAAATATAGGTGGAATTAAAGCATGAAGGAGAATGGTGAGTTACAAAGGTCAGCTCATTTAATTCAGCAATGCTCAGCACCCAATATGTTTATAGCACTAAATGGATGATACATACAACACACTTAATAAATATTTGTTGAATAAGTATTTTGTAAAAGTGCTAAGATATGCTGCATATTCTCAAGGGGCTTAGTTTTATCAGGAGGAAAAAAAATAATTATATATTGCTGTTTATAAGTTTAAGTTCTAAAATAAATAGTAATTAATAATAACTAACATTTTTATAGCATCTACTCTGTACCAGGTGCTTTAGAAATACTATTCATTTAATCCTCACAGCAACCCTGGGAGGTGCTATTATTATCCCCATTTTTTATATGAGGAAGCTGAGGCAGGCAGAAGTTAAATGACTTGCCCACAGAGCTATTAAGTTCCTGAAGCTGGATTTGAACTCAGGTTTTCTTGTCTCCAGTACCAATTGTCTATCCACGGTGCAGAACCAGCAGAACACTGTACATAGAAACAGCAGAATTGTAGGGAGTGCCATGCAGCTATGATAAATGCTATGAGAACTCTGTAATGAGAAAAATCACTGTAGCCTGAAGTTGTGAAAGAAGACTGCGGAAAAGATGATACCTGAGTTAGGTTAGAGAACAGTAAGGATTTTGATAGGCAAAGGGAGAAACATTTCTGGGTAGTCTTTGAAAACAATGACACAAACCTGACTGGAATGAAGGATTTCTAATTGGGAACAGTAAAACAAAACAAAAAAACAGGTCAGACAGAGCAGGACAATATTATGTAGGGCTTTGGAGAGGGACAGAAGATGAGTAGATGAGGCACTGGCTTTTGAGAATCATCCCGAGGTTCTATTTAAAGTCATGTTTCAGAAGATTTATCTTGGTGGCAGTGTGCAGGACAGAATGGAACAGAGAAAAACATCAACAGTGGCAGGGAAACCAGCTAAGATGTTACTGTATGAGGGTGTGAGAGGATCCAAGCTGGCAAAGAATTTAGTAGATCTAAAGTTTGGAATCGTCAGAGCAAGAGGACTTTTGAGATTTTTTCTCCCAAAGCCTAAGCAGGCTAAGTACTGACTACAACAACGCCACATAAAGCGAACTGCGGGGCACGCAGTCTGATAACTAATAAAAGCCAGACAGCATTTCCACGGCGGAGTAGAGGCGAGCTCCTCGAAGGGCTCTGCTGGCCCAGGGAGTGGGTGACCCAGCACCAGTCTGGCCCTGAACGCAGACCCCCAAGGCGGCTCCTCTCACCTGGTCCGCAAAGTAGATTTTCTGCTTGCCGTACACCTTCTCCTTGATTTTGCCCTGCTGCGCCAGCTGCTCCAGGGCCTTCACCACAGCCTGGCAGAGACAGATGAGGGGGTTGGGAGGAGCCGGCCTGGGGCTGAGAAGAGCCTGCCGGGATGGGCTCGGGGTGGGGACGGAGGACCGGGAGACCCGTCTCTCGCGTGGGGAAGGGAGGGGGGTGAGGAGGGGCGCCCCGGCCAACGGCCGCCTCATCGCAGGGCCGCCTGTTTCGGACCGACGCACACGCCGGGTCCCGGCCGTTTTTCGGGGGGGCTCTCGGCCGCTCGGGGGGCATCTCACCGCCTTGCCGAGCCCGTGATCCCGCTGCAGGTTCCCGAAAACGTCCTGGGCGCTGTAGGGTCGGTTCTGCTCCCGGAGGTAACTCAGGACAAGCCCGGGGGCTGTGGGGAATGGGCAGCGGTCACTTCGCAGCCGGAGCCGGCCGGTCTCAGACTGTCCCTGGGCACCCGCCCCGAAGCTCACCTGCCGCCAACTCCGCACGGCCTTTACTCATCCCGCTCCCGCCACCAGTCAAACAGCCGGAAGCGGCCGCCAGTTGGCGACTCCCTCCTTCCGGGAACTCGCTGGGTGAGACCGAATGCTGTGATTGGCCCACGTGACTCCAGGGCCGTCCCCAGACGTCGGTCTTGGCGCTAGGAGTCCTTCCCGGCCACCGTAGAGCGCGGCGTACATTTCTCCGTCTCAGCGGATGGTGGGACGTTTGCCTCCTTCCAGGAGGATCCTGCGGTTAGGCACGACATAACTCCTCCGCTGCGGGACAGGACGAGGAGAGGAGCCGCCGGTCAGCGTATTAATTGGGGACACGGCTACGCGAACACACACCTGAGGCTAATAGTCGTCCCCAAAGCCCTTCGTAGCGCCGGGCCTGCGGCTCGGGTTGGCCGCGCTGCTCCTCTTGCAGACGCGGGGGTCTGCCCCCAGGGGGCGCGCGGGCCCGCGCTTACAGGAATGGGGTGAGACTGGTGAAGGAGGGGCTGCGAGCGAGGGGACGGAGGAGGCTAGTTTCCTGTTGGCCCAGATCACGGCTTCCCACCTGACAGGTGTTTTCCATTTCCGCCCACATAGGTCAGTGGGACAGAGCCTGAAATAAATATTTCTAGTTTCTGAGATCAGTTGTGGGCCGGAGAACAGCTGCCCGTTCGAGCAAAAGCCAGTGAAAAAGGCGGGCAGCTTTCTGAACGTCTCTAGTCAGAATCTTTCAATCAGTCCTCAAAATAGGCCTGTCTCTTACATGGGGTGAGGATGTGAGAAATGGAGGGCCTGGTAATGAATGCTTTTTCTGTAACAAACAGGGGGGAAGGAAAACAGGAAGGGGGCACAGAGAGGTCCCTCTTCCTTCCCCCTTGTGATGCCGCACGGATAACGTCTTCTGCTCTGAAGGGCAGGCTACTCCACTGGGAACATCAACAACAAAATGTTTTTCTCATACAAGATTTATTTTCGAATTATCTGCCCTCCCACCCATCCCCCAATTCACAGTGGAAAACAGATTCAGAGTAGGAGCCCCTAGCTAGGAAACACCCTAAGAAACTTTCTTCAACTTTTCTTCGTACCTTCTACCCTCTTATCCATTCCCAGGGCCTGAATCTACACATCTTCGTGCAAACCCAGAAATCCTGGCTGTCTTTCCATAACTGCTTGCTTTCAAACTTGCCACCTGTTGTCTTTATGTATCACAGCTTTACCAAACAAGACAGGTGAGCTTTGAATTGTCCCAGGAGTGGTAAGAAGGGGGAACCTGTCTTCCCAACCGTCATATAAAGGTAATATGGCAGCTACTTTTTCTTCCTTCCCTTGGTCAAATATCATTCACTGCCCCCTGTATTTCTTTGAACAGACTACAGGAAAAAGGAAAACACTCCTAATTGCAGCACATGGAAATGGGCTCTGTCTAACATCTGTCATAGTCTGGTAGTGTAGGAGGAATGGTCCCTGAGGAGCAGGAAAGGGTAGTGCAGAGGAAAACAGGATGGTCAGATCTGTTATGGGGAAGCAGAGGGTTCTAGATGCAGCCCCAGGGGACATGGTGATCTCTGAGGGGTCTTCCTCTCTCTTGAATGATTACAAAAGGAATTATGGCATGGCAAAGGCCCTCTCAGAGGGGCTGCACATTGGAAAAATGCTTATGCCAACTGCACTCATCCTTGAATGAAGTCCCTAGCAAGGCTAGGGAGAATTCAAAATAAAAACAAGTTGTGTACAGGCTGGCAGGGATTCAGAGAGCTGGTGCAAGAACTGAATGAATGCCACTGGGCCATCTAAAGTGCTACTTTGCCAAGCCCCACGAGTTGTTCACAAACGGCTGGGGGGCAGGGAGAGGGGAAAGACAGGAAAGTTCAGAAATGGCTATTGCTTTGCTCATTATTTAGGTTAGTGCTTCAATAAAGTGAGGGATTAACAGGGAAACAGACAAGTGGGAAGCTCCAAGGGCTGATATGAAACTCAGAAGATCTGGGAAGCAAATCCAGAACCCTCCCTAAACTCCACAGCACAACCAGCAATTCTAGCAGAGATCTTGCTACCCACTCCCCCACTACCATTGTTTCTTTCCCTGACCCTTTTTCTTGAAAGCAGTCTTTCTGGGCACTGGAGACAAGGCCGTAAGTGGTAGTAGGGCAAGCTTGCTCTGCAAACTTACGTAGAAAAAAACAAATCATGATTAAGAGACACAGCAATGAAACCTCCCGAGTTCACGCTGCTGGCCCCAGGGGCCTCCAGCACCACCCCACTGCATTAAGAGCCATTCCACACTTTGGCTTTAAGGAAAGGGATGGGGGAAGAGGAAGTAAGATGGGCAGTTGTTTTATATAGGGTCCCTGAGCACCCACACCTTGTAGCAAACATCGTCCCATAGGAGAGAAACTCTGGAACAATGAATCCCAGGGGCCAGTTCATCAAACTCCCTTGTTCCCAGCAAAGAAAGTATTATCCTGATGGAAGAAGCTTCACTTAAGGAGCTTTGCCTCCATCGTCTATGACTCTGAGCTCATAAATGGGTGTCCAGCTAGAGACAAGGTAGTATCCTCTCTAAGCAGGGGCCCAAATGGCTAGCCAACAATGTACGCAGATAATCAAATTTAGGAGGCGGGACCCAGATTCTTCTTTCCCTGCCTCCATCATCCCCAGTGAGATAGGGGAAAAAAGAGCAAAACCACAAACCATTCCCCCAAAAAAGGATGTGCCTCAGTGGCTCCGAGAGCTCGAAGGATCTAGTTGATTGAGCTCTGATTGGTCTAGCAGTTCAAAGTCATCCCCTTCAGCATCAGTGTCCAGATCAGAGCTGGGGGCCCTTAGGAAACCTCGTGCAGCTCTTTGAGGGGCAGCAGGGGGTGCCTGCTGTTGGGCTCTCGACAGGGCCAGCTGGATCATACCCTGGGAGACCAGGCTGGCAAGATTGCTGGTGAGATTGGCTCCTGTGGGAAGAGTGCTGAGTAAGAGCTCAGGCAGGACAGCCTCATCTTGGTTGGTGGTGGGCTCCTCAGCTCCTGCAGGGGAACGATAAGCAAGGCTGGGAAGCCCTATGCTGGTGTCATCCTCATCATCCAGGCCTGTAGCATCCACATTAATGGAAGGGAAGTCAGGGAGGTCCCGGGCAAATGATTCCTCAGGGTCACTATGACCATCCAGATCTAGAGAGAATGAGGAAGGATCAGAAAAATGGCTGCTGCTCCCCGTACCACTTCCCATCCTCATGTTACCCCACCTATGAACAGAGCCAGCTACATATAATCAGAGGCCATTCCCACCCAAGACTTTACCTTGTGAATTCAAACCCTTGTGACTGGTTACCTTTCTTCTACTCACAGGTCTGAATAGATGAGGCTTGGGCAAAGTTATCTTTCTATGCTCCCCCTGCCTACTCATATGGGTTTCTCTAGGAACAAACACAACCACTTCCGAAACAGGAGTTTCCCAATCCCTGCCACACACAGGAACTGAAATATAAGGCTACTAAAAGACTAAAGGTTTCTAAAAGCCATACTACCTACACCTTGACTTTGGTCACATCTAACTTCTGCCTGCTGTACTACAACCTTAAAACTCTAAGCCACTTAATCCTAAAGTAAGTGGTGTGGTGATACCCCTCTTCTACTACATTGGGTGATGGTCCATTCCGCTAGATGAGCTAACAAACATGGTCAAGCCACTGTTGGAGTAAGGGGAGGGTGTGTGTCAGGAGGGACAGGTGTTGGGTAGTGCCTCACCTTCTGATCCCTCAGTCAGTGGTGTCTGACCCCTGGAGAGATTGAATGTGCCATTATCCGTGCAGGAGACCTCAGCATCTGAGTGCTCTGAGTCTGTGATGGCCAGTTCCCTAGCCACAGTGGAGTCATCCAACTTAGAGGAAAAGAAGACAGATAAATCTTATTAAGAGTACCACTTAATCACTTATTAAGATTAGACACTAGGTAGAATTCTCAGAGATAGTCATAGAAAGACCCACAGCCATAAGACCTAAGAATAAAGGCCAGGCTTGAGACAATGGAAATGTAAATAAAGATGGCAAATACCACCCACACATCCATAGCCAATAAATCCTAAAGCCATCCTTTTTCAAGCACCTTATTTTTTTTTAAGGCAATTGAGGCTAAGTGACTTGCCCAGGGTCACACAGCTAGTAAGGGTCAAGTGTTTGGTCTGAGACAGGATTTGAACTCAGGTCCTCCTGACTTCAGGGCCGGTGCTCTATCTGCTGCACCACCTAGCTGCCCCGAGCACCTTAATTTCAATACAACACAGGCAAACCCAAGGATCTTGGTCAACATCTAGGTTGTTTTAGGCCAAGTTTCCTAGGGAAAATGTACTAACACATCATTCCTGCAGAGGTCAAAGGAAAGGCAGAGGTGGGGACACTGGCCATTTGTTTCTGTCATAATGCCTCTAGAGAATACTGATGTCCAGAGTTGCCAGGAGAAGAGGCACACTGCTTGATCTGAAAGTTGTTGGGGGGGGGGAACAGGTGAGGGAGACTTTTCTTGAGTTAAAACTCTCATAAGTAGCACTATGATTAGCAGATAGGGGTGCAGGTGTAAGAAGAAGCTACTGTGCTACTCACCAGGCTCAAACTGGGAGTCCAAGTACAAAGGCCCAAACACAATTCTAGCTGTCCTCTTTCATGCTGGGCTTAAAGCCAAACAGTGTCCAGAGCACATCTTAAATTTAAAAGAGGGTCACTGCCTACACACAGGGTGCCAAATGCTAAGGGAAGTTAGTAAAGACACAAAATGCCTAATGAACCTAACTCCATGTTACCTGAGGACAGAAGGCAGCTAGCTCTTCTTCACTATCACTATTGTCCTCCACAGCACGATCAGAGTGCAAGGCTCGGGCACGCCGCACTGTATGAAAACAGAACAGAGAAGGCCCATCACCCTCTTTGGTGAACACTGCTTACTGGGCTTTCAAGATGTGAAACCAGAACAGGAATGGGAGAGGTCACTTTATCTGAATGAGCCCCAAAGAACAGTGATTGTGCCTGAGGGTGTGGTAGCTGAGCCTGTGGAGCAGGATGAGTTGATGGCACAAGACAATGCTGTTCCCAAGTTCCCCCCACCTCCACTTGTTATGCCCATTAGATACCTAGCAACTGGGCCTATCTAACAGCTTTCTGGGATGACCTGGTGCAGACCCAACATTAAAAATGCTATCTGAACATTGTTTCAGCAAAGAACAAAAAGGAGACTTCTATCCTGAGTTAAATGATATTCCTGAGGGAGACTCGTGCTTTCCAAGTAACCCAGGAAAGACTGAGAGCCATTTTTTATAGCTATGTTATTCAGGTCTCATGGGGGCTATGCTGTACCCAACCTGCAGAGGAAGACAACTTCATGGCCACTCACCAGGTGTCTGATGATTTGTGCCCTGTATGACAATTGTGAGCTCAAGCTGGCATAAAATATCAAGTCTGCCTTTCCTATTATCCACATCCCAAGCTGATCTCAGGTACATAAAACATACTCTTCTTCCCATCACCTATTCTCACCCCTAAATGGCCCCAAACAAGAATCAAATACCCTCAGGATACTTACAGTGCCTTTCCCTTTGCCTGGACATCATGTAACCACGGACACTGAAGTCCAGCCGCTGCAGGGCCGGCTCTAGCCTCACGGACAATCGCTGCCCCAGTCTGTGGTACACAGCAAGGGGCCACAGCAGGAGAGAAAGAACTGAAAACGAGAGGAAGAAGTGGCAAGAAATTACAGAGAAAGGTATACAAAGTGAATTGTATTTCTCTTCCATAATGCTGAGATCTTATGTTGCTGAAGTTGCAGTACAGGTGTTGTTGCATTTTCTAGCACGTTTCTCTGTGGG